TTCCTCAGGAATGGATCAATGGGCTTATTGAGCAGCAGGACTTCTGGGTACACGACTTAATTAAGCGATGTGGCTGGTCTACAGCTAATTAATTAATAAAATTCATGATTCTGATGCCCTGAACGCACGGACTTTTGTCCCCATGTTCGTAAGTCAAATTCAAGGTAATACGCTTAAAATGATTGGCTGCAGAGGAAGAGCTTCAATTCTCACAACTGACCCTTAAAATTGACACGCCAGGTATTGAAAGAACAGTACCAGGCCGTGAGATTTCTTTTGTCTTCATTTCAATCTATTATCTCTTCGTGAAAGTAATTTACAACCGTCTCAAAGAAGACTTTACCACGTGACTGCATAGTAGACTAAATTTCGTGCCGAGTGAGGAAGCAACTGGGCTTCATCAACTCTACGCTTTTCATTCAACTCCAATTCCTCGACCACCCAACCTCTTCAAAATGTTCCGAACAGCTCTCCTCAGATCAGCACGCAGTGCTACCAGCCAAGCCGTTCGAATCTCAGGGACAATTGCGCGCCCAAGTCTCTCAAGCTCTGTTGTCACAAAGTCCCGATTTGCCCCGTCTGCTTTCCAAGCTGCTAGATGTTACTCTGCTGCCGCAGGTCTCTCAAAGACAGAGGTTGAGGGCAGAATAGTTGATTTACTGAAGAACTTCGATAAGGTCAGTGTTGTGGAGAACGAAGGAAGCTCTTGCTAATTTTTACAGGTTTCTGATGCATCCAAGGTAGACCGTCTTGGCCACGATATTAAGTTGATGGATGTTAATGTGCCACAGCTCTCACCTACTTCGCATTTCTCGAATGATCTTGGGTTGGACAGCTTGGATACCGTTGAGGTTGTGATGGCGATTGAGGAGGTCGGTCCATGGAAACATCTGCAAGTTTGCATAGTATTGACTCTAGGCCAGGAATTCAGCATTGAGATCCCAGATAAGGAGGCAGATGCCATCCACAGCGGTAATGCTCGAGGAAATTCGATTTAAGCACCATGACTAATTCATGCAATAGTTGACAAAGCCGTTGAGTACATTCTTAGTCAACCAGATGGTAAGCTTGCCTTATATCATATAGCGGATACATCTTGCTAACTAAGTTATAGCTCACTGAGTGATGTTGCTTGTATATTAGGAGAGTATGAGAGAGAGGAGATATTGGAGAAAGATGAGCGAGACATGGCCATGAACGACATCTTATGGGGGAATTCTGTACAGATCAATGTGCTCCTTGAAGCACATCGATTCTATGCAACTGTAAAATTGCTTAGAACACTTTCCTCTACCATCACAGCTGTTTTGATAAGTGAACGCAAATATATCCGGTTCGCATGGCCCAAATTCATTCCTGCGAACCACTAGCTTGCCCACAATCGCGCTAATTCCTCTTATCCCTGTCCTGCACATTGCGAAGCCTGAACTTTACAGAATACATCCCTTCATCAGCAACTCTTCCCCGCTGACCTTGAAGAACGACAATAACCTGCAGAAACCTTCAAAATTACCAGAGACCCTGCGTGTCTGTAATTCGGATTGGCAAATCAGGGAGCTCGCAGTGTGCATGGTCAGTACGGAGACCTGTCTCACTCGTATGCCGCATAGGACGAATTTCCCCTTTGCCCACACTTTCGACCTTACCTCGACATCACACTCATCACAATAATCCACCATGTCGTCGGGACTCACTCGAAGGAGAGGCGGTGGCGCCGGAGGAGGCGGCGGCGACACTGAGAACGGAGAGTCGAGTCGCGTGGCATCTCCTGTGCCCAAGGCTGGCTCTTCTCGTGATACCAGTGGACCAGAAACTTCCTACGAGAGCGGCGAGAATGGGCACAAGATTGCATTTGACCCGAGAGATATTAGTGAAAGCGCCGAGAGGAGCAAGCAGCCCAAGTTGACGCTTATGGAGGAAGTGCTGCTGCTAGGCCTCAAGGACAAGCAGGTATATCCAATCTTCGGCGGAATTTATACAATCAACCATGTCTAATTGTACTTAGGGATACCTCTCATTCTGGAACGACAATATTTCATATGCGCTACGAGGATGTATCGTTATCGAGCTAGCTTTCAGGGGGCGCGTGAGCATGCAGAAAGACTCATCCAGACGGCGATTCCCCTTGGCAGATCGAGTAATTGAAGTTGTCGACGATACACTTACTGGCGAAGTCTTGTTAGATGAAGCGCTGAAGATGATGAAGGCTAGTGAGAAGATGAGCGTAAGCTCGTGGATTGACTTAATGAGCGGTAAGTTACCCCTCCCAGACATTTGCAATCCGCCGTATCTAATTCTTTGAACTATAGGTGAGACTTGGAACTTAATGAAGATTGGCTATCAATTGAAGCAGGTTCGAGAACGTCTAGCAAAGGGTCTGGTCGACAAGGGAATACTCCGAACAGAAAAGCGAAACTTCCTACTGTTCGATATGGCTACCCATCCTGTAGCTGATGGAGGAGCAAAGGAAGAGATCCGAAGAAGAGTGCGAAATGTTTTGACACAACGCACTGTTGTGTTGCCCGGAAGTCAATTTCTCCCAGAGAACCTCGAATTCAGATATATCCGCACCATTGCCATGGTTTGCGCTGCATATGCCGCGAATGTGCTTGAGAACGCACTGGCTACCTTAGGACACGAAGCTAGAGAACGAGCATTTGCTCAGGTTGATGAGTTATTGGCCGAATACAGCCAATGGCCGTTCGGAAAGAGAGCAGGCGGATCTTCTGGTGTTGGTGCAAACTTGGGACAGGTTATCGGTGAGGAGGTCACGAATGGAAAAGACAAGGAATTGCAACTTGAGGTACGTTTTCAATTAATTTTCTTGTCTCAAATTGAGACTGATATTTGTGCAGGTCGTTGCAGCATGTTTGAGTGTCTTCACAAGACTGGACTCTTTGCTTTAAAGCAGTAGGCGTGTTATCGAAAAGGAACAGCAGACAGGTTTGGGGCAACACTTCTATTTTGTCGTAATACACGGACAAAAGTCCCCAGAAAAATACCAGCGAGAGATTTACAGAAATTCCTGCTTCCAAAGCCGTGGGTTACAATTGCTGGATTTGGTCAGTGACTTTGGCGAGTAGGCTTTTGCTCCGGTCAAATCTCTTGCTCTTTATTGTACAGATATAGTGTAGTGTTGGCGATTAGGACGACCCAATCCATGCTGGTATGGTCACGTCTGTGCTAGATGTGTGAGTGAATCAATATTGTCAGGGGGTGATGTTTTAGACTAGTGAATTCACAATAAAAATCGAGAGCGGATGATGAGAGCAACATTGAATCACTTTGGTAGACCGACAATTCCACATTTACATAATATTGCCAGCAACGATTAACTACATCGCTCCTATTTTCGCTTGCCAGAACCAAAGCTGCCTTCAAAGCCTGGTCTGCTCTTAACCTTTGGCTTCTTGGACTTGACCGACTTCCCCTTCCCCTTGCCTTTGCCCTTTGTACCCTTTTCGTCTCGTCTCTTCTGAAGATTCTCCTCTCGCTTCTTCTGCTTCATCGCTTGACTCTTGGCAACTCCTTCCTTCCTCTCTGTCCACTCCTTCTCACTCTTCTTCTTGGACTTCTCCTTCCGCTTCAAGGTCTTCTTGAGTAAGGAAGTGTCATCCCGAACCTTTTCACCATGTGCCCGCTTCTTAGCATTGAGCCATAAGTCCTTCTCCTCGATATCGGCTCTTTTCTCCTCATCGAGTCCAGCAATTCGCTGTCTCTTGGTCTCGGTAGCACGAAATGCTGTAGCAGCATCTTGTGGTCCCCGCTTCCTGGGTGCGTTCTTCAAGGATGTCAGATTTTCCGCGAGTTCTTGACCATCGGCAAATGAAACGCGTCCGAAAGAGAAGTTGTGGTCTGGAGAATGTATGGCGGGGCTCATCATGCTGGACACGGGTGAGTCTCGTGCAGATGCAAGAGCAGCTTCCCGACGTGCATCTTCCTCCACTTTGGCTTTCATTCGAAGCTCCTTCTTGTGAGCCTTACGTTGCTCTTCCTTCTTCCGCCTGGCTTCGAGGAGCTCTTGTCTATTTCGAGCCGGGCGTCCATCTGGTCCGTCTGCCTTTCGTGCAGCTCTTAGAGCCTCTATCCGGGCATTCAGTCTTGATCTAAGCAATTCCGGGTCTGTGGGGAGTTTGATGTGTTTTGGAGCAGTGGCAGGAGGGATGACGGATGATGTCGAGGTGTTGGTGCTAGGTTCTGTGGGGTTGTCGAAGGTAGGTGATGGTGAGGTAGGACTGGGGGAGGCAGATTCATGCTGCTCGGGCTTTTCTTCTAGACCGTCGGCTTCGAAATGTGCCATCTCACCAGACTGGTCGACATTGTCAACCATGGCTAGGTCTCCGTTTTCCTCGTCCATAGCATCTTGGTCTGATTCTTCGGGTTGTTCTAAGGCCGTAGGTTTCGAGATTGGCGCATTTGCGGGTTCGTCAACCGCTGGATTTTCCTTTTCCTTCTTATGCAACTTCTTCTCTTTCTTCCGCTCCTGCTTAAGCTTTCGTTTCTCATCTGGAGTCGCCTGTTGCTTCTTCCCTGTCTTTGGGGTGTCTTGCGTATCCGAGGTCTTCTGTTTCTTGGCCTTTTTCCCTTGTGGCTGCTTCATACCCTCCTTTGGCTGTTCTTTCTCCACACCCTCTATATCAGATCCTCCCAATTCTTCCAGTTCTTCCAGCTTCCTCTTCCGTGCTCGCTCATCCATAACATCTTTGGCAGTCTTGGCAGAATCTGGATCGAGTTTTGCGCGTCGGGCTGCGGCTGCTTGCTCTTTGGTTTGCTTTTTCTTCTTCCATTGATCCTGCGCAATCAATTAATGTTTGTTTGTGTTGTTCGAAGAGATGGAACATACACTGGTGTCTTCGCCATAATAGAACTTTGCTGGAATGAGGGACAGCAAGCCGTCGAATGCAGCTGCGTGTTCACGCAAACGGTCCTACGACAAATTAGAAAATTTAATGTTAGAGGCGGGGAAAAATGTACCTGGAGAGAACTCTCCGCCATAACAATCACCAGATCTCTAATTGCTCGTGATTGTGAATAAGGACTTGGCAAACAGCATACACATTCAGAATGCTCCGCTTCGTGATCTTTGGGCGCAGATGCAATCGTTGTCGAAGGTCAATGTGCAATCCAAAAATCCTCGTCGATAATTCTTATTAGTGCGATTTTGCTCCACAAACTTTTGGTTCCGCTTTGCGATAAGCCTTCCACGTGACATAGCTGATAACGGCACCCTTGATATTCATGCGAGCACAACTTGGCTTCTACTCAGCCTCGATAGAGAACGTAAGCAAATTCAACCTGCCTGGTTCAACAGGTCAGAATAGAGTTAATTCTGGCAGGAATATGCAAAGACAAGGCTATTTGAGTGAATGCCACGTCTGATGTGGCTAACGGTCTTTCCAAGCCCCGGTCCGTTCTGCCTTCTTCGAGATCTACATTACAGTCTTTCCACCACATGTTCCATGAACATTGAAGCTTGTCAAAAATTGCTTTCTTCAAGTTGGAGACGATCGTCTCCGAATAAATTCTTTTGTCTACTTCGTTAGCATGCGTGCTATTGAGAAACTCCTGCGATCATTCAAGCAGGCTTTCTAATACCTCCACTATGGCACCATATGTTGAGGCCAGCTCTTTGTCAGAGATAACTCAACTTGCGGGGAATCCTCCTAAGTATCCTCGAAACCCCATGGAAACCAAGAGACAACCTCTCACTCTATACATTGCTCGAGTCCCAGGTAGTAGAGGTATGTCACAACCATCACATGTGACCTGCGACTGTGAGGCGCTAATATGCTCCCAGATATCATTCTTACAACGCTCAAGCCACAACTCAAGAACGTAACTGCGGAAGATGTCTCTGCTTCTCTCTACTATCTCCATCTAAACACGGAAGATGACATTCGATTCCTACAGGACGATGAAGGAGCAGGTATCATAACAGAGGAACCTGAACCTGTTCTAGAAAAACCATTACCAAGGAAACCTCTTCCTGAAACTGCTAGATCATCATTAGAGCTCAATCGCTCTGCAAATACTGGAGCTGCCCCAAGTCCCTCAGCATCTATGCCAAGACGGAAGCCCGTTACGTCTATAGCTTCCTTCACTGAAGGGCGTCAGCAAAGTTCAAATTCAGACGTAACAATACCTAGACGCCCACTCGGACCAAGGCCTTTTGGTACAGAAGTCCCCGTCGCTAAGAGTGTCCTACCGGGCGTCGAAAATGTTCGACCAGATTCTCGAAGTAGACGTCAAGATGCCAGCCTTGAAGAAACAACCGGTCGCGTTGGGAATCAGAGTTTCAGTTCCGTGGATCACATGGTTGACGAAATGAATCCTAACGCATTCTCAATAACTGTGATTCGTCGAGATCCATCTTCTGGTGCTCAATGGAACGTTGGAACCATCTATGGTCAACCTGTTCCGGGCGAAGCACAGCATCGGCGAAGCAAAGGCTCCAAAAAGCCATATTTTGATATGTCTATCCAGCTGACTACGCCTGGTTACAGCCAGTTCCGGAATGTATCAGCCACTGGAAATAGTGCAGACGGTATGACGGAGGTGTCTTCACCCGTCGGAGTCAGCCCCAGAGCCGACATCTCACCAGTACAACCAAGATCTGGTTCAGGATTCAACCGACACCTCCGCATGGAAGGATCTAGCTTTTGGGAACGTTCCTCGATGCACAAGAGAGCGCAATCGGACTTCTCTGGGGAACGTGCAGTTCCACGTGGGAAGGACATGAGTTTAGATGCGACTACTTTTGGAGCGTTGAATGTCTCCAGCAATGATAGCATGTCAACAGGAGCCGTCGATTCTCGCTCTAAAGGCTACATCTTCGAAAGTCCATGGGGAGGTTGCTGTAAATTTTCCACTGGAAGTGGAGGTCGAACTCTCAAGTGTAAACATAGTCTTCCAGCGCCAATTTCGGCAAAGACAGCTGGTGACTTCACATCTGCGCCACAACCGCCATCGATTGTGAGTGAATTGAGGTTCAACCTTCCCTCGTCAGGCATTTTCACGCCTTCTACAGCCTCGGATACTACTACGAAGAGATCTAGCATTGATTCTGGACGCTTCAATATCTCAAAACTTGGTCACATGCGCAACAAACTGTCTCCGGACAAGATCCGGCCACCAGCTCCTCCTCCTCGGCCAACACTTCCGCCTCGACCACATCCAACCTCTTACGCAGCCATGTACCCAAGCGACGATGAGGATCGACCGCCACTTCCGCCTAGAACACTAGCGACGTCACATTTAAGACCTGGATATCAACAAGCGAACTCATTTCTCTCAACTGATACGACTCAATTTGAACCCGATTTGAGCTATTCAGACGAAGCAGATGATGGCGATCGTCTGGATCTTAGCATAGGTCGGGAGAAGGCAGGTGGAGGTAATCGTGGAAAGCGTGCGAAGCTGGGCAAATTGATCGTACATGATGAAGGCTTCAAGATGCTGGATTTGGCAGTCGCTGCTAATATGGGGATCTGGTGGAGCGTATGGGAATCTGAAAATCAATAGGTCTACGAATCTTCTCGAAGGGGTCTCCCTCCACTTCCCACTCCTGAAGCCTTACCAAGCGGCTTCAATATCCAATATTTGTTTCAAGCTGAACATTGGTCAGAAGCATCTAAATATTGACAGCAAGAATTCTTGTCAGCCACTGCAGCTTGAGAACAATCTTCTGCCGCCACAATCTGATATTTAGTTGACACTTGCGACCTAAGAAATACAGCGAGAATTTGATTCCAAATTTTCGTTTTTACCTAGGCATCTGGACTTCACATCCTCCTCGGCTTCACCAGACTTCAGCTCTGTCATGTCACACATTGTGATATACAGATGGTGCTCCAGCGGCCTTTGCCTGTCATCAGCAGGATTAGAACTTTGGATTCCAAGCGAGATCATGACCAAAATGGAATTAGGATCGTCGATTCACGTTGAGAATTGCGATGAGCATCAAAATGGCATTTGTTGAGGAGCTCGATAGTAGTACAGCGAATTCCATTTGGAATCGTCAATCCGTATTACAATCAATAATCCTCCCCAGCCAGGAACCTCTCTGTACACCTATTTTTCTTATGTGCGACAGTTTCTCTTACTCGGTCATTCATGGAAAAGGAGAAGCCTGAACGTAGCACCGAAGCCACAGTTGGTTTTCGTTTCGTTTACATCCATCTCGAAGTCTTTGAGTTGTCTCAGGCAGTAGAAGTCTCGTTGAAGATCTCCATATAAGAGCAGACACCACCCTTCCATTTTTCATTCTCCATCACGGAACAACAAGCATCTTCTCTAAGCTCAACTAATCTAATCAAACACTACACTCACTTCAACCTTTTCTTTCCCACATTCACTCAACCGCCAAAATGCAATTCACCAAAGCCCTCGCCATTCTCTCCCTCGCTGCCACTGGCCTCGCCGCTCCCACCGTCGAAGTCGCCAAGCGTACTAATGGCATCTCCTGCGCTCAGAGCCAAGGAACTCTTGCTTGTTGTCAGCAGAAGCCAGTCTTGCAACCTGTTTCCTCTCTCGGCGCCAACATTGCCCCAACTCTCGGAGGTATCTTGGGTGTCATCCCCGACATCCTGCCATTGATCGTCCCCACCGTCTCTGTTGCAGCTCAGTGTAAGAATCGATCACATATATACTTTTGGAGAATTCTTACTTACGAACGCACAGGCGTTGCTATCATTGCCGAGGTCGAAGCTTGCGCTACTCCCAACATCTGCTGCTTGTCCTCATCTTCAGGAAATACCAACAGCGCTGGCGTAAGCATCTTCATCCTCTTTTCAAGAAGCTTAGAAAGTAACGTCAATCCTCACAGCTCATCCAACTCCTCTCCAACGACGACATCTCCGTCTGCCCCGGTGTCACTGTCTAAACGCGCACCCTCTTTCTACACTTCTTCCTTTCACGCCCATCCACTAAAGCACCATCTTGGGTACATACATCATGGGTTCACTGTTCGCAACATCAGGATAGGGGAGGCAACATGGGAGTTTCGCTCAGTTCAGTAATTGGCTTTGGATTTGAGTTCTGGACGATGGGAAAGAAGACGGTCTCATTCAACATTGGACTTTCTTTCTGAGCTCATCAGTGGTTTCTTAACTTGTCATTGGTAAAACTTTTTAGACTTTTATTCAATGCATTTATTTTTCTTTCCTACTTTGATTCTTTCGTGACTTTTGCATTTTGGATTCGAGTTGAGGTTGGCTTTAGAGTGCTGTACGATGTACTTTCTCGGCAGGACAGTTCGCCGAATGAACCCTTCCCCAGACGCCGTCGACGTTGTACTGCAGGTTACCGCAAGAGAACACGCCTCGAACGGCGCCTTCCAGAAACGGCGAAGCTGCATTGCATACTGTGGTAATAGTAATACAGAGTAGGAGTACTGACGGTAGACCCTGTTTCCGACAATGCAGCTTCCCGTCCTTGTAGCACTACCTTTTGGCAGGTACAACGCAGGGGATCTTAGAATCAATTCAAAGATGACCATGGATTTGGGAAGTAGGACAAAGTATATTTTCATTGTCGGAGATACTTCCATGTGTTACTTAACTCTATTTAAGCTCCAATCCCAGGATGTGACCCATCCTTCACTCTCATACGCCGACCACCTCTTTACCAAACGCCAAAACAGTCCTACCAAAACAAAGCTTTACCTCGGCAATGCAGAGCTAATGAGAAATGTACTGGAACACAGCTGATACTTCGTGCTCTCCACACTCTTGTCTCAACAGCAAGTCCTGAATGGGCTTCAAACCCTCGTTTACAAAATGGTTCCAAGTACTCGTATCACCGTACATCATAGCTGGTGCCTTGATGTACTGCTTCCCATCTGGCTTGCAGCGTTTGCACTTGAACGTATCATGCGTGTCGCTAGTAGTACTTCCACGGTACTGGAACAATTCTCGGAGACTGTCCAAGGTGAAATGGCGTTCCACGTCCTCGGCAGAGTCCACAACACAAGATGACAGTGACTGCTTGTGAGATTGTCGCTGGAAAATCTTCTCTTCAATGGTGCCGGTCGCAATGAATCGATACACGAAGCAATCTTTCTTTTGTCCATCTCTCCATACACGGGCAAGAGCCTGCTGATCTGCAGCTGGGTTCCAGTCCGGGTCGAAGAGCACAAGTCTGTTGGCGCCTATGAGATTGAGACCACATCCTCCAGCTTTACTGCTGAGAAGGAAGATAAATTCGCTGCCTTCAGGATCATTGAATTTGTCCACAAGTTTCTGTCGCTTTGTTACATTCATGGTTCCATCGAGTCGCAAGCTACCGTATCCACGATGTCGACAAAGCTTGTTGAACATATCCAGGGTTTGAGTGTAATTACTGATCAGCACAATCTTGTCGTTCGTGTCTTGACGGATTCGAGCAAGCATCCGATCCAATACTTGCATCTTGCCAGAGTACCAAGGCTTGATATCTCTATCTCTGCCCCTGGCCTCCTTCGGGACGTAGTCATCTGGCCAGAATTGTTCGCAGCCAGGTAGGTCGTCGGGAAGATTGAGAAGATCTGGGTGGTTACATAGCTTCTTGAGCATACCGATAGCCTTGAGAGGTTGACTGCCCTTTCCTCTGAGCAATGCTCTGATGTCCGGACTGCTGATAAAGTGATTGTATAGGTCCAGCTGAAATGGAGCGAGGTTGCAAAATACGACGTGCTCATACTTGACTGGTAGGTATTTTGATAGAATGTCGTTCGTTCTCCTGATAATGAATTTGTTGACAACGGCGAGAAGCTCTCTGACGCTTGCGTCACCCTTTTCTCTATCTTTATCGCTGCCAGCAGCGTCTCGTCCCCTCAAGATAGGTATCTCGTACTTCTTTCGGAACTCTAACCGAGTCCCAAGAAGGCCAGGATTGGCAAAGCTAATGAGTGAGAAGTATTCTGTGAGATCGTTCTGGATTGGGGTTCCAGAAAGAATAACTCTTCGCGATACATTGAGGCCATTCAAGGCTGTGAAGGTCTGACTGTCACCGTTCTTCAAACGATGGCCTTCATCGCAGAGCATCAGTCCGATTTTTGTGTTCTTTAACTCGTCCACATAGAGTCGCAGGGTCTCGTATGAAACAATAATAACTGGTCGTGTTATGGCTCGGCCACTGGCGATGGCCCATTGTCGCAGTTGTTGGATCAGCTCCTCTTTTGAAGCTTTGCCATCAATAGCAAATGGCTGTATTGCATCTGGTCCAAGCCATTTTATCAGCTCATTTGCCCAGTTCTTGACCAGACTGGACGGACAAGCTATGATGGCTTTCGAAATGGTCGATTTTCCAGCATCGGGAGACTGTTTGATAAGTGTCCACATGAGTGTTATACATTGAAGGGTCTTTCCCAGACCCATCTCGTCCGCCATGATACAGCCATTGGCTCGCTCTTCTATCATGCCTGTAACACATTTGTACATAAACTTCACACCTTCAATCTGATGCGGCCGTAACACTTTCGCAAGTTTCGGATCAATGACGACCGGGACTTTTGGTCTTTCTCCCTCGACGACTTTCTTGATGCCTAGGATCTCTGCCAAAGACTTGTGGACTAAAGGAGCATCAATCTTGGGTTGTTCGGGTTCATCTGCTTTCTTCGCCTCTTCAATTGTCCTCGGCTTCTCGTCTATTGTAGGGTCGTATAAGACAATTGCGAATTCTCCACTCGGGTCATGTAGTGGTTTTGCCACAAACACTGCTCCTTGTCTTAATCCCAAAGTCGGTGGAGGTCGATTCGGATTGTACGATGCGGCGTTCTTATTGATCAATGGCACTGCAAAGCGTTTCCGAAACATTGTCTCTTTGTCCTTGACCTGGAAGACCGGGAACCTATTGGCATCTCTATTCGCAAGAGCCATCCGATCCTCGTTCGTCCAAGGCTTATCATCATCTTTGCTGCCATCAGCTCCTCCATAATCTACCTTCCGCCGCTTCCGGGTTGGCTTCTCTGATGTCCGTGATATTGTCGCAGATCCAGGACATTTGAATGGCGTACTCAGTTTGTTCACGGACTGAGGTGTGTACATGCGCTGTGTGGATGAAGGTATTGGTGTCCTCGCGGAAGATGATGGTATGTTCTCTTTGTCATCGCTCAATGTAATTCTGAAGGGCTTCTTCAATTTGTCGATACTCTGAGGCGTCGCCGCGAGAGTGGTACCAAGGCGTTTTTGAGTAATTGCTGGCGAGCTTGAAGGCTCTTCTGGAGGCGTAATCATCATTGCTGCATGATCGTATCCTTTTGTCACTGGGATTTCAACAACAGGAATCATATTCTCTATGTCCTCGAGGCAGTTTTCGAGTATCGAGTCCGCGTTGAAGACATCGATGTTGGGATGTGGCAATATCAAAACAATCGCGACGCGTTCAGAGGAAAGCGCGCTAATCACCAGCACATGTGACTCAGCCACACGTGACCTGTTTTTGACATGGAAGCCACCGCCGACGTCACCGAAAACTCCCGAGAAATTTCCCGCAAGAAAATATGTCGCTCAGGGGGCGCCGAAAAGGAAGAAAAAAATTCGACATGCATTGAAAAATAGTTCAAAAAGGCCCCGACATCCTCAATCTCAAAAAGTCGTACGATTCTCCTGTTCAATATCACAATTTCAAAGTCCCATACTTACCCCGGAGATTCATTTTCACGCCGTTGCTCCGCTGCCCCGCGCTAAGTTCAAGAATGGCCCCAACTCGACCTTCGGATATCGACAACTTTTTTGCTCGATACCAAAATCCCATTCTTGGGACCACTTTTGCGACACAGGTTCTCCATTATCAATACATACGGCGAACTCAACCGGCAATTGATTCGGGCGTCGCTACTGCTGTCAGAAGTACTTCTTTTCCACGACCGTTAAGAGCTGGCCTTGGGTGGGCAGTCGTGTTTATTGGACTTTTGACCAAGATCACGTTGGCGAAGAAGTCCATAAGAGACTTTTCAGATCCGATCCTTGCTGCCAAAACCGAAAGAAAACAGTGGAAACAGGTCTCCAAAGAGGAACTGTAAAGCTCTGGTATTCGAGAATGATGGCTTGAGCAATACAAGTCGCTTCACTTAACAACACTTCATTATGTCCGCCGACTTTTGGGCTGGCTACATTAGCGGAGCGGCAGGAATCCTAATCGGCAACCCCCTCGACCTCATCAAAGTCCGTCTCCAAGCTGGATCTCCCTCCCTTTCAAGAACCAGCTCTAGCTCCAACATTCGTTCCACTTCCCCTTCTACTCCCAGGACCTACGCCTCACAATTCTCCCCAGCGAGCTCCCTCATCAGAGGAGCAGCAGCTCCCATCCTCGGATACGGAGCCCTCAACGCCCTCCTCTTCGTAACCTACAACCGAACCCGTGACCTCCTCCAAACGACCAACCCCACGTCTCCTTTCCCAGCACAGCCAAATCTCTGGACAACCTGGCTAGCAGGCGCAATCGGCGGTCTCGCAACCTGGGTCGTCTCCACGCCCACCGAGCTCATAAAATGCCGCGCCCAAACATCATCTTCCTCCACCGGCGCCTCAACCTGGGGCATCACCAAACAGATCCTCAAGACAGAAGGAGTCCGCGGCCTGTATTTCGGCGGCGTAGTCACAGCTCTTCGAGATAGCATTGGCTACGGTTTCTACTTCTGGTCCTACGAACTCAGCACCCGGATCATGATGAGCCGGTTCCCGCCGCAAGAAGGCCAGGGCGGGGAAGCTGCGAAGGTTTTGCTGTGTGGGGGACTAGCGGGTGTGGTTACGTGGGCGAGTATTTTTCCTTTGGATGTTATTAAGACGAGGGTTCAGACTCAACCCTCTGCTGTTTCTGGCGGCGAGAGTTCTCCGCTCCTGGGTGTTGGTGGTGGAGGGAGGAGATTGGGCGCAATAGAAGTTGCGAGGATGGCATATAGAAATGAGGGCGCAAGCGTGTTTTTTAGGGGACTGATGGTTTGTAGTGTTAGGGCGTTTATGGTTAATGCGGTGCAGTGGGCGGTTTATGAGTGGATGATGCGGGAATTGGACCCGAAAATAGAGAATGGGAGGTTATAGACTCTAGATCAGAATAGAATAGAGAGTAAGATAGAGCTTAGACGAATGTATGAATACATGACCTGAACATGATATCAATTTCTGTCCAAGAGTCAACCTTCAAGCTCATTAAGGGAAAATAAGCCGAATAACTTTCAGTAACGACTTTAGTTATCAGAACAAGTCATTTAGTCAAACGTTGTCATGTGCAAAGTGGCATCGAATCCGCTATTAGAGGAGGCCCGGGGGCAACAATATATCTTGCGTTCCGCTGTATGAGGACTTGTTATCAACTCTGGAAGATCAAGCTTTTGCATTTTCAGCTATGCAAATTTTGTATATGACTCCTCGTCTTCGACGGATTGAAATAGCTAGATCTTATCTTGGGCTCCTGATATTGGCAGCCTGAGATTGTCGTTACGCGTGTCAAACGTTGAATTCGAGATGCTTTTTGTTGGTGAATAGGTGTGTAATTCGTAAGCTCGTTGAAGCCTACTTCTTGCGAGATCATGGACCAAAGAATTGTAGATCTTATCTGAGGATCTACAGCTATGTTTGAACCAGACAATTGCAGAACTGTATTGTTTGTGGAATCCTCCTACATTGTACTCTACTCAGTGGCTGTACTAGGCCGGGAAATTCTTTTTAGCAGGATATCTGCCCTATCTTCGTTCCTCAAACGATATGCTCAACAATACACTATCCCACATATACGACCTTACTTAGTCACTCTCATCCTCATCATCCTCCTCCTCACTACTCTCCGAATCCGCCTCCTTCAACCAATCAATAAACACCACCGTCTTCTCCCTAACCCTCTTCATCTCCTCTCCCTCCACATCCCCCAGCGCCTCGGCCTCGTCCCACCATCTCAAAAATGCATCTTCCTCCAACACCTCCAACTGATACAACTTCTGGCAAACCGCCGCAAGAATGACAGCCCCGCTCCCTCTATGTACCAAGTCCTTCTGTAGACACGTAATGAAGTCCACTTGATCGTCTTCCTCCTTGTCCTTGCCTATTGCCACATCGTTCAAGAACTCAACCACGCCTTCAACGGAGAAAGCCTGTGCCACAGCTTCGCTGGCTCCGAGTTTGTCGTTCTCGACTAATTGGGAAATGCGCTTTGTGAATGCTACAGCGATGGCGCGGCGGAGTTGGTGATCTGAGGCGTTGTTACTGAGTCGTAGACCCATGAACTCTAGTCTCGCTCCACTCGCAGGGCCGAAGTTACCCCCTTCTCTGAGGGCATCGAGAAGGCCAGTGACGGCATCATGGTGGAAATTTTCACTCGATGATCCCGTTTCGCCGTCGTCGGAAATGGAGCCAGTGAAGCTGGATCGATGAGAGCGACCTTCCACTGGTTCGTCAGCGCTAACCTGAGATGAGAGGGTAGATATTGAGTCGGATGAGAGGTTGAGATGTTCGGTGCTGTAGATGAGTCTGTTGTGGAGGACAGCTACTTCGTCGTCTGAATCTTCATCATCGTAATAACCGTAACCTTCACCTCCTTCGCCAACCAAGAGAGGGTCGTTGGGAACGAGTTCCGCAGGTTCGTCATCCGAGGCGTCGTGCAATTTCCGCTTTGCGCGAGTGATTCTCGATCCTGCTTTGACTTCTCGGTTGTCTGCTATTCTGACACCGTAAGATATCAGAGCTCCTGGTTCCAGCGTGCAGTTCTTGCCAACCACTGCCTCGTTTGCAATGATTGATCTTTCGACCACAGTACCATCGCCAACAACCACATCGTCCCAGATATAGGAATCTTTAATCGTCACATTATTCCCGATCTGACATCTCCGTCCAATGACGCTATTCGAGACGAGACTCCCAGCTCCAACACTCGTGTCTTTCCCTACCACAGTTTTCTGTCCAATCTCGCAACTATTAGCAAGCATAACACCATTCTCTTTGCAAAAATTGCCCTGCTCAAAGGAGTAGTCTTGATCAGTAACAAGATTGCTATCCGGCACAAGAGGATATGTCCACCTGCCCAAAACATCCTTAGAAACCGCCTCATATGATTGCAAGTTGAAGACACGAGCAGCATAATGCCGATCCACGATCTCTGTGTGTATCGTCTTCCCATTCAACTCATAATCTTTCAGTACGCCATGTAGGAAATGCCGTCTTGGAACCTCGTAGTCGAAGGACTCGGCCCACAGCGCAAGCACATCAGGAGTGCAGATATCAATTCCACAATCAATCAAATCGGTCCTAATCTCCATCTCTGTGTGCATAGTCAGGAGTTCCGGGTCGAGATTGACGTATTTATTTGCTTGTAGCGGGTGCATCTCTTCGTAGTGTATGCAGCGATTCTTCGTAGGATCAATCACAAAGACTGGCTCTATTCCCTTCGCTTTTGTCCGATGATCACCCAATCCACCAGTTCGCAGAATCATAGTCATGATCGCATTCTTGTCCGCTAGCCTTCTTGCTCGATGTCTGGAAAGAGCGTCGTCAATTGGTAAGTTCGAAACCAGGTCCCCATGTACGAGGAGGAAATCTCCTGTGATCAGATCTCGTGCGTCCAGATCTCGCATGGCGTCTCCTATTGAGCGGGCTGTGGTCTTGACTATTTCGAGGGAGGTAAATGGTGAGGCGTTGGAGGAAGGATGCCATTTTGAGGTTTGGATGTAGTTCTCTACTTCACTGGTATGGGCACCGCAGTAGATATAAATGTCGGCTACTCCTGACATTGCCAGGAATTCGAGGGTGTATTCGATGAGAGGCGTGTTCGCAAGCGGTAGAAGGCACTATAGAATGTTAGTAACTGCGTTAACCAGACCGACGAAAGAGGGTGGAAAGCACTCACTCTTGGTGTTTCTATGGTGAAAGGAATGAATCTGGTCTCAAAAGAATCTGCAAGCACCTTCGCGACGTTAGAACTTTTGTCCGCACTCTAAAATATCATTCGATCTGCGACCACGTACCACAGCTTGTAAAGTCTCTTCTCTCTCATCCTCAGACTTCTTCCCAGCAGCGGAACCCCGTTTCGCTTTGGGACTTCCCTTTCCCCCACCACCAGCACCCTTCGCAGACTTTTGCGCGTTGGACATTGGGTCGAGCCCGCGTGAAAGACGCGAGCTATCTTATCAAATAGTCAATTCAGGATGCGCGCAGGATCATTCGTAATTATTCATCGAATTCAGTATTCATGTTATGGTGGGGTCGTTCTGCAAGTATTCACCAGCTCAAAAGTTGAGTCACGGAAAATTGTCCCTCTTCGACCGACGCCACAGTGGCTGATAGCTCGAGGATCCTTCCGCACCGACGAGGCTGATCAGGCCATTTCGTGTTCGATTGAAGTCCAGATTCCCGCCCCATAATCAGGGGCCTTTTCAACGTCGGAATACTTTATTGCAACGTCAATCCGTTCCTTCGCTGCATCTTTTTTTCTTTTGAATTCTCGCTGTGAAAGGCAGGTCTGGATCTGTGGCATCTTGACATTCATTTTCTTGGCGTTGATAAAGCACGTTCTCATCGCAAGAGTACAGATCACAAACACCACGTCTCACTGACAGTTCCGAGAGACAGTTTTTCAAAGTCGGGTCATAATAGTGGTGGTTGAATTGGACTATTTTTTGCAGACATATCGGCCATCATCGTGCTGAAAGACAGCCGTTACACCAGCGCCAGTGCAAGCATCAGCATGCCTCCTTTCATCCTTTCAATGCGAATTTCCAAAGTACCGCCTTCCCATGGCCATCAGACGCCGCTGAATAAGATATCTCCCGCCTGCGCCAAACGTCATATTCGTGTACGAGATGAATCAAAGATTCACCCAAAGACGTAACCCCCAGATAAATATGCAAGGCGCTCAACAAGAAATATGGATACAGTAGAGAAAACTAGTCGTTAAGGGATCGATTCAAGGCCAATTTTAGGATATGATAGTTACCAAACTATCCTTATTGGGAGAACCCGCCTGGTGGGGGATACATTCTCTGCCGTTTCTCTGGGTGGTCATCAGGCGGTCCTCCAGCCATGTCAGACATCACTCTTCGATGAGGTTGTGTGGGTCGAGGCGCTCCCATGGGCTGGTTTTGAGCTGGAGGAAACCCAGACTGTGGATGAGGGTGCGTGGGGGTCATGTTATATTGTCGATTGTCTGCCATGCTCTGCTGCATATATCCTCCCGGAGACGGACCTACGGGCGATGGCCCTGATATTTGATTTGGCGAGTGCCACGAAGAGGCTGTCGCCGGCGATTTCCCGGGCGATGTCTCCTCTTTCAGAGATTGTGCTGCAGACAATTGTCCCATATTCAAGCCCAATGGTGGATGAGTGGTTGTTGGCGTGACAAAGCCCCCAGGGTGTGACATTTGTGCTGGCTGTGGAGTGTATTGCGCATTCTTCTTAAATTGTGGCAGATGCTTTTCCAGCGCTTTCAGCATTCCTTCTCTCGTAAAGGGCTTCGGCAGGACGTCGTTCATGCCTAGTACTCATTAATATATACCACAGTGTGTCTGAAAGTGACTAACCATAGCGGAAGTACATATCGATATCATCGGCCCTTATATTTGATGTCATAGCTATAATGGGAATCTGAGGCCGTGCTTCTCGAATGCAAACAGTGGCAGAAACTCCATCCAGATGGGGCATAATAATATCCATAAAGATCAGATCGAATTGGCTCTGGCCATTGATCTTGGTCACGGCTTCCAAACCATCTCGCTATAAAACTAGTCAATATAGTAACTTTCACTTCTTATATAAAACTTACTGCAGTCTCTACTCCACACTCGAAAGCCTGCAGGAACTTTGATCCTATGCGCGCGCATACTTTGTCATCTTCGACAAGCAATATACGAGGCTTGGTCATTCCCCATACAGACTCTATCGAGCTCTTTTTCCGGCTAATCAAGGAGCTGCTTTCAGGCAGCATTTCGGGCATTGTGTCTACTGGCATCATACCGTTCGCAGGCAGAGAGTAAGGAATGTTGTTGATATGTTCGCTGTTGACAGGATCGATACCGTTTGTGTGACCTACAGGGTATACCAAGCTATCAAGGTCATTGCCAATGGTATAACCAAGATGAGCGCTAGAACTTTCCGAATGTGGTGGTAAAGATGTGTTGGTGTTGTCTGGAGTGGCTGAATAGTCGTTGCGCAGGTTGTAGTCGTGTGTCATCTGTTCTAATTCCTTATTGGGCAAGTTCTCAGCGGAAAATTCATCAAGCAATTCAGATGCCTGTTGTAAAGGCGAGGCGGGGTGGTCGTCGATGATGCCGTCGTTCATGGATGGATCACCACTTCCCATACCGTTTGCACCGAAAGGGCCACCAATCCTGCTGTTTCGCCTCTGAGCATCGACGCTGTGGAGGAATCCCATCACTCTGTGCATCACTCCATCATGATTCTTGACAAATTTCTGTAGTTGGACAACCTGCTGTAGTAAGACGACATGTCCTTGAGCAAGGTCATGGTACCTTTCCGAGAGATGCTGAAGCTGTGCTTGGGTGGCCATTAGCTGGCTATTGACCATGTCCATTTGTTGAGAAGGGTACGTTTCTTCCAAAGTCTGTGTTGGTTTTCGAGGTGCTGGCGCTTTCCGTCTAATGTTATCTAAGGAATCTTTCTTGTTGGCTTGAAATTCTGGGTGCTTGAATTCCCAGGCCTGGCTTCTTATTAGTCTGTATTTACTAAGAATGAAAACACCATATACTAACATTGGCGCCGTAAGGGGATGGAGTGTTGTCTTCGTTATTCTGTCGGACCTTGTGGAAGTCATACTTGTTCAGTTGTCGAACGAAGGAAGCAAAGTTGCTATGTTTGAAATGTTTGGGCAGGATCATTTTGGTAAATTTCTCGTTCTAGAGTGGATTGTTATTACGAGAACAGCGCAAGCCTAAGCTGCTTCATGAACGTACTTCAAGGACGACGAAACTATCACCGTTTTCGCCCCATCGGACAATGTGTTCATAGGATGGATCTTCCAGCATTCTGTTGGCAATGTATTAGTGACTTGGCGCATCAACATAATCTCTATACTGGAGAATCAATGACATGCAGTACTTACTTATATAGCTTACGAACCTAAAGAGACATTAGCCCCAGCAATATAATTTCAAGCGGAGGTATCTAGACTCACAAAGTCGCTGGAATTGTTGGCCGCCGGGCCACCCATATCCCCGCCTTTGTCCATCTTTGCTATCTTGCTGGGAGGCTTTGGGAGTGATGGCGACCGCTCCCGACGAGCGCGGGAAAGAATGCAAAGAATGATTCGAGATCCCGATGAATGGGAGGACGACGGAGCGCGATCGAGTTGACAGTGCACGGTCTTGCTGCTCCCTCGGCACGCCCAGAATAATGCAGATAAAGATCTCTGACCGTCTTGGTCCCCAGCGATAGCGAAGGGCGTCTTTTGCTGGTCGGCCAATGGGTCTTACTGCAGCATCGAGGGTCTGGACATCACGGATACAGTCGAAAGTCGATGGAGGGTCGAGATGTACGGAGTATGCAGATGAGGCTCACAGGAGAAGCTGAGTGACATTACCTGTAGTGGGGATCAGTGGCTAGCAAGCTAGGACTCTAGGAGTGTGGACTTTTTCGTCGCACTGATCGGCAACGGCAGGGATAATGCTCTGGGCAGGGTGGAGGGCGAATCAGCGGCGGACGATGCGCCACCGTTGTTGTTGTGGGCGCATCTGCTTCCTTGATAGTGAGACATGTCGACCCCGAGCATCGCGGACAAGCTGGGGGGATTCTGCAGGCCCATGGTGGCTCTGCCATCAACACGCTCTAATCGACGCCCCTTTTTGGCTATTTGGCGCACCGCTAGAGCCAAGCGAGGTGCACATGCGGCAGTGATCGCTGCCGAAGCAAGCAAGCATATTCATATTTCTCACAACTCTCATCTCGGACAGGTCGAGAAAAACAATTCCTCGGTTTGATGGTATTCCTGCTGCTGCTGCCGTTGTTGGTGGATATCGAGCTGCTTTCGTGCGTGTTGTGTGTAGCGCCAGCCGACTCGCATTCCATCTGTCCATCATCGTCGTGATGCGATGTGATGTACTGTTTTCTATGCGCATCCATCCTATCGACATCACACACGATGCTAACTCTCACCCGCCCTGGCTCGCCCACGGCGTTTTGCCTCTTTAAGGTTACCGGACCTCAACCAGATCTGTGGGAATGACGCATGCGTGGAGTGGAGTGCCCTACCATCCGGCCCGGAAAAATTCAAAGGTTCAGTTCACTCACTCAACTCATGATCTCGCCTTGTCCCACACGTCCCGCCGGCCCTCAACAGGACGAAATACGGTCATGTCGAAGAAAAATGATACACTCCAGTGTGAGGAGACAATGCTCCGCCTCGGCTGGAGGATGGAGAGACAAAACAAAACAATAAACAAATCTCGTCGTTCCGTCGGGAAGGATCCGCCCGCGCAGCATCTCTGCTCCTCCTCTTGATCAATCTCGCATTCTTGGCCAGCTCAGAAAATCTAAATCCCCCCGTCGCAGCCCTAGTTCAGACCTATCACGCCAAGTTTCCGCGACGCTTCCGGCTGATCATCACCGTGTCGGTTCGCTCACGCGCTTACAAGCACCACCGATCATCATGTCCAGCATTTCTGACGCCCGCCAGAACCCTGAATCGTGAAAATCGCCCTCGCTGACGTCTCACCCTAGCCTCTATGGCTCTCAAAGTTCAGAATGCAGCAGCTGCTGTCAGGAACCAATTCAAACTACTGTGCACCCCTTCCCGACCTTGTATAGCGCCTTTAATATCCCAGGACTTCGAGACCAATAAAAACTTCTGAAAAGTGCCTACTAGATACCTGATTGGCCTCTATATCTTAGGATGCGAACAGCGCTATACAAAGTACTGTATCTTAACGGTCCAGCTTGACTTGTTCAGGGGCTAAACTAAAATAGGAGTCCAGTAAGATGCAAGGCGTTCGTGCTGACCGCTGAAATGCATTATTAGACGGTTCATGCTTTTGTTGATCCACGGGATTGTGAAAAGGGGGACTTTCGTTCGTGCTCCTCGCGATGCACGGCAACCATAGGGATCTCTCGAGGCAGCACGAATGCGACATTCTTCTGGTCCTAAAACACCCGGAAATAGGCTTATCTTGTCGAACCTCAGGGTGGTGAACACGCTTTTCATCTGTTGAGTGTACAGGTCACGGTAATCTTGGAATGATGCCCAATTGCAACTATTGAAACGAAAAAGAACTTCAGAGGGGAAAAAATAACGCTCTTAGACACTAACAAACGTGTTGCTGAAACAAATTCCCCCATGGCTTCCTCCCTTTTGGCGGTTCGTAGCATTGCTACAGTATGTCCTTTGTGAAAAGTAATATTGCGCCATGATAAGGCAAGTCATGCTATCCGGGAGGAGATCTGCCATGTTGTCTCTCAACTCCACGTTGAGTTTCTCACAGAAGATGCTATCTAAGACTTTGCAATATAATTTGATGATTGACTTTTTTCTTCCGAGTCCATAAACCTGACTGGCTTGAATTCTATATTTCACGGGACGAGGTACACCTCTATTACTCTGTTGACAGCCTCGTCAAGTAAGTAATGATTATTAATCTTGAACAGTCGGATTTCGTCTTGCTGCGGCTTGATATCTGAATCAAGTAGCAGAAGGGTTACTTGATCAGTGCATTGCGCCTCCGTATTGTCTGACTCAATGGCCCGTTATGTTCTGCAGCCTCTTTAATTACTCTTGTCTCATCGTCCCGCATCCCACGCCCATGATCCGAGTCTAATTCCAAGGGTATAAGTATTGCAAATACATATGATCTTGGTTGAAGAATGATAGTGCTATCTTTAACATAAAAGCTTCCACCGCCCGGCTCAAGTCAAAAGTAACTGTAACAGCACCACCTCGACAAGGCAAGAAAACAGAATCTAAGCCTAGAGGCAGTCCAAGAAAGAGGTCATGAGTCTGCTGCCGACTGCAACTTGTCCCTGATCTGTGAAATGCACAATTGCTCGTCTCCCTTAACCTCAATACTAGTAACAGCTATAGTCTTGTCTCGTGACTTGAAGCCTCGAACAACCCCCACATCGGATTTCGGACACTTTAGTGCCTAGACTCGTAAATGAAGCTCTTGGCTATGCTGTGTCACTGACTTACATCACTAAATACTTCTCTCACAGCCTTGTTTGCTTCCCCGTCCTTTGCCTGTGCTGCTACACAAACTTCAATCACAGAATCGGAAATCGACAAGATCCCTTCGCGCTGTTTGCTAGCTCCTGGCTTGACGTGGCATTGTAAGTGAACAAGTGCTGATTTGGCAGATGAGGTTACAAGACGTATTACAGGTGGTGAAGTCATTGAATATTCGAGGTCTTGTGGGGGATTTAAATCACTTGTTGCCGGATCGGGTTAACCTTAAGCTTTCTCGAGGCTGTGGCTTCCCTTCAGATTCGAAGCTAAAACTCGAGAACTTCAGCCTTTCCGCCCAAACTTATTTTCTTTCAAACCAACACCGCAATTTCGATCGCCATCAACACGCATTGGAGATCTTGAGTGCGCGATACAAAGGTGTAGATTCTGATTACAAAATGGCCGGTCAAAGCGGCTATGGCTGCTCGAATGGCTCATCGTCGACGCGGTACACCTTGACTGCGCTCAATCGATGGTCTGTCGCAGACAAGCAGCAACTTCCTGGTAAGATTTATCACCATAGTATGGCCACGATCTAATTGTGCGCAGCGATCGATAAGATCAAAGCCTTGCATGTCTATGACTTCGACAATACTTGTAAGTGATGAACGCATTGGTTTGCTTCTATGTACTAATACATCATTTAGTATTCAACAGTCCTTTGCCGAATCCAAAGCTATGGAATGGCCCGACCATCGGCTTCCTACAATCTCAAGATACAATTGCGAACGGTGGATGGTGGCACGACGCGAGAATCCTCGCAGCTACTGGTGAGGGACTCGAGAAAGAAGAACCAAGAGCTTGGAAAGGCTGGTGGAACGAGCGCATTGTTGAGCTTATCCAGCTTAGCATGCAACAGAAAGATGTCCTGACGATCCTTCTTACTGGTCGAGCAGAGTCTGGCTTCGCCGAGTTGGTGAAAAAGATGGTCACAAGCAAAGGACTGGACTTCGATATCATATCATTGAAGCCAGCTGCGGGCCCGAACAATGAGCGCTTCTCAAGTACCATGAACTTCAAGCAGAACTTCTTGGAAACCTTGATGGAGACATACAGAGGTGCAGAAGAGATCAGAGTCTACGAAGACAGAGCCAAGCATGCCAAAGGCTTTCGAGACTATTTCACGGATTACAACAAGCGTCAGAACGGTGTTGGAGGTTCACCTACACGTGGACCTATCACTGCTGAAGTGGTCCAAGTGGCCGATGGAGCTACCCAGCTGGACCCTGTGAAAGAGACTGCGGAAGTGCAGCGCTTGATCAATGATCACAACCTTGCTATCAACAACGGCCGGCGGGGCCCACGTCTTCAGATCAAGAAGACGGTTTTCTACACAGGCTATTTGATCAACAACGCTGACACGCAAAAGCTACTTACTCTAGCCCAAGTACCACCCAACATGCCTGACTCCGAGCTCAAGTTTCTTGCCAATAACGTCCTTATTACTCCTCGGCCTTGTCAGAACAGTATTCTGGAGAAGGTTGGTGGAATGGGCAGCAAGACAACTTGGGAGGTAATAGGAACAGCTGTCTACGAGAACAAAATTTGGGCTGCATGTGTCCGTCCTGTCCCAGAGACCAAGAAGTACTATACCGAAAATCCTGTACCAATCATTGTCCTCGTTCTGCGTAAAGGTGCCCGTCCTATCGATGCAGGTAAGATCCAGAACTGGCAACCTGTCCCTCCAGAGAAGCAATTCGTCTTTGAGAGCACTGTTGGCGAGAAGGTCTTGCTTCGCATTGAGGATGAGGATCCCAGAGAGAACGAGTATGAAAGCCTGTTTCCCAACAAAACCTTCAAACGCAAGCATGCACCTGATGATGACCCTCCTAGGCGAGACAGCGGTTCGTACGGACACGCGCAGAACTCCAACAGTGGTCGTGGAGGTTACCAGCAAAATTATAACGGTGGCCCTAGGGGCGGACGCGGTGGCCACCGTGGTGGCGGTGGCAGTTCTTCACGTGGAAGAGGTGGAAATAGAGGAGGCAATGGCGGAAGAAGCAGAGGCCGAGGTGGTTACAACTATCGATCGTTAGACGATGTTGGTGAACGAGGCAACAATACGCCCCCGAGCTACAATGCTGCTGTTGCCTACGAAGACTTCCCGCCACTTCAAAAGCAATATCAGACTCCGCAGCAATTGGTCCAGCAGCAATTCCAACAATACCACCAATATCAGCAACAGATGCAAGGAAAGGGTGGAAATAGCGGTGGTGGCGGCGGTAACCAGGAGTTACAGTACTTCTAAGGATGTGGTTGGTGATTGTGCATTATTGGCGTACTATCTGTAGAGTACAGGGCGGGAGTTTTTTGCTTTACTTTTGATTTGCATTGGAGGAGTTGGGATTATTCTGATATCCAAGATCGCTTCCTAGAGAGCTGGGTCTATCTCGTATGGATAGGAGATAGGGGTTAAGCTCTTTGTATGTTATATCATAGCTTGGTCGCAAGTCTACTGAATCAAAGGCTTTTGCTATGAACACTGTACACACGCTTTTTCAGTGAAGGTTGGTTTTGTTGTCGTCAAATCATCTTCACATCTCACACCAATTCAATATGCAACACATTGGGAGAAAGTCTTTATGAATTTCAGATCATGCTTCTGCAATGTACTCTAGTAATTCAGAAACACCTTTCAAGAAGTTATTTTCTCGCCAAAAACACAAAACATGACCGAAAGCAGGGCTGGTTCACGCCGGAAGCCATCATTTATATGCTTGACTCAAATCCTCTGTACTTCTTCTTCTCTTCGTCATCGACTTTGTTATTTATTTTCGCTCCGACGCCTCTACTCCAATTGATGCAGTGCAGGAGCAGGCTTGATCTCATCTCCTTGCATCTCCACGGGCTTCTGCGCGCTACCATCCGGAATCGTGCCAGGGTTCGTGGCCGTGTTGTCAATAACGTTGTCCTCGCGTTGCCATTTTGCGGGCTTGGTCCACTCGGGATCAGTCCATGGTCCTGCGTCGCTGAAGCCGCAGCCGCCGTCACACTCACAGCTTCCGCCGAACATCTTGGGCAGGTTCTCGGCGGGGACTTGCGAGAGGAGTTCCTTCTGGTAGCCGCTGCCGAGCACGTGGATCTTCTCTACGGTGACGGGATCGAGCCAGCCTTTCACGACGTTGAAGACGCCTGAAAAGCCCCAGGGAGCGTTGATGAGGTAGAGGCGGCCGAGGCGTTCGGGGTAGTAGTTTTGGGAGATGGCGGAGGCTTGTTTGACGTAGGAGTATACCGAGGAGACTTTTGTGATGCCGACGCCCTTGAGGTCCATTATTGTGCAGCAGGTTTCGAGGAGGGTGCCGGATTTGCGCGAACAGGCGGGGAGGCGGGGGTCGGCTAGTCGTTCGTACTCGACGGCCAGGTTGTTCAGCATTCGTTCTGAGGTCGTGATCTTGTACATGGCGGCCAAGTCGATGTTTCCCAACTGTTCGATGTATACTGGTCTACCATCCTGTTTCTTTATTAACCCTCGTTCTCCTAGTGAGAAGAACTGTGATTTCGTACTTTATCCGTCTTGTGGTAATATTGTGGGTAGTACTTAAAGACCTCGGGCTTCTCCTTGTAATCCCACGTACGAACGAGGTTATCGAGATCAGTATCCTTGCGCCACTTTTCACAGTCGACGAACCTATTCCGACAATCAGTTCCGATCTTGTGAAAGTAAGAATTATGCAAAGACATACATCTTCTCGGACAGGGCCACATCGAATTTCCGAGCTCGCAGAAAGCGCAGCTACGACGCGCGTCAGTCAGTAATTTGGCCAGTAATTTGCGGGAATCGCTGCGTACTCACGAGAGTCAGAGTATCGAGTCGGTCTGTGTAGCCAGCTGCCTCGAGCTTCATGCGCAATTGGTGAACCTGGGCATCTTGCTCGGGCGTTGTGTGTCCTGGGTGACCGCTCAGCGTGTTTGGGGAGATGGTAGGGAAGTCGTAGTGATCGTATTTGGGGTCGAGCTTCATGCCCTTCTCTGCTGAAGCCATGGTTGAGATTTTGGAGTCGATAAGAGACTGCGATGCGGTTTGTGTTCGCGGGTTCCAAGTTCATATATGAATCTCGAAGTTAGCCTGAGGGGCATATTTCAGAAGTGACGTTTTTAGCTCAACTTAAGCGAGAACTTAGAGGGAAAAAGGGCCATACAGAACAGGGATCGAAGGCATGAGTCTCACATGAATTTAATTTGTTGTTTACAGGTCTTACTTTCTTGGTTCCAAGCTTTGCAAGTTCTTGGCAAGTCTTTCGCTGAACGTTCAACACTTTTGGGGCAGCTTACTTTTCCCCCAAAGTCATACATCCTGCTGCACATCAGACCTCAAAATCAACCCCGCTATCGGGCCAACGCAAGTCACAGAGTCCTGCCTGAAGTCCTTTACACTCTTGCATCTGAAGCTCTTTGGGATTGTGTTTCATTAAGATCTAAGCAGCTCAACCATTTGGAGTTCCATTCTTTCCTGTGTCTTCCAAGGCAGCTTGCTCACTCTTTTCTTTCCGCCTCATCGTGACATCCCAATTATAGACTCGCGCCGTAGCAACCTCCATCGTCTATGCTTGGGTCAATAATATTCTTGCATCAACCAAGGCTTATCTTACCGTAATTTGCTCTCTCAAGAAATCCAGATCCTCTTCGCAGTTTGCCAAGTTCCGTTTCGCGGCCGAAAGTTGTGACGAAAGTATTTCTTCGGCTTCGTCAATGGGGTATGACAGCATCACGTTTGCCTAATCTTCCATCAGCACTGTTCAGCTCTACACTAAGACATCACAACGCACTCCTAACCACAAATAGACCTCATCCGTTGGTGGGATTTCCGCTTTGGCGTATAATGTATCGTTGAGCTCGAAGGTAGCTTCTATTGGATCGGAGCCAGGCTATAGTAACATCGTCAATTGCTAATCCCCAGATTGTGGTGTATCAACATACTTTTCGTGTCTTTAAAAACTTCACAGTATCCAAAGTCTTCTGAATGTCTGGCATCTTGTCCTTCAAGCCTGCCGCTCTGCGTTGTTGGTTTGCTTCCATGAATTGATATTTCCTGTCCCTTATTTCAGCTTCCAGTCCCCTACATATCCCTGCAAACATACGATATCATCTCTTGGAAGCTCTTAAGAGTCGTTTCAACATCGGCGCGTGAGGTAACATAGTCTTCGATTTTATCGACAAACGGCGCATATGGGATGCCTCGTGGATTCGTAGCTGCCAAATCTTTTCTAGAATGCGAATCAGCTTCTTGAATCTCACGACAAAGAGATGTCTCAGTCTCAGTTAGTCCGCGCTTACTTTATTCCCTTATCTGCCATGTTTGGCACAGAGGTGTAGGTTCACATCAAGCAGCTGAAGTTGTCGGTTGTCTCAAGAGCAGCACAGCTTTATTTCCATATCCACAAAAACAGCTTTATCGCGCTAATGCTGATGGCGCTAAGATATCGGGTAGGACGACTAGCGCACGCCCCTCGATATTAGCAGCACCAGTGATTACTCTCTGTCTTACCACGATCGACAAAGGCAAAGTGAATTGGGGAATTGGGTCGTGTATGCTGTGTCCCGTGCAACGCGGGTCTTCCGGCCGATTGCTATGGAGTCCGAATGGCTTCGAGACGTGATTCGATTCTCCTTGAAGGCCTCGATTACCACGACCGCCGATGACGAGCCCAGTCGAGATCCAAGACTCCGAAAATTAGTTGAAGGTCTTTTGTACTCGCGGCAATTTATCTTGACATATCATCTTGTCATACTTGGCTGTATCCTCCTGTTTACACTTGTACATTGGGCTGGTAACTTCAAACGATGGCAAAGAAGGCGGTCTTCCAGGTGCCAAGTCTTGAACATAGAAGGCACTTTCGATGATGACGGTGACCCTATCAGTTCAACGCCCGCTGAATGGTACGGAAATCGGCAAGGCCCACAAGTAGTTTATTCATCAGGCTCAAGTACAGTCGAAGGAACGGCTTCACCTCCTAGGAAGGACTTTGACGAGGACGAAGATACACCACTGCTGTACCAAGATTCCACCCTTCGACCATCGTACCCTCAAAGATCCCTCTGGACCAGAACCCGGGCATTCTTAATATATCAGCCTCCTCCAATACCGTTGATCAACAAGACTCTTCCATCCAATGGAGCTTCCCTCGTGCTGGGCACCTTTATCGCTTTAAATATCTTTTGCATGTTTTTCCACATAAACTTCAATGCATTTGAGTTCTTCGTTCTTGCCGATAGATTTGGTCTTGTGTTTGTAGCTAATCTGCCTCTTTTGTATCTTCTTGCGGCGAAGAACCAGCCTTTAAAACTTCTCACTGGACGTTCCTACGAGTCTTTGAATATATTCCATCGTCGTCTTGGCGAGCTCTTATGCCTTCAAGCATTTCTTCACTGTGCTGGCATGGTCTTTGTTTGGTACATACTTTTCCGGCCGAATGGTTTTGGACTTCTTCGCTTCCTCCTGCTGAAAGTAATCTTCCTCGGACTGGGAGCTTTCTTCTCGTATGAATTGATATACTTCACCTCGCTGGGCAGCTTTCGTCAACGCTGGTACGAGTTATTTTTGGGATTGCACATATTCTTCCAAGTTGCGGCACTGGTCTTTGTGTTTTTCCATCATTCTGCAGCGCAGCCTTATGTAGGAATTGCTTTGGCCATATTCCTAGTCGATCGAATAGTATACCGGCTATGGAAAAAGAGTACGAGAATTGAGACACGACTCGAGATCATGGAAGACAACGAAACTGTAAAACTGTCGTCTACTATCATTCGAAGACCTGTGGGTCAACTATCAGCGTTTTCTGGAACATCCATAATTGCTGGTTGGACGGCTACAGATCACGTCTTTGTTACCGTGCCTTCGCTATCACGCAAGCACGTCCTCCAGGCCCATCCATTTACAATCGCCTCCGCAGCACCTCTGCAAGATGATGATCGAGCTCACATGGAGCTACTCATCCGTGCTCAAAATGGCTTTTCGCGAGACCTCTTGAATGCAGCCCGTACTCAACAAGAACTCGACATTCGAGTCGATGGGCCCTACGGCAGCTCTCACGCCAGAGATATGCTCGACGATTCTGATTTGGCGCTTGTCGTGGCTGGGGGTTCTGGCATAGCCGTTGGATGGCCACTCATTCAGTACCTTCTTGACTCTACACGTTCCTCGGACACAGAAATTGCTTCAACGAGCTCTTTGAGAAAGCAAAAAGTTGTTTTGATTTGGATTATTCACCAGGGTTCGCACCTCTCTTGGATAGGAAGACAAGCTCTTGCGGATGCTGAGTATAGAGGTGCTGAGATTATTGTACCTCGAGCAACTGAGGAGATTGGACGACCTGATCTAGCAGCCATGATCAAGGACCTTGTCGATATATATGCAGGTGGAGGATCAAACAAAACGAGGGTCGTAGCAAGTGGTCCGGACAGCATGGGGAGGTTGGTTAGGAATACGTGTGCAGGTCTTGTGCGAGATGGAGGGGAAGTCGGTGTCACGATTGAGAAGTTTGGTTGGTGATGAGATGCACGAATCATAAAGGTTTGCATTGGAATTTTTTAAGCATGTCTTGGAGCGGCATTTTGGATTTCTGGTTGATTTAAATTGCTTGATTTTTATCCCGCTGCTTGGCGCAGATACATATCTATTCATATGCATATTTACAGCTTTTAGGCTGTCTTCCGATCTCAAAACATTGAAAAGAGCTTTAAGACACATCGTGTATTTTGCCCCTATTGACATTCATCGGGTGCTAATAAGCTTTGTTTAAGCCCAGGTGTCTTCGCTTCCCCTAATCAAAAACACGCTAGTCCTTTACAGCCCCAACCCTCTTTGATATATAAAGGTAAATAAGCAGATTTTTGCCATCTGAGTTAGCGGCCTCTCAGGATCTAGATGTTTGCGGCAGGGACCGTACCTCTCTATCTCCTCGTTTGAGACCTGCAATATGAATGGCTCACGATAAGTACCCTTCAAACCCCACACAGCAGCTGTGGTGTTGGAGAAACTCCTTCGGGAGTTTCAAGTTTTGCTTCTCATTTTTACAAAATTTTTTATTCCTTTCCTGTGGGCAGAAGGAGGCTCTTTTTCTCTTTAAGCGATCTTAAGCCTAGGTAAATCTACAGCTCCGTGTGGGACTTTCAAGTTCGCGTCTCCTCGCGACTAGGTTCTTTGATGTCGCGAATTTTCTGCTCCCGCTTTCAATTCTGATAAAGTTTGCAACGCCGCGCAGACGCTCTCATCTTCGCGATCTTCTATCTACGGACCTTTGACCATTCAATTATTCCATCCGTCAAGATTTTTCTACTACGTCTTGTTTACCGGCAATTGAAGAAGAAGGGACGCGGGAAGATGGCCAACACAGCTTTGTCTTCATCCCTGCCTTCTACTTTTGCGGAGTGAGTTGACTTCCAAGAGTATGGACATTAGAGACCTATCGCTCACGATCATATAGTGACTTAGGAAAGGCATTCGTCGAGATCAACGTGGGAGAAGATGACCAAATTTCCAAATCTTACACGGTGCACAAAGCCATGTTGCTCGCACAATGCAGTCACATTCGAACAATGGTTAAAATAGCATTGTTCGGGGGGCCTGATCAGATCTTTTGGCTGGAAGAGGATGCTGGAGCTGTTGCTCTTCTCGTTGCTTTCCTCTACAAGGGCTCCGTTCCAGTCTTCGATGAGAGGAATGGGAAGCTTTCAGCCTCCAGCTATACGCAATGTCAGCGGTCGAAAACCTTGGTTGAAATGCCTAAGATAGACCAATCTCTCATCGACGCCTTCGATGATATTGACAGGACAGACATCGTCGAACCTCCGTGGCTGGCGCAGGCCTTTGAGATAGACGAGGAAGAGCGAGTAAGTTCTCCGCCAAACACAACTCATATTTGAAGATCACGCACTAACACCCATCAGCTGAAGAGCGTCGAGCGCAGTAACAGAGAGCGTCGTCGATGGATGGCTCTTCATAGACCCTCGATCACAGTACCAGCAAACCTCGTCCCCGTCGAAGCCGACGACGACATCAACCATTACCAGACGACACTCCTTCGCCTCTGCTTCCTTGCCGAGAAGATCCCCTGGCCTAAACTATTTAATGCCTCTATCAAGTCATACATCGAGGGCGAAGCTAGGCTCTGTCGTTTGATCCCTACGAATTGTGTCCTTCTGATCTATGAGCATACTGCTGCTGGATCCAAGTTGAGAGACATGGTTCTGGATGTTATCTCTACTGCTAGTGGAAAAGCCAATGTCGATATGGCAACATACACGGCTTATGCACAGAAGAATCGAGCCTTCATGACAGACGTGTTTGCGAGATTGTCTGGCCCGAAGTTTGAGTTTGAGTCGGTATTGGAGGCTGCGGATGACGGCGTCAATGATCTGTTGGAGAAAGCGGAGGGAGAGAGGACGGATGGCAGCGTTGCTGTTTCCGGTGAGAGTGAAATGGAGGATCATTAGGGCTAGGAGATGATGTGATAGTAAAGGGAAGAAGAGTTCATGGAGAAGTGACTTCTACAGATGGAGCTCATGGATGTCGTTCGATTACTGATGAGATATGGTCTGGTATTGCCGGCTCCAAGTAATACTTTAGCTGGCTTGTTATAAGCACAAGATTCGGCGCGATGTCGAACCCAGGAACCTGGCAAATTGCATGATTTCGAGCCAGACATCCATTCGTATTTCCATCTTGTACGTTTGAGAAGGAAACAAAAACTTCTTTGATTGATAACTCGACTTGACAAAGTGCCTCCTGCTCACAAAATCGGTCTCATATTCAAACCTGGTAGCTTTTGAGAAGCTCAATCATTGCCGGCTCGGTAGCATAATCCAGTGGCGTCAATCCACAATCATCTTTGATGTCCACATTTGCTCCATGTTCCAATAACCACTTCATCCGAGGTATTGGATCCACATCTGGCCTCCCTTTGCGACCAAACCCACGCACCAGAAAATGCAGCGCGGTCCCTCCGTCAACAAGACGCCCGGCCGCATCCTGATACAGTTTTGATCCCGGTGGAGCGTGTCCAGCGTAAACCGCAGGAGCATTGATGTCTACTCCTACAGACAGCAGAAACTCGCAACTCTCTTCGCTGTAAGTGTGGTTCGGGAAACATACGAAGTCATGCAATAGAGGGGCCAGTGACAAATCTGTACCGTAGTCTACGAGAAGCTTTATAGTCGATTCCGTGTCGCATATATTGAGCGGCACATTATGATAATCATCGAGTCCGTTAGGATCGGCACCGTTGGAGAGCAAGTATTCCAATACTTTCTCATTTTCAAGCTATCGACTATCCATAATCAGCTATAGTCTCTCCAGTCTTCGACACGGGGAACACATACTGGACAATTCCAGGGTAGTCTGCTAGATTTAAACCATGTTCGAATAAAATATCATAGATACGAATAGCGGTGTCCGCATCTTCGATACTTGCTGCGTACGTCGCACAATTGGTAATTGGCGCTCCATGCTCCAGTAAACAAGTAAGGATGTCAGGGTATCCTGTTGTACATGCCCAGAGGAGGTCCGTGGAGAAAGAATTTTTGATGTCATCCAGGTCGGGACCTTCTCTGATTTCGGTCAAGATATATCGGACAGTCTCAAAGTCTCCGGCATGGCATGCTTGGGTAAGGAATATAAAAGGATGGGAGCGCCAGTCATGAGGCAAAGATGTGCTCGATATCTGTTCCCTACCGATATTATCGTCATGAGTAAGATCTGTTTGATTGTCCATAATTAATTTGAAGAACGCGAAGACAGGAAATTTATCGTCTTGATAAGACTGGTAGAGCTTGATTCTTATACCTGAAAAGCCCCGCCGATGCCGCGTACGTATGCATGTTGGACAATAGATTCGCACCTGTTCGTCGGGCCTTGCAGTTTGTTCGAGATTTTCGTTCAATTTGGTCCAATTGTAACGCACATGCATCCAACATAGCCTTGCCAGAAAAACATAGTGGACACGTTCACAGTTCAAGAGAACGAGCGAAAAGCTTGCTAGGTGCCTTCCAAATCTCAGCATTATGCAGCTCGATCGCCTTTCTTGCCAATTTCCTACCTGCTTTAGTAGTAGGCAATTGGAATGAAACTCTGTGAATAATATCACGTGACGATTAAGTACCCCTAGCATTGCGTATGAGCAGTCTTTTGAGCACACACAAGTCCTTTTGACAATTATCTGGGTAATGTGCAAAATGAGAAGAGCGATAAGTCAGGTTCCAATAGACATCTCGCTTCAAGCACTGATCAGCGGTGCAAGTGAACGCCTGTGAAATCTCGACCAAACATTGTTCGGCCTATGAGCAGCTTTCACTTACCCACTACTGGCCTCGGAGCACCTAGACCTTGATGTTTCGCCGTTGGAATGACATGGAAATTTACATTGACGGGTGGCAAAGCCCAGCACTCAAACAATCTTGAATTACCGGTACACAACTCCGCGGTTGTAGGAATACTGTATCTATGTTATGTTGTACTGAGAGGAGGATAAATTGTAAGTCACACGCTCTGAGCGCGTAAATTTTCTGCCTGTTTCTAATAATCCATTCATTGCACTTTCCCAGTCTGCTACATTGCGAAGTAGGTGAGAGGGTAAAGTATTAAGACATGCTGGTTTTAGCGCGAGGGAAGCGAGCGTTTATTGTTCTACTTTGATCTCGATAATATTACATCATTTCTTCGATAAATCCAAAACATATAGTCAAAATGAAATTGTAATCTCAGATCGAAAACAGACGGGTGTGAAAGGCTCGTGTGTGGTATGTTCTTTCCTCAGAGACCAATCCTTTTCCCGCCAATGTAAACGTCGGTACCTTCGCTGCCTACTTGAACGTTGACAAGTCCGACCATTTTCCCGTCTCCCAGCATGTTAGGTACTGCTTGTTGAATAAGTAGAGAACTGCCATCTGTTGCCCTGATCTTCTTACCGGTCCCGTATTCCTTTTGTATATGCTCTGTGTATCCTGTAACTAGGCCTTCAACAGCTGTGCTGAAGCTGGAGGCACTCCAGCTGATGGGGAGAGGAGCAGGTGTAGCAGTTGAAATGGACATCGCAAAGATGAAGCCGATGGCGTAGTTTGAATAACGGGGTTGCATGATCAGTGATGGGAAGAGAAACTTGTGACGTGGGGAGTGAAGGCCGGACGATTGGCTGTCGTAGGGAGAGTATGGGAAGAGGTAGAATGAAAATGAAGGCGGATTATGTTAGACTCTTTGAGGGTAAGAAGGACGAGGAAAAAGTGCGATAGATGTGAGAGTCGAAATTGTTATGGGATTCTGGAAAGCGAAAAAGTTAGCACGTTGGTTAACTCGTTGGTTTCAAGTGGCGTAGACAAAATCTTAGGCAAAATGCCACTTTCTCATGAGCGTCAACTTCTCTCCTGGCGTATTTCTCATCACTTAACCTTGAATCTCGCCGTTGTTGGTTTCCAACAAGGGATGAAACAGACCCTCCACTAAAGCGCCATAGGTGGTCGACCAACCACTGTAAAGTGTTTCTCGTAATTGTGAGACCTTAAAGCCGGCCCACAGCGCCGCAGCGTGAACAAGCATTGTGGAGTACAACATCTGAATATCAGATGTCAACTTATACAAGCAACATTACCTGGAGGTCAAGATAGTAACAACGCGGAAACAAAAGCGGCAAAGCAAAACCAACACCAATCCTTTCGCGACCATCGTCAGAATGCTCTCTTCCCTGAAAATCTAACATTTGACATGGAGAGCAATCCTGTTAGAGTTCTATCAGAGCGTACGACACCAATAATAGCTAAAGCAATCTCCTTTACTCTCGAAGAACAAGGGGTATGCCAGCGTAAGGGACAGATCATTTGGTTATTTCAACTGGCCAAGGTAGCATGGGAGGATTAATTGCTCCATCCTTGTTTCCAAAAAAAAACTTCTCCGAACAAATTGTAACAGACTCTAGCGAGGCACATCTATGATGAGCCATCAAGAGCAGTCAATTTCTGTCTCGTGCCTATTTATGGGATATTTTGGTCCAGCTGTGAAGCGCCTATTCTACTATAAAGATGAGTTCAATCCCGCCGAATGAAGTACATCATTCAAAACATCAATCTTCCTTGGTCCTCGGTAGAATCACCTTTGCCAATACACAGATCTCTCTTCCTGGACTCCTTATTTTGCATCTGCTCCTCCAATCATAGTCTCGATATTCACAAAACTCAATATTCATCTCCATCATGCGTCCCCAAACTTCTTTTCTCGGTTGCTCTATATTGTTGAGCTCCTTCCTGGCGAAATCCTCGTTTTCGCATCCACTTAGTGAGCGAGCTCGATTGGCTGATTGCCTCTACGATCTCAACCCAAATTTCCTCGACACCGGAAACACGATCTCTACCGCTGACATTGAAGCTTGTACTACTACTGCATTGGCAAGCCGTGATCTCCCGCGTATTGACAATGGCCCCCCTCCGGCACTTGAAGATATCATCATGAAGAGGGGCATTCAGACGACCCCTTTGATTGTTTCCGGACAGTCGGTAGCAGCTGATCCAGTTCCGCTGAATCAGAGCTTGCAAATTCGAGACTCTGCGCCTCCTAACGTGGGGTTCTTTGATCAGGTCAGCGATGGTACCGAACCAATCCTGACGAATTTTCTCGAGCCTAGCAATCTTGAGAACTCATGGACCGGACCAATTTGTTCTACAATCACTTCAAACTTCAACCCTAAAGTCTCAGGGGTGACTGGAATTTTCAACTACAACATCCAAGGAACCCACAAGATCGCAGAGAGTCTTGACCACAAGAACCGATTTTTGAACCTACTCGTCACTTTCACTGGAACCGATCCAACTTTGCTTCCAGAATATGACATCGCCGCCTTATGAAAAGCTATGTATCAAGCAGCTCAGAGTTCCCATTCGCTAAAGTACGGAGCTTTTAATCTCAAGACTGTGAACGCGGTTATGAATATTCATAAGTTGGAGGTCTTGCCCACAGAAACAGCCGGGCAAGTGGCCACCCAAACTGCTGACCCCACATCCCTCAAGCAACGCAGTAATTTTGGGATGCCCATCGGCATATTCAATATTCAAATCGGCGATCAGGCCAAAGGTGTATCGCTGTTTAATGCAAATGGACTACCTGCGCCGTAGTTCTGGGTTTGAAAGAAATCATTGCCACTGGCTTCTGAGGAGATGGATGGGACAGGGATCAAGACTTGAAGCCTGGGAGCTTCGGACCTTTCATTAAGTTTGTTGCGTCTTGCTTTCGAGATGTATCGTTACAACTGGTTCTCGGCTTGTTGAACTTGGGGCCATAGAGCATCACTTTTCCTATTGCTTTTTCGACTAAGAAACTCTGGTTGAAAACACGAAACCAACTTGTTGAATGAATTTGCAGTTTTCTTTTGGGAAGATCTATGAGTACTCCTTCCACAACTTTTCCTCATGGATTCGATGCTTGTAGCCTGCGGGGCAGTATGAATAAACCTTTGTTCTTGTCCAGATAACAACTTGCCCTTGCTTCCACAAAAACATTCAACCTCATCCCAAGCCCTACACTACCGTCAACTTTTGAGACCGAATAATAGCGCCGATGAAAAATTACGAGTCTTTTTCACGAATGCAGCTCGAACAAAAATGATCCCAGTACCATCGGCTGGCTATATGTGGCGCATATGGCGCGAATCACGCGAATCGCGGAAGTAGCACAAACAGCGCTGATTGCGATGGGATTCCAAATAAATACCGGCGTAGATCATGTCAAGGAGTTATGTAATAAGACTCCAAATAACTTAATGGCAAAAGAACATAAAAAGCACATCACGAGCAAGAGAATGAAACACATCTGACGTGGGGAAATCTGCGATTTATTTGAGACTACGCAGAAACTTTCTAGTGCGCTTCAGCTAGCTAAGTAGCTGGATAAGCAAGTCATCTCTAGCAGGAGAAGGGCAGGCCTCGCAGGCTCAGGGGTATTAGAAGAGTGAGGCAATGCCTTCTCTAATTTCATCGGTAGTATTGCTCCTTTGCAATCCTCAGTACCTGCCAATTCGGGGTAGGGTTCCTTTTTCATAATTCATAACACATCTCCCCACCACTCACTTCTTGAAAGTGTGACTCTTGCCCGACCTCTCCGTTTGTTGTCTTCGCATACCCTTAGGAGCATCTGCGGATTTTGAATAGGGATCGAAAGGCTTTTGTTTCTTCTTGCTTCCGCTCTTGTGATCCTCTGCCTTCCGCTTCGCATTCAGCACCGATTCTGCTTTGCTGTAATCGAACGGTTCATCCTCGTCGTCTTCATCGCTGTCCGATGCTTTAGCTGCAGCTTCGGCCTTGGCAGCTTTCTTTGCAGCTTTTCTGGCTCGCCTTTCGGCTTTTCTTTCAGCTTTCCGAGCGGCTTTGGCAACGGCCGGATCTTCTTCAAGGTCTTTGAAGGAGATGTCGAATTCGCCATCCGAGCTCTCCATGTCTGAGATCATGTCGCTCTTTCGCTTTGAACCACGCTTGAGTACGAACGGCTCATCTGCTTTTGGAGCTGGTTCGGGTGACGGCGTAACGTCTTTTGCAAGTTCCTTGACAGGTGTAGCCTCAGTTGCAAAGCCAGTTGAAGCAGAGAAGACCTCGGACGACAGTGCCGGTAATGGTACCGAGAGCGTCAACTTGGTATTGTGAGTCAACGTTGGACCATCCCATATGCTACTTCCAAAGGCACCTCCCCAGAAGGCCGAGTTGTTGCTACGAAGTTCGCCTTCGTCCACAACAGCAACCATAGTCTTTATTGTGTTCTTCGCAGCGACTGAAGGGATATTTGCTCTCGCAATAGCACCTACCGTATCGGGGCGCAGAACATCCATCATGCTTGGTCCATTCTTGCCTTGAGCTTTGGCAGATTTGATGATGTCCAGAAGTTCGCCAGCACGAGATTTCACAGCGTGTGACACTGGATGTGCGATTCCCAACAGAGCAACCATATCCATAGGCATCAATTTTGCGAGGCTCATCACCACGTGCTGAGGCATGATAAATGTTGGACTGTCGTCGTCTGCTCTTGCAATTTTATCACGCCAATGGTGAACGGCTTGGAAAACAGCGAATTGCTCATTACTCAGGAGAGCTGGTGTCTTGATCAACAGCGAGTACCATCCGCCTGGTCCTCGACCGCTTTCTGCATTGTAGATTTGGCGCTCGTAACGGAGTAAAGAAACCTCCTTAGACTTCTGGAGAACAATCTCGATGTAATTCTCCTCGTCCACATCCGATTTAGACTTTTCTACTAACTCGTTGCGCATGCAATCGTAGATGTAAAGAAGAAAATGAGTATCAGCTCTGGCGTAGAAGAACATCTCCTTGGGTAAAGGTCTACAAGTCAGTAGAATCCAAACAAAAAGTTCCTTGATTTCAAGCATACCTGATCCTCCAATCTGCCATCTGATACTTCTTGTCTGCATCAAAATTAATGAACTTCTTGAGTAAGAATGCTAAACTTCCTCCAGCATAACCAAGAGAACGGCTTGCCCAGTGAGTATCGAACAACCCTACCACATATAGGCCAAGGTCGCGCTGCAGCCACACCATATCCATGAAAGCTCCATGGAAGACCTTGACGATTTTTGGATTAGCGAATACTTCATTGAGCACTTGCAAATTCTGTCTCCAAGGTTTCAGAGTATCCACAATCCAATCTTTGTGTCGAGTACTGATCTGCATTAAAGAAACCAGACCAACGTAAGACCTAGCATCGTGATGCTCGAGATCAATCGCAATTTCTGTAGCGTCTTTGAGCTCGTTCAACATCTCGACGACGCCTTCCTCGGTGTCAACAAAGGTTGCAGAAGTAGTTGCCATTGGAAGATAAGGAATCGGCGTTGCTTCCTGGTACACTGTCTCGGGATATTGCAGATTCAAGATCTCCGTCTCATACGGATGGCGATATCTAAAACAGTTGTCAGTATTGTCAAGCTTGAGATTGGTCCCTGTGCTGCCCATTTCTGCTAAACGCCGCAAACGCTTGTTGTGTCTTGATCTCTGTGGCTTGCTTAAGCCCTCAGGAAGGGAAGGTTTTGGCGGGAGAGTCAATAACGGCATGAACTTGGTGTAATCATACTGTGGTTGATCTGTTTCATCGACAATAGTGCTAAGGGCTTTCTCTAGAGGTACTATGGCATGTGGCTTCGAGGAAAGAATTGGCTTCCATGGTGAATTGTCGTGATTATTTGGCTTGACATCGAAGGTAAGTTGAGGTTTGACGATATTCTGAGTACGAAATGCAAGTCCTAAATTTAATCCTGGTTTGTTCGACTTTGAAGCTGCCTATGAATTGTTAACATCATGGTCTCTGTTTGGGACTAGGTACATACTTGTGAGGTTTGTTCACTCGCTGTAGGCTCTTTGCGCTTGATCACACCAGTGTACTCGTCCAGGCAAATGTCCGACTTTTCCAGGAGGGAATCGACCACGTCCACAACCCCGCGCCAATCGTTCTCCAAATCATCTGCATCTTCTAATACTGGCGCACGTAGCTCCGCGATCGAAGCCGCAGACTTCAGTAAAGCGCTTGCGAGCGAAAGCAGGCGCTGGCTTTGCTCATCCAGGGCGGTACCAACTTCTTTGTTGAAGGAACGATGGAAGCCGAGATCTTCGGAAGCAATTTGCCCAGCGGTTCGAGTTGTAGCGATCAAAGCACTCTGGACTTGATCCTGCAAGGTCTTGAAGTCCTGCGTTTGATCCATCGTCGATTTTTCGTCAATGTTGTTGTTCGTTGAAATCGAGCTCGAACTTTTTGTAAAATGTTCATGTATATCGGCGATTGTAAGGTCCGTGGTTCTTAGCGTGTAAATACCCCTGTAAGGGATTTTGCTCAGCCTTGCCCATCTCCGTCCAGCTTTCACTCACAACTACGACGATGTCTGCGTCACTGGCCCCGGAATGCGATGAAGTCAAGGAGTAAGTATCGTGTAGTCTTCTGCGGGTGATGTATTGACTTTCATCCAGGCGTTATGACTCCTGCTTCCTCAAATGGTATAGCGAAAGTTGGTTGTTCGCCTCCTCATTACGTATCTTGAGACTGACTCCAGACAGAGTATCTGCGTGGAAAGGGCACAACTGATGAATGTGCCGCCCTTTTTAAGGACTACAAGCGATGCTTAACGGTTTGTTTACTTCCGTAACAAAAAATAGCCTAGTGGTTAACCTGGGGTAGAGTGCTCTGAAGGAAAAGGGAATTGACAAGATGTTGGAAGAAGCTCGAGAGGATCATAAGGAGAATGATGCAGCAAACTTGCGTCGGAGATGTAAGCGAAAGCTGTTCATTCTTTGAGGACTATGCTAAAGAATACTTCAGAATTGCCAAGTCGTGCTCATCAGGAACTTTGCATAGCGGCATTAAGGGTGTTCGGTTTATTGGGAACTTCTGCTCTGGCTTTCTCTATTTTCCTTGGAGATGTAAAATATATGTATTGAGCTTGTAACATTAAAAGCAACTCAGCCTTCTCAAGTACATTCAATATCCGACGTCTTATCAGCATTAGACGGCCATTGAGATATCCAAGGATTAAAGTACATCCTGCCAATGCTCTCTATTGTGAGGATGAGTAAACTTTCGCATCTTCCTCTAGCTACAACGGCGTGGCCAAATGTTCACATTTGCTTCAGCCTCGCACAAGACACAATGTTCCAATTCAACTCGGCATTTGAAAGGTCATCGGCAGCGGCCAAAGCTATTCCTAATACGCCCATGGGGAAGATGGTATCGACACGTGATAAAGCTTAATTTTAAACCCTGCAAAGAACAGCCAAACTCGTCGAAATGAACTTGAATCAACCTCCAGATTTTCGACACGTCTACTGAGCATTCAATCTGCAGAGCGCCGCGTCGCTGAATCGATAATGTGGGAGTCTCATCACTAAATCACTCTGCTTCCACAAACTTGTTGGGGTATCTACAGCTCACAGTCGTCCGCGCGGCCACATCCCTCACTGCCATACGCATGTAATGCTAAATCCATTCTCTCTCTTCGCCCTTTTTATCTTCGTAGCCGGTAAGTCTTATATTCTCTGAGGATATATTCCTGTCCCTTGTTGTCTTTGGAGTCATACTCTAAAGTTGGTGCTTTGATTTGAGTTACTCCTAAGCATTACTCCCAAAGCACACAAGAGGGTGACTGACTCCGAGATCCAGGCTACATCACTGCGAGGTGGGATCTGGTTACTCGACTTTATGACCTTGCTATCTTTGCTTGGGACCACGGAGTCGTCGTAAGTACACCACTAAGAATCCCAATCGCGCTTTAACAATTGCTGAGAGATATTGTACAGGCGCGTACAGCAAAAGGCTTTGCAATCCTCTCTCTATTCTTCTTCCTGTTCATCATACCAATCGAAAGACTCGCGTCAAGGGAGACCGACCTGGTGGGGACTAGATTCCTTTGTCGCATGGATCAAGGCTGACGTCTGACAGCATCCAAGGTCTGCGAGTGCAGGAATATCCGCTCGGGAACAATTACGACGAAGAGGCTCCTTCTAGAGAAGAAAGGGGTCCCGCAGACCTGTCATGCCCGAGCATGATGGCCTCATGAGAATCTTTTGGCCTGTGGATATACCGAAGTCCGAATCTCCAGGGATTATTGTCGGTTGGCGCAACTCAGGACTCGATGTCTTTGTGGTGGCAATATTGGAGGACGTCGATGTGAGTAGGAAGTTGTGCGTTGGGAAGTCCTGACTGACGTAGAGCCAGGCACCAAGCGTGGAAAATGCCTTGAAGGTTGGGACTATATTTCGAAATGCAAGCCACCCAATCTCACGAATATTTGAGCTCTGTGGGCAGTCGTACATGCATGTTCTGGGCCTGACGAACACACCGCACGTCGATATCGACAATCTTCAGATGCACGCATCTACTGGGCCAAGCTTGAAAATTCCTCAGATATCCTGCGCGCGCGCTTCCACGATACAGATAATCATGTTTGACCGGCCTCTTCCGAACAGGATGCAGTATATCTCACTCAGTCCAATCCCATTGGCATTGGGAGACAAAGCAGAGATGTCCATACACGCCCCTGGAAGTGTAGATGCAGAAGATGAACGAGAAGAGCAAGAGAATAGGAAGAAGACCAAGGCTCTAGTCGAAAAGTTGAAGCTCCACTCGGTGATCAAGCACCCAGCCTCACCCAAAGAGCTCGCGCTGCCGAGAATTGTGAACCAGATCAATTGTTCTTGGGAACTTCATAAATTACTGCAGAAGAACATTTCACTTGTCGGAAGGCGCTCACGTCGAAGTCTAAGTGTGTCAGAACGAGTTGTCGAGTCCGCCACAACGATGAGAGATTTTGTGATCGTTGCTATCTGGCAGTTGATCACTCTCTACATTTACCCAATTGTTCGTCGAGGTTTTGTGATCGGGCTCCTGTGTCATAGGGTAGCTGCTGAAGCTCTTCTACTTGTTCTGGAGTGGAGAGCGAAGCCTGAATATGCTGCTTTGAAGGACATTTCAGCAACAGCTCAACAAGTGGAAATACGACTTCAACAGTTCTCTTATTGGCCAATGCAAGTGAGTTTCTGTTTCTTGAATAAAATGTACCCTGATTTGGCGGACATTCATGTTTGAGTAAATTGTCTGATATATCTTCAGTATGTGACATTAAGGAAACGCAAGGACGATTGGGAAAGCGTTACAACAAGTCATCCCGATTATATCAGATTTTATAACAGCCTTTGGCTTGTAGCTAATGATGTTCGCTAAGCTCCTGGATCCTCTTCAGTATCTTTATTGTACTAACTCGATCAGGTCATCATTGGCATAGCCCTCGGATCCTACATAATTGACAACTCGGCATGGGTCGCGGAACTAATCAGTGATATACTCAGCATGTACTCAATCGCTGCACTCCAGAGAACAATTTCGTGGTTGATGGACTGGTAAGTTCTCACAATCAATTCAAAGAAATAGTGCTGACTTCCTAGGCCTGCTGGATTGAAGCTCAACACTGAGCTTGCAGCTTTTCTCGGTGACCTGTTCCTTTGGGTCATTGATCACTGGGCCAGTAAGCAATCCTTCCCCAAATTGAACATCTTTGCTGATTCTTGACGAGATTGCATCGAAGCATTACGACCAGTACTACCTCATATAATCTGGTTCATTGGCTTCTCTAGTTTCGCAGGAGCAAGCATGCCAATTGCCCTATTTTCAGACATGTTGTCAATTCTGACACTCCACATCTACTCTTTCTACATGGCTTCGGCTCGCATCTTCAACTGGCAGTACACAATCCTTCTGTCACTTTTCCAACTATTTCGTGGCAAGAAACACAACGTCCTAAGGAAACGAATTGATTCCTGTGATTACGATCTAGATCAGCTACTCCTGGGTACTATCTTGTTCACGTTACTCTTCTTTCTACTTCCAACAGTAGTTGTATTCTACCTCACATTTGCATGTTCTCGCATGGCGATCATCTCTCTGAAAGCGGCATTAGACACTCTGCTTGCATGCTTGAACCATTTTCCGCTTTTCGCCCTTATGTTACGAATTAAAGACTCGCAACGTCTGCCAGGTATGTTTTAGTTGCACTTTAACGTATCTCTATTAATTTGTGTAGGTGGCATTCGCTTTGAACTTCGAGATACCCAACACTTTAGTAATTCTTCAACTACCGCACACTCGCCACCGCCAACCTCGTACATATACCTCAAAGTAAGTCTTGCGGTTCATAAAGTGGCGTCATACTAAAAACCCACAGTCTGTTCCTCTGACCTTTCGTGCAATGTTTCACCAGTATTTCCAACTCGGCCATCGCATTCGCAAACACTACCTCTCACCACGAGTCCTTCTTTGTTTGGCCACAGGCAAATTCGTGCCTCCTATTCACCGCAAGAACCTGTATAGCTTGCAGTATAGCATGTTGCCAGCACGTCGAGCGGGTATCATGGATATGTGGCATGCTCTGACATCAGATGAGCCAAAGAGCGCAAAATCTAGCGGTTTTGATATGAAGATTAATGGGAAAAGGTTAAACGGGAATGGGAGGAGACACTATGGACATTGACGATGTTGGGAAGATGTTGATGATGGGATGATCTGTTGAATATACTGTGAGAATGTAGAGTACATAATGGTAATTGACGGATAGACCGTCCTGCTAAAGCTTGGGAAGTGAACTTTAACGCATCGTGAATATTAATATGGAGCACCAGTGATATCTGCCTTCTTTTACATCGATGATCGAATTGATGTTTTGTCGTTTTGCAGAATCCCTCGCCTCGAATCTCGGGCGCGTTTTCAGACAATCTGTGTTATGACGGGATGAAAACCACTAGCGCGGGTTGTCGCCTCGCGAAACCACTTAAACTTTACGACGCGTCGACGCGTCTCACCACAAAATCTTCAACTTAGACACTCAATTGGAGCACAACGCATTTCTGTCCCCATCCGATCAAGATGCCTCATTCAATATCCCCTGAAGATACTTCGACCCCCGACGAGATTATGTCCGTCCAAGATGCGGACGTTGATGGCGAAACACAAATGACCGAGGGAACTCTCATAGCTGAGAGTGAAGAACGAAATGGGGATACCCAAGCGTCTGATGTAACTGATCAGGACATGACAATGGCAGATATTGGCAATGATGAAGAAAAGCTACCAAAGAAGGAGCTGATCAAAGACGAATTCAAGTCTGAAGTCAAACTAGAAGATCTCTTTGCAGACATAGAGTCGGACGACGAGTTTCCAAGCTCTGCTGTACCGGATGTCAAAATTTCGAGCTCACCTGAAGCTCCTGAATCACCTGTGTAAGTAGCAGTGTGGAATACTAGAATCATCAGCTAATCATATAGTCATATTGGACCTACCTCACGAGCCTCCGATCCCGAAGTAATGCGATCTTTCTATCAACGATTGTTTCCCTGGCGATACCTCTTCCAATGGCTCAATCATTCTCCCACCCCTTCAACCGATTTTGGCCACCGAGAGTTCGCGTTTACACTGCAGAACGATGCGTACCTCCGATACCAGTCGTTCCCAACCTCAGATCTGTAAGTCATATTTGGTCATAGTTACTACAGAGCTGATCAGTGAAGTCTACGAAAAGATGTGCTACGTCTCAACCCTTCGCGTTTCGAAATCGGACCTGTCTATAGCACAAACCCTCGAGACCGTAAAACCCTACGCAAAGCATCTTCCTTCAAGCCAATTGCAAAGGAATTGTGTTTCGATATTGATTTAACAGATTACGATGATATTCGAACATGTTGTGACAAAGCCAATATTTGCAACAAATGTTGGCAGTTCATGACCATGGCTATCAAGGTTATTGATGTTGCTCTGCGGGAAGATTTTGGTTTCAAGCACATTATGTGGGTGTATTCCGGACGAAGAGGTGCTCATGCTTGGGTATGTGATAAAAAAGCCAGGACAATGGATGATCAGAAGAGAAGAGCTATTGCTGGGTATTTGGAGGTGATCAAAGGCGGAGCACAAAGCGGAAAGAGGGTCAATGTCAAGAGACCACTTCATTCTCACGTTGCGTACGTATTTCCTTATCAATTCTGGGTATCAACACTGACGATTCATCTAGTCGAAGTCTTGATATTTTGAAGCCACACTTCGAATCCGATGTCTTGCAAGATCAGGACCCGTGGGAGACAGATGAGAAGTTTGCACGTTTGCTGGAGCTGCTTCCAGACAGAACTCTCAACGAAGCTTTGAAAAAGAAATGGAGTTCGGCCCCTGGGCGATCTTCGACATCGAAGTGGGCAGATATTCACGCTCTTGCCAAGAGTGGAGTGAGCAAAGCGTTGGATACGAAAGCGTTACGGGATGCTCAGCAAGATATCATCCTCGAGTATACGTATCCACGACTTGATATCGAAGTCAGCAAGCATCTCAACCATTTGCTCAAGAGTCCTTTTGTTGTGCATCCTGGTACCGGAAGGGTTTGTGTGCCGATTGATACAAAGCGGTGTGAGGACTTCGATCCTCTTACTACTCCGACTGTTACAGATCTTTTGCGAGAAATCGACGAGTGGAAAGCTCCCGAAGACAGTGAAACCGAGGACAAGAAGCTGCAGGACTGGGAAAAGACGAGTCTGAAGCCGTATGTGGAATATTTCAGATCATTTGTGCTAGCCTTAATGAAGGATGAGAAGGACATCAAGGTGAAACGAGAGCGCGAGGAGAATGGAGGGATGGATTTTTGAATGTCTAGTCATTGATGCTGTAGAAATATGGGCGTTCCAAGGTTCAAGGGACGGAACAAGGGGTCTGGTGTAATTATGTCTCATGATGAATGGTTGATATAGGCAATCCAATACTGGTTTGATTGTCCGTTTTGGGTCGGGCTATTGTTACTAAACCAAGGCGCTATTGTTTGGACTTTGGCAGAGTAGAGATGAATTTTAGGCCATGATATCAACCACTTTCAATTGCCCAGGTGAGAATAATCGAATGCTAGAACCTTCTGCTTTGCCTCACGTGGAGACTTGTCGTCGTGCCCTCCGTGCTCGGGCGTTCAGCCTTGCCTTGCTCGTACCCTAGTTTTAGCGAAACGCTAATTATTTGGCAACTTATTCTACTCAACCTCAACTTGATATTTTCCCTCGCAATCAACCCACTCCGACTCTTCCACAAAAAGCAACGTTTTCCAAAACTTGAACACCCATTCAATTACTGCGCACATTCGCGTTGCGACCATCTTCCAAAAGAAAACGAAGCGCAGAAGCCACCAGCGAAAAACAACGGCTTTTCAACACTCTTGCCCCTCTACTCGACGAGGCTCAACTCACCTTCTACGAGTCGCGTCCTACTCTACGAATTCTAGACAACCTCTATGTTAGTTTTGCGACTCTGCCATTCAGAATAAAACACGACGCGCGTCGCGCCTTTCATCATCGCCACGATCAAACCCTCTCGCACATCACACCCTTGTTGTCAAAGAATAGGAAATCTACAAAATGGCCGACGATTTAGCTCAACAATTAAATGCTACGAAGCTGAGGTATGCACAACACCTGCTGGCGGATTGTATCTTGACACGTAACTGACACTGGGCCAGCGATGGAGCTTCACCATCAACGGAGGCATGGAAGAAAGACCTGAAGATTCCAGCCAAGGATAGAAGAGTACAGACTGAGGTACTACAGAGCTTGAACAGATGTCAGAATACCAGTGACTGATTGCATAGGATGTTACTGCCACGAAAGGACTCGAGTTCGAGGACTTCAAATTAAAGCGAGACCTGTTGATGGGTATCTTCGAAGCTGGTTTCGAGAAGCCTTCGCCCATTCAAGAGGAGGCAATACCAGTGGCTCTCACTGGCAGAGATATCCTAGCCCGAGCAAAGAACGGAACTGGCAAGACCGCCGCCTTCATCATACCTGCCCTTCAACAAATCAACCCGAAAAACAACAAGATCCAAGCCCTCATCCTTGTTCCAACTCGAGAATTAGCCATGCAGACATCTCAAGTTTGCAAGACACTTGGGAAGAACCTTGGTGTCAATGTCATGGTCACTACTGGAGGTACTCTTCTACGAGACGATATCGTGCGTTTACAAGACCCTGTCCACATCATTGTCGGCACACCTGGCAGAATCCTCGATCTGGCTGGCAAAGGTGTCGCCGATCTCAGCGAATGTCCCACTTTCATCATGGACGAAGCTGACAAACTTCTCTCCCCTGAATTCACTCCTGTTATTGAACAACTACTTTCTCACCATCCAAAGGACCGTCAGGTTATGCTCTTCAGTGCAACTTTCCCCATCACTGTCAAGGCTTTCTCGGACAAGAACATGCACGACCCTTACGAAATTAACTTGATGGATGAACTTACTCTCCGTGGTATCACTCAATATTACGCATTCGTTGAAGAGAGTCAAAAGGTGCATTGTCTCAACACCCTCTTCTCGAAGCTGCAGATCAACCAATCGATCATCTTCTGCAACTCTACCAACCGTGTCGAACTTCTCGCTAAAAAGATCACTGAGCTTGGATACTCCTGCTTCTATAGTCACGCCCGTATGATTCAGAACAACCGCAATCGTGTCTTTCATGACTTCCGCAATGGGGCTTGTCGTAACCTCGTCTGCAGCGATTTGTTGACCCGTGGCATCGACATTCAAGCTGTCAATGTTGTCATCAACTTCGACTTCCCTAAGAATGCCGAGACATATCTCCATCGTATCGGTCGTTCAGGGCGTTTTGGACATTTGGGCTTGGCCATCAACCTGATCAACTGGGATGATAGATTCAACCTTTACAATATCGAGCGCGATTTGGGCACTGAAATCCAGCCAATTCCTGCGACTATTGACAAGAACCTCTACGTTTACGATACCCCGGAAAATATTCCCAGGCCTGTTACTAATTTCCAAACTAATCGCCAGACCTCAGCTCGCGAGTCTCCTGCTCGCGAACAAGGACAACAAGCTGGTAATTCACGAGGTGGCGGTTCCGGCAACTACGACAACAGACGCCAAAATGGCACCAACCCAAATCAGAACCAGAGACAACCTCAAAGCCAGCGTCAAGGCCAAGGTTTCTCACGAGGAGGCAGATATGAACAAGGCGGTAATCGACGAGGCGGCGGCAACCAAGGCCAACGTCAAAACGGCTATGAGGGGCAGAGAGGCGGTCGTGGGCAACCCACACCGGCTCAATAGCCTCGAGTAGCATTGAACGGTAATGACGTAGCGGGTGTTTGATTTTGTACATATTCTCTTCTTTCCATCTTTCGCGATAGACCGGAGGTCGACTGCCATGAGATACCCAGCTTCTCGCATATCGAACGCCGATTCTACTCGGTCCATTCGATACTAGGTCTGTCTGGTCGTCTCTCGAGCGGTGGTTGGCTTTCGCGTTTGTAACATACGACTTTCATTTTGCATTGGCTTTTCGTTGAATGCCTATCTGGTCAGAAGAGAAGTGGTGGACGCAAAAGTTCAGCGACTTTGATCTGAAATGACAGGATGGGCGGGGTTCCCTGGCGTTACGGATGGTGATCGCTCACACGAGTGATCATTGGAGTTATGGGCTATTCCTGCAAGATGGGCATGACTGGCTGGCGTCGGCAGAGAGCTCTTGTTTACGATCTCGGCTCATCTCTTTGAGCTAATGGTGCGGTTGATCTGATGGTTCCAGGTATAGCTTTAGCATTACGGCGCTGGAATATCCGATCTCATGAGGGTGTGGTGGAGGTGTTTGGTGGTGTTGGGGGAAGGGGATCTTGTGCAAGGCAATGATGGTCACTCGTCTCACGTTCTGAATTGATGAGCAAGACATCTGGGTTGCGGGGGGATCAAAAAACACCAAAAAAAAACTTTGGGGAGAGTGTTGGAGGGTAGCATTGGCTCGTATCGATATTTGGCTCGTTAGCTATGCTTCTCTTTAGCAAAATTCAAACTTCTCCTCCCCATATTCGTTCTCTTGCGTCATGAATGTTCTAATGTTCTAATGTGAACTCAGGAATCTCAAAAGCGTCACGGATCTACCAAGTCCTCGGAGTTTTTGGGACTGTATATCTTTCAGCCGAGGGTTAGATATTCCGTGAAGCCGTACAACCGGATCATCCCGAGCCCCTTTTCCTTCACGTCCAGCTGATGGAGGTGTTTGAGTACATGTACACCCCGAGGTTGTAGTATTCATCAAGATGTGGTAGAATACAGCATATGGTCCCAGGGGTTACAGTAGAAGTGTTTGATATTCCATGCACCGGGTCTTTATTTCTCCTTGTGCCTCTTCCTTGCGATTGGGCGGGGATGTTCGCTCGGCTGTGCACATGCCTTGTGCATGAGTAGGCTGCTTTTCCGTATGCATGGCGATAAGGCCGGTGTAACTCGACAGGATTGATTGCTTTTCGTCTGATGTCCTCTTGGTCGTTCTGGAGAGCAATCTGTTCTTTCTTTTGTCTCTGCGCCCCGAATCTCAACGTCTCGAGACTGGCAGGGATTGCATCTTGCGAAGGAGCTTGATTGGGATAGAGTGCTGACCTTCTCTTCTGTTTCTGTTTGGACATACCTCTTCTGCCATGTTTGGAAGAATGTCAGAGTCGCAATCCGTGCCGAGCCGGAGGAACGTTGATCAGCATGGTGCGGTGGCTTGGTAATTATTCTCACGCACATGGCTCATTTGGCTAAAGTGGGAGTTGGAGGTGCTTGACGGGGATCCCCCGTGTAGCAGGACAGTAAGTAGCTTTCACACGTGAAGACAATAGGGATGGGATGGGATGGGATAGGGGTCGAGGAGCGAGTATACCATACTACGGGTGTGTCCTCACGAACGCAATGCCTCCTGAGCGGTGAAGGCCTTTTGCTTATTTCCCCCTTGGACCCCCCAGACTTGCTCGTCTTCTCCTTATCTTGTTTTATAGCCTCGTGCTGCAGTGCGTGCTGGTCTTATTGCTCTTGCCCTTATCGTTGTTTCCTGCCGTTGCGTTCTTATCATCGTTGCTTCTTCGTGTTGTTTTGAGACAGCGATTATTCATTCATTCATTCCTTCATTCACTCACTGCCGTCCGGTGGCGCCAGTGACGTTGAGCTTTTGTTTCTGTCAGCCAGACCAGGCCAGACACATCGCGGGAGTCGAAGACCGTCACCGTCCGACAATTACCGGAACCTCCTAAAACACAAAAATTTAGGAAGGGACCCGAACCCCCATCACCTCACCGAACCTAACCTCTTCTCCTTTCGCAACCAGGTGGGAGAGAGAGACACCCACGCCCCGGAGATTCTTTGCAAGGTCTCACAGATCAGGAACCAAGATACTGGGAATTCCAGTGACCCAATCATGTCTTTTATTGTGAGGATCAGCTCTTTCCTTGTCGCATGGCTGTCTGCCCCACCGTCGCCCCTTTCGCCCTGGCCGTTTGCCTTGCTGCGCGCAGCGATCGCGAACCATGGCGCAACCCTTTGCAAGACATTATACTGACTATGATACAGAAAGAAAGAGACAGTTCCATCCTCTTGTCCATTTCCAGCTTCTGCGACATCCATGGACCCAGTCCGATTATGGTTACGCAGGCACTTCCTGCTGGTTGCACATCCTGTTTCGAAGACGAGAGCCTAAGCACACGACGACCCAGCACAGGTTCGAGATCTCTAAATCCAGCAGATGGCCTGGCGGGCATCACTCGAGCCGCAAGCAGAACGAACTCGGCTTCATCAGAAAACGCGAACGCGACGCGACCGACTTTCCAAAACCGAACTTCCTCTCAAGCATCTTCCTCGGCCATTGAGACACCGCCAGAAAGTCCAAGAGTATCAGCACTGCAGAGTGCGCAGTTCGCAAGCTTAAGTCGACGCGATTCGAGCTTTCGCAGGACATATGACGAGAATGACAAGAAGAGAGCTATCCCTTGCGACAACTGCGCCCTTACTCTCCCTCCAAAGAACTCCACCAAGGAAGACTCCTCACCAACACATAATGATATTAATGGACCTATCCTCCGAACGCGCAGAGTCTATGAGCGAATCTCGATTCAAGTCGAGCACCCCTCACCTCCAAAGTCCGAGTGCTCCAGCTCCTCTGAATCCGATAATGCGATCTCAAGAAAACCTGCACACAGGCGCACACGTTCTCGTACCCTAGTTCGAGTCGGCACTTCTTCCTCCAACTCCTCTTTCAAGTCTACCGACTCTCACGAACACTTTGTGGACTATACCTCTAGTCACGAGCCCTTACATCCAACCTCCTTTTCCATCCTTCGCCAATCCTGTCTCCGTACCCTTTCCTGCGAAACCCTCCCTCCTTCAACCATCCAACCGAACTCTTCCCCAACTTCACCTTTCCTGAACAGCCCATTCTCAAACTCGATGTCTATCCCTTCTGGTGGACCAATCTTCTTCGGCGATCCTCTAGCGGGCTACACAACCGCATATGTCTTTCGAATCCCCGATCCGAACGCTAGAGGAAGACGACGCGTCTACGCCCTCATGGCACTAAGTACCCACCGTGAACGCGCCGCCATGCAAACCTTCTCTCTCCTCTCAGCCGCGTTCCGCGATCTCGCTGCCTGGATCCAAGGACTCGCCGAAGCAGAACTCGAGAGAAGCGAGAACGCAAACAGTCCCAGACTAGGCGGCAACGACGAGCGCGGTTTCGGCGGAGGCATGGGAGCCGGTGGTGGAGGAAGTACCCACAGCACGCCCACGAGCTCCTTTTTGAGCGGTAGGAACAGAGGTCTAGACGGTATGCCGCGCATGGTTACCAAAGCCAGAGGACTAGCCGAGATTGTCGGTCTTCCGGACTTCTTCATCGAGCTGCACGCTCGCTTCGTTAGGCTGCTCATCCAGCTGGGTCTTCAGCTCGGCGTTTGATGGATGCTTCGAAAGGGAGGGGAGGGGAATAATGGTAATGCATAATGTCTAGGCGTTAGAGAATCACTCAGCGTTGGCGTTGGTCGGAAAACTGTTTGTTTATTTGTTCATTGTACTGTTTGATAGCGTTTAGCGTTGCACCTCTTTTTGGAGATTGTTTAGCGATGCCTTATGAGCGAGCTGAGCTGATGGATGGGAGCAGAGGGGAGAGAAAGAGAAGTGTTTTAGTACGATACCGTGTCTGCGAGCGAGCGAGCTTAATACCTAGGAAGATAAAATAAAGGGCTGTCAAAAGCAAAGTAGAGAGTGTGTGTATGTGATTATGAGAGTGAATTGCTTTATCCGTAAGTTAGCCAAGAAGGAAGTGATGTGACAGTGCAGCGAAAGAGGAACAGAGCCACAAGGTCGCAAAATGTTCAATTACAGACAACGGCTTTGGTATTGTTAGTACAAGTGAAGATATGACTGCATGCCTGCCTCTACGGAAGGAAGAGATTATGCGAGACTCAAATTTCGTCTCCCCTCTCCTCCCATCCAAATGCCTGCTCGCCTGCCATTGCCATCATGAATTGCCATCTCAACGCCAGAAATGCATCCTCCACCAAGGTTTCCCACACATCCCGAGGCCAAGAGTCTACTTGTAGAAGTCGAACTTTTGAGCCTCTTGCGCTCCCTTGACTTGACTTGAGTATGCATCCTCCAAATCGACTTGGATGATGTTGTATCTGTTCTTTCGGACTGCTCTCAAACCGGCTTCCTGCATGATGGCTGCGATGATGGCACCGCTCAGGGGATCATTTCGGACGATTAAGCTGTCAAGGTCGACCTCGGGGGCTAGGGACATCTTCGACGCAATAGTGGTGAAGATCAATCTTCTCTCTCTTCGGTCTCGGAGGTTAGGGAACTCAATCTTTCTGTCCAGACGTCCAGGACGGAGGAGAGCAGGATCCAAAGTATCAGCTCTGTTGGTGGCCATGATTACCTTGACGTTCGAAGTCTGATCGAAACCATCCATTTGATTCAACAGCTCCAGAAGGATACGTTGGACTTCTCTGTCGGCACCGGTCTGCGCATCGAAACGTTTCGTAGCGATAGCATCGATTTCATCAATGAAGATGATTGCAGGAGAGTTCTCGCGAGCCATTCTGAACACATCTCGAACCATACGGGGTCCTTCTCCTAAGTACTTCTGAACGAACTCGGAACCGACGACACGGATGAAGTTGGCGGTTGTTGAGTTTGCGACAGCCTTTACCAACATAGTCTTGCCTGTTCCGGGAGGACCATAGAGCAAGACACCTCGTGGGGGATCGATACCAATTTGGCGGTACTATGATCATTCAGTCAGCATCTTGCCAGGAAAGAAGAAATGCACACTTCAAGCTCGTGCAGCAGATATTAGATGCTTACCAGATCGAAATGAGTAAGCGGAAGTTCAACTGCTTCTCGAATTTCCTGCTTCTGCATATCAAGACCACCAACATCGGCATATGTGACATCTGGCTTCTCATCTGCACCCAACATAGCAATTGAAGAGTCTGCTTCCGGCGGGAGGATATCAACAAGAGAGTTTGAGTGGCGATGGAGGGCTACGGAGGATGAAGGCTTGAGCTTCTCGCGGTCGAGGGTGGAGAGGATTCGGACGACATAGTTGGATCCAGTCGAAGATTGAACTATACCAGTACTGCTGAGGTTAGTGATGATCTGGTTACTGTTGTCCTGGCACCTTACTTTTGGTCTATAGCCTCCATAAATTGTCCAATAACCAGGGGTACACTCTGAATCCGCTTGATCTCTTCCTGAGCGCGTACTAATTCTCTCTTCAAGCTCCTATATCTTGTTAGGACAATGACAGCACCGTTGAACCGTTTCGGAGCCATACCTTTGCTCATCCTTGATGTATTCTTCTTGAAGTTGAATATACCTGCAAATCATCAGCCTCAGCTCGCCGCGCATCCCATCTGCCAACTCACTCCAGATGCCGTTGAAGCTTCTTCATTGTTGAGTACTCATCGCTGCCATCCGTCCCTATGTTCTCCAACGTGTCGATATTGGGTATCGAAGAAGGCATTTGTTTTCGGTGAGGCAGCACCTGGTTCGCGGGATTCTCTACCATAACGTCCCCCATCTTGACAGTTGCGTATGTATTAAAGAACTTCGAAAGTGATCGCTGCGCTTGGATGAAGGCGTATTCGTGGTCGTAACAATCGTAGAAAGTCGATGGTTCAAAGAGAGATCTTGATGAGGCGCGAGGCAGCTTGGGTTTACGACGGCAGGCACAGCTAGCAAAATTCGCACTAATTGTGTTTTTGGACTAGCGCGTTTTCGGAGCGGAGCCTTTTGAACAGCGGAATCGCTCGCGTTATCCATCAACTACTTGCATCACTCAAACTTGAGTCAGTTCGTCGTTGACATTCCTTCTTTCCCAACCACAATATTTCTACGACGACAAACTTTGGGATCTCTTTCGAGACCGTTTTTCGACTTATTATATTCCCTTCTGGAAATTTGCTGATTTGAGCGGATCATGTCATCTTCCATTACTATCCCGCCTAGAGCTGGGGAGAGCAGTAAGGCTGCTGCTGCACCAAGCTCCAGTTCATCGTCGTCCTATTCAAGCTCCCCACGAACACCTCAACAACCACAACAATCTGCGACACCTGCTTCTTCTAGACCAAAGTATGGACATGATCGGAGACCTAGCTTGCTAAGTGAGTTAATCATTATCTCTTCCATTTTCTTGTTGGGCTAGAAATAGGCCGCGCTGGTCCGATTGTAGCAGCCTAGACAGATGTTTGAAGAATGTATGTAGAACTGTCTGGCAGAAACCTGACAATTAATTAGGCTCATCACTCTCGAAGCAAGAACACACTGTCATCAACATTGGTGATCCGGATGGTGTACCACGCTTAGTGAGTCCGCCCTTGCAGACTCCAAAACTGCCTCAACGTCTCAAGCATCACTAACAATTTTCTCGCAGATTACCTGCGTGCGATCATCTCAAGGCTACGAATGGAATCCTGGTATGCATCTTCCACTCTTTCGCATTCCTCTCAAGATAGGAATACTAACCGTCATCCAGAGATCTTTCTACCCTCATACGTTGAATGCGACTTCGAATCACTCGAGCGAAAGCGAGACCCGGTCCACGAGATACGCCTTAGTGACGAAGAAATCAAGCAGATGTTCCCTCAATAATTTGAAATCTTATCGGTTGGTTGAAGGGTAGAAGAGCACTGGTCCTGGTTCGGACAATTTGGGATCTGCACATGAAAGGCGCTGGGATTGAACATATGATTCCCATGATATCTTACTTGGACACCGGAGTATTTTTGGAGATGATTCTACGGCGTGCGTACGATTAGACGATTAAACTATGACTGCACGAGGGGTTTGGATTGGAGTTTTGGCATTTCTCAGGTATTGTTATGAAGGTTTCGGGAAGGGCGTCACTCCCTACTTACTTTGTTCGTACATTGCAATAACTACTTGACACCTTTTTCATTTCAGCGCATTGCAGTAGCTTTCTCGAGTGTAATTGTCGAATCCATCATGGACATCTAACTACTCAAGGCTCCCTTGCGTCTGGTCCGTACAGCTCTTCACATCATCCAGTATCCAACAAGAGGCGTTTGTGACTCAAAATTGCCACAATCACCTGTAGCAGAAATGTTCGCCTTGCTCAGCCCGCACTGGTAATTGGATGAACTCGTAGGAACTATTGCTGCACGCAAGGTACGCCCCAAGAGCTGAGACAAGCGGGTGTTATGGACCACGAAACAAACGTCCAATCACCAATAGCAGCACAGCAATCCAAATTAGGATTGACTTTACACGTATGAACTCTCCACTTCGAATACCCCAGAAACATCGACTATCCAAGTCAAAGCACTTTGCGAAATGAAGCAACCCGAACTCCCGAGCTGACATTCGGATGCAGCTGCTTGAGCATGAGCATCATCTGATACGGATCGCGGAATCGATCCGATGTATTCCGAGCGTCACGACATCTGTGCTCACAACAATCGCTGCACAATTCCCAAAGACGTGGGATGAAGTAACCTCGTGTTTGAAGGAAAATTCTGTCAATGTGTCTTGCATCTTGTTCGTGGTGCATGATGAGAGGTTGGAAGCCCTTTGGCGGTGGACTGGACCCCTTGTGAAAAGGAATGGCCTGCATGCAGACTGCATATTTCACCTGCATGCAAGACAACACTTCTGCATCAAGTCCGCAACTTCACGACGTCGAAGCCGAGGTGAAGCTATGTTTTGTTGAACTGTATTATACCACTCCTAATTCTTCGGATGAGATATGAGTATGTAGAAGAGATAAAGTTGATTTGATCACTTGAGATGATTGAGACCCCCACTAGCACCCCGCATTTAGCGATAAGGGGAGCAATCGGTAAATAAGGTTTGGGGCTAGGAGCGGCCGCACGCTCCGAAGTAAACATCCACCGCGACGAAGAAGCCAAAAGTCAAGAAAGCCAAACTCATACAAGCAACTACGATTGCATAACCGCCTCTCGAAATACTTCTGATCTTCTGAGCTCATCGATCATGACAGAATTTCAGCGAAAGATAGAGCTTCAGTCGCCAGATGACTTGCAATATCTAGTCTCAAACATCCGACGCGCCGCGAATGTCGAAATAGACAAGAACTTACCACCTATAGAGGGCGAAGATAAGATGCGAGCGCGTGTCGAAGAGCTTGTCCATGATGTAAAAATCTTACAGCTTTAATTTCCGTTTTCTAGTGCACTACATTAGAGGGGAAATGCTAATATACTATTAAACAGTACATAAACAACGTATTCAACACCGCCGCAGCAAACATAACAATAAACGGCCTCGACCCATCACCCGACCTCCTCAACTCAATCCTCTCATCCAAATCCTCGCTCTTAGAAATCGAAGAGCACGAACCATTCAACACGAAACTCTTTGAGCACGCAAAAGACCTCGCGCGGCAGGAAGAAGATCTGATTGAAGAGATTGCGGCGCTACGGAGGAAAATGCCGGGTGTTGTGACGGATCATGTGAAGAGGAATTATAGGGAGGGTACTGAGACTGATGAGAAGGTTTTGAAGGTTGTGGAGGATAAGGTTGTTGGTAGAGAAAAGGGTGTAGCAGATATGGGTGTTGAGAGGTTGGAGAGACAGGATCAGGTTGAGGCGAATTGGGGGAAGGGTGTTAAGGGGTTGGAAGGATTGATGAGGACTTTACCTGAGACGGTGGCGAGGAAAGAGAGAGCTGAGCGGGCAGAAGAATATGTGGTGAAGGGAGATAGACGGTGACACGGGGGCTAAATGATTAATTGGCGTTATTGGTTGTATGAAAGTTATAAAGGGAGTCACAAAGACACTGTAGGATATCTGGAGTTTGTGAGAGGTTTTGGATAGACTGAGGACTTAAGGTCTTTCTATGCCATCGATAAGCCATGCTAAGGTAGCTGAACATGCAAGAGCAAATGCCATTTCAAAGGTCTTTCCCAATGCTGATACGGCATATAGTCTCAGCCATCTTGCCGTTTGATAGCGGTATCCGAGACATCAGACATCTAATCAATCTCATTGACTAAAGGATCCTCAATGCCGACACCATACTCAGGGTTAGCATTGCCTGCATCATCTTCCTTGTCTTCATCCTCACCATCCTTGCTTTCTTCTCCCGGGCCACCATTCTTAACCTTCAGCTTAGCCTCCTTTCGCTTCGGGATAACACTCAGGAAAGCTTCTCCCCAATCACCAGTGTCCAACCACTTCAGCATGATCTCCATCACATGATTGACTGCCAGAACACTTCGGCCTGCCATGGTCATGTACTGGGCAATTGGTAGCTTAGCTGTTCTGATACCTCGTGCACGTGCTCGTCTATAGCAGAGGCCTTTGTAGCGATTCTTGTCGACAATGCCGCCAATGACATAACTTGTGTTTGGCTCTAGCTTGGTGAGGATTTCTTCAGAGTCGGAGGTGAGGTAGACGATCGAGATTGGCTTCAATTCAACCGTTGGGGGAAGCGCGGGTTTTTCGGCTGTAGTTGCTTCAGGAGATACGGAATCCTCTGTATCAGCACGAGATCGCTTTCTTGAAGAGGCCTTCGTCGAAGTGGTCGTCTTGTTTTTCAGAGCCTTGGTGGGATTCAGGATTGTCGACTCGTCGTTATTCTTGACACCGCCTCCCAGCTTGACACCACCTCCCTTGACACCCTCTTCCTTCGACTCTCCTTCGTCTGCTTCCCCATTCTCTGCACCTTTCTCCACGCCGGGAATAGAGTTATCAAGGGCGCCAACCAGTTCTCCGCCTTCGGGACCTTGCATAATGGCATTCAACTTCTCAGCAGCAGCCATGAAATTGTCTTCGTGAAAAGTGACTCCCTTCCAGTTTTCGTGATTGCGAGTGAGAACGGTCTCGAATCTCTCCTTCATTCTTCCGCCGAAAGAACTAACAGCCATGTGAGCTCTATAAGGAGCATTCTTGTTCTCGGAATAGCATCTTGTGACTTGGGCTCCCAGCGAGATGATCTCTTTCTCTGACATCAATTCGTCAAAATCGCAGTCCAAAATCATACCTATCGGAGTCTGGATTGGTCTTCTCGGGAGAGTCTTCTTCTGGGCTTCGGCATCTGGTTGATCATCTTCATGGAGTCCTAACTCTTGTGCCATTTCTTTTTGCTCAACCTTTCGTGCCAGTTTGGCCTTATGCTTTTCTCGTCGCTGGATTCTTCGAGTTTCCTTGCCCGCTTCCCATCGTTGCGCCTTCAACAGCCTCTTCTGTTGAGTTTTCGACAGTACTGGCTTTGCTTCACCATTGGTGGGGCTTGACTGGACAGCTTCTGGGCTTTGGGTGCGAGGTGGCGAAGACTGTGCAGAGCTCATCTTGGGTCTGACGGGTTCCAATCGCTGGATGTGCAAGAGTCTCTTGTATTGACTTTTCGTCAGTGCTGGCTTCTCTTCACTATTGGTCGGAGCTTCTGGAAGTTGCGAAAGCTGTGCGAAGCTCATCTTCGCTTCTGGAGATACACCCGAAATGAAATCAGATCGATTGACCTTTCGGATCTTAGGCGGAGGCATTCCTGATTCGGCCATTGTGCGCAGCACTTCTGAAGAAGATTTGAGAACGCCATGTCGAGTAAATCGAAGCCTCGAACGAAGCAGTAAAATGTTGACCGCCTTGTGCGCGCTAGGCAGAATCAACCCGATTCGCGATAGTGAAATCATGTTCAACGCGCCGAGACGCGTCTTCTCGTGAACCACTTTAAAGAACAAAGAATATCATAGACAAAGTTCTGAATTTGGAAGCATACAACATTTGTCATATAGTACTTTGAAATTACATAACAGGTATCTACAATGTCGTCCCGTCCGGAATTAAAGGTACCTACCTATACTACTCACATTTCCTGAGCGCCACTTTAACTCTGCTTAGGTCGACGACGAAGGAGGCTTTATTAGTTTTTTCAAATCTCTACCAGACTCAGACGATGGGGCTATTAGAGTCTTTGACCGTGGTGATTGGTATACAGCGCATGGTGACGATGCTTCATTTATTGCTAGAACAGTAAGTCTTGTTCAACTTCCTGAACCTAGATAGGGCTCACTTCAGTAGGTTTACAAGACAACATCTGTCCTACGACAATTGGGCAGGAATGATTCTACCGGCCTTCCCTCCGTCACGATGACCATTACCGTATACAAGAACTTCCTCCGAGAAGCTCTTTTCCACCTGAACAAACGAATTGAGGTCTGGGCCAGCTCGGGAAAAATGAACTGGAAGATCATAAAGCAGGCATCACCAGGAAATCTGCAAGATATCGAAGACGAGCTCGGTGGCCAGTTTGAAGCAGCTCCTATTATCTTGGCTGTCAAAGTCTCAGCAAAGGCTTCGGAAGCCAGAAATGTTGGAGTGTGCTTTGCGGACGCCAGCGTCAGGGAACTTGGCGTCTCAGAATTCTTGGACAACGACTTATACTCGAATTTCGAATCACTTCTCATCCAGCTGGGCGTGAAGGAGTGCTTAATCCAGGTGGACAAGTCGGGAAAAGATATTGAGCTAAAGAAACTCAAGGACATCATTGACAGTTGTGGAGTTGCGTTTTGCGAGAGGCAAATAGGCGACTTCGCCACTAAAGACATCGACCAGGATCTTGCCAGACTCTTGAAGGATGAGAAGGCTGCAGGAACCTTGCCTCAAACTGATCTAAAGCTTGCAATGGGTTCTGCAGCTGCACTGATCAAGTACCTTGGAGTTATGCACGATTCTTCGAATTTTGGTCAATATCAGCTGTATCAACACGACTTATCGCAATTCATGAAGCTTGATGCATCCGCACTCAAAGCCTTAAACTTGATGCCAGGACCTAGAGATGGTGCAAAGACCATGTCTCTTTTTGGACTCCTCAACCACTGCAAAACTCCTGTTGGTAGCCGACTGTTAGCACAGTGGCTTAAGCAACCACTCATGAGCAAGGATGAGATTGAGAAGAGACACCAATTAGTGGAGGCATTCGTTGAAGATACCGAATTACGGCAGACGATGCAAGAAGAAAATTTGAGGGCGATTCCCGATCTGTATCGTCTAGCGAAGAGGTTTCAACGAAAAATGGGGAATCTTGAAGATGTAGTCAGAGCATGGCAGGTTGTGGTCAAGCTACCTGACTTCATTAACACACTTGAAGGCGTGATGGATGAGCAGTATCGAGACCCTCTGGACGAAGCATACACATCAAAGATTAGAGAGTGTTCGGATAGTCTTGAGAAGCTACGAGAAATGGTGGAGACCACTGTCGACTTGGAAGCTGCCCAGAACCATGAGTACATCATTAAGCCCGAATTCGACGAGGGATTGAAAATCATCCGAAAGAAGCTTGATAAATTGAGGCACGAAATGGATCAAGAACACAGAGCAGCTAGCCAGGACCTGGGTCAAGAAATGGACAAGAAACTGTTTCTCGAAAACCACAAGGTCCACGGATGGTGCATGCGACTTACCAGGACAGAGTCAGGATGTATTCGGAACAACAAGAAGTATCAGGAATGTGGTACGCAAAAGAATGGTGTCTATTTCACAACACAGAAGTTGGTCAGCATTCGCAGAGACTTTGACCAGCTGTCTGAGAACTACAACCGAACACAGAGTAGCTTGGTCAACGAAGTCGTAAGCGTGGCTGCTTCGTATTGCCCGGTCGTCGAACAGCTGGCCGGCATTTTAGCGCATCTGGACGTCATTGTCAGCTTTGCTCATTGCTCAGTCCATGCACCTACCTCGTACGTTCGGCCCAAGATGCACCCTCGTGGTGAGGGTGATACAATCTTGAAAGAAGCTCGACATCCATGTATGGAGATGCAAGACGATATACAATTTATCACCAACGATGTCAGCCTGAAAAGAGGATCTTCTGAGTTCTTGATCAGTAAGTCATAATCACCTTTGGTTCCAGGGACAATTTGAGAGCCAAATACTCAGAACACTCTTCTGGGAGACCTCACTTCAAGTTTTTGAAAAACCTGTACTGATTCTTCAATAGTTACTGGTCCCAACATGGGTGGTAAATCCACTTACATTCGCCAGATTGGTGTCATCGCTTTGATGGCCCAAGTTGGCTGCTTCGTCCCTTGCTCAGAGGCAGAACTCACGATCTTCGACTGCATTCTTGCTCGTGTTGGTGCCAGCGATTCTCAACTCAAGGGTGTGTCAACCTTCATGGCTGAAATGCTCGAAACGGCCAACATTCTCAAGTCTGCAACCTCGGAATCACTCATCATCATTGACGAACTCGGTCGTGGTACTAGCACTTACGATGGATTCGGTCTAGCATGGGCTATTTCTGAGCACATCGTGAAGGAGATTGGCTGCTTCTCCATGTTCGCTACCCATTTCCACGAGCTGACTGCTTTGGTGGACCAATATCCACAGGTCCAAAATCTGCACGTCGTGGCACATATTGACGATAACGGCAAAGCAAAGAGAGAAGTAACACTACTTTACAAAGTTGAAGAAGGCGTTTGTGACCAGAGTTTTGGCATTCACGTCGCGGAGTTGGTACGCTTCCCAGAGAAGGTTGTCAATATGGCCAAGAGGAAAGCAGATGAGCTGGAAGACTTCACAAGCAAGCATGAAGGCGAAGCAATTTCGTACAAAAAGGAGGACGTTGAAGAAGGAAGTGCTTTGCTCAAAGAAGTCTTGCTCAAATGGAAGGAAGAGTGTGAAGGCAAGGACTTGAGTAAGGACGAGATGGTCAGTAAGATGAGAGAGCTGGTGAAGGGTGATGAGAAGCTGTTGGCCAATCCGTTCTTCCAGAGTGTCAAAGCTTTGTAATAATTTGTATGGAATATGGTAATGTCCTGGCGTTTTGGTGGAGTCAGTCTTAAGGAAGTCAGTACAAGGTACGGAGTTAGAGCTTTGTACAAGAAAAAATTTGCTGAATTAAATGATGATACTGCGAAGCCGGTCGAATGACGTCTTCGTTTACTAGTATTTTATCTTTGCAGCCTTAGACTTATTGAATCAGAGTTTGGAACTCGCTCCTAAGGTCTAAGTGGTACCTGACGAGACGAACATTCTACTGCTCGCGAGCTCTTATCTCCTATTGTTGCTTCTCGCTTATTGAACCTTACAAAAAAGGCCTGGACATCCTCTCAGCCGGAGAAAAAGGTTGCCGTTTTTGACACAGTGCGCAGTTCCGATTGAATCACATATTTATTGATACACAATTAATAAAACCTTTAATATAAAATTATTTCGATATTTTATAACTATTTCTCTACATCTTTCTCACTCGTTGCATAAGAATTTAATCGTGTGTTGTTGAGATTAAAAATATTTAAGACATTGAATTTTGATGTTCTCGCGTGTCAAAAACGGTAACTTTTTTCTCCGGCTGAGAGGACATCATCCTCGGGCAGAAGTCAAAGGTACCAACATACCTGCACCTATCTAAACCACAGCTCGTCAACAGCGTTAGAAAGCGAGAGACGAGAAAGAATTCTCAAGGGCAATATAACAAATATCTTTACGAAACTCAAACTTCATCCCCTTGCTATTAAACAGCCTTCCTATCCTCCTTAATAATATCCGCAGCCCTCTCTGCACTGGCATAAACAGTACTCGCAATATTCCCTCTAACAATCAACGGCACCACACTCGCATCCACGATCCTCAATCTCTTGACTCCATACACCCTCAACCTATCATCCACCACCCCACCCTCCTCCCTCGGCAACATCGAGCACGTTCCCACGGGATGAAAACTCGTGATCATACTGCTCCTCACTATCTCCTCTGCTTTCTCTCTCGTCAAACGGCCCTCGACGTGGAACGAGGGCTGGATGATCTTCCCGGTGCCGAGAGGGTTGTCTTTTAGCAGGGTGGAGAGGGGAGCGGTTTCGGAGAGCTTTTGTGTGAATAAGAGACCGGAGATCATGAGTTCGACGTCGATGGGGTGGGAGAGGTATTTTGGGTCGATGATAGGGTGGATGCTTGGATCGGGGCTTTGGATGTGGATTGAACCGCGGGAAAATGCGTGTGTGAGAGCAGGAACGATACCGGCGTATCCACCAGCGTCGTTGTGGTTGAAGAGTTGGGAAATATCGTTTCCTGCTAAGGGGTTGATACCGGTGGCTCCGAAGTTGAATTGAAGGTCTGCTTCTTTGTTGTTCAAGAGTGTTTTCTTTTGTAAATCGAGTTGTTTCTTGAGGCCTGGTGATGTGGGTTGGGGGGTTGCGGAGAGAATTTCTTCAAGGCGAGACTCGAGAGATAATTTCTCTTCTGAGGAGAGAAGAGAGTCGTGGGAAAGGAACGCCGTTCCGGTGACGCCTGCTGAGAGTGGACCGAGGCCTTTTGTTGCCCATTCGTTGATTGCCCAGTCGAGTACACCTGGTTGTTTGATCATTTCAGCTGTAGGTACACCATCGATAGCTTCATAGCCTATTCCAGCGAGTGTATGGTCCTGAAGTATACATTTAGCAAAATAGAAAGAATGGTTCAGACAGTGACTTACTTGCAAGTTCTCTCCAACATTAGAATTATCTAGCACAGAAACGATGCCTAGATTTTCCAACCTTTTCTTGTCGCCGATGCCAGAGAGTTCAAGGATTTGTGGGCTCTGCACAGTCCCAGCTGCCAAGATAACTTCTCCCCTGGTACGAATAACATGCTCTTTACCTTCAATCGTATACCTCACACCAGTAGCCGTAACGACATCCTGGACGGTATCAAATTCTATCTTCTGGACAAAGGCACCAGTCAAGACAGTCAAGTTTTCTCTCGCAGCGTTTGGCTCATAGAAAGCAACCCCAGCATGACTCCTCCTAGCAGACTTATCCATAAACTTGAGCAAGCTATAACCACCGAGCGTATGCCCAGCTCTAGGATCACTCCCCGGTCCAAGCCCCAAAGTCTTGAACGTTCGTCCCCACGCTTTGTCAAGCTCACCTGGAGATTCCGTAAAGCTGGTTTGCACAGGACCAGAAGCTCCATGTAGCACCAGATCCATGATTGCCGTGCCCAATGCTTCTGCTGTAGCATCACTCGGAAAGTTCATTGTCTCTGCTTTGCGGTAGTATGGTTGAAGTGTGTCGAAGTTCCAGCCTGGATTTCCGAGCTTCTCCCAGTTGTCGAGATCGACTCGGCTGGGGTGCGCCACCATCATGAAGTTAATAGCTGATGAACCTCCGAGGACTTTGCCTCGTGGCCAGGCTAAGGTGCGGCCATTGAGGCCTGGCTGAGGAGTGGTTTTGAAGTTCCAGTCATAATTTTCGCTGATCAAAAAGTCAGAGAATTGGGAGACAAGGCCAAAATCACTTACTCGCTGTAAAGAGTGTTCATGAGACCTGGTATGTTTATATGTGGATCCTAAAATATTTCAGCAAAATGGCTGGAGCTGAGCACGTTAACTAACATCAAATCTCTTCTCGCCAGCTTCAAGAACGGCAACTTGAACAGCAGAGTCTTCTGTCAAACGTGCAGCAAGCGTAAGTCCTGCTGTTCCACCACCTATGATAACATAGTCAAAAACCTCTAAATCTGCTTCATCGTAACGAGTCGTAGAAGCCATTATCGTCGAAATAAGATCTCAAAACTTCAGATAATTAAATCAAAAGAAGAATCTTGAGGATAATATGCAGACAACAATGCAGGCTTCAATTGAAAATCAATACGGCGCAAGTATATAAATTCCACTCGGGCTTTGAATTGCCATCCTCGGACGTAAGTGAGCTTGGACCACAGGGATCCGACTAAAAATCAGCGCCATTTCCAGTATGAAGCAATATCAAAAAGTGTATCGTGGCGGGGAGTACACATGTTGATGCGCACTAAGCTCCCTTACTCATCCCACATTCCAAACCAGGAAATATTCGGATTGGCGAGCGCCCATTTGGGATTTGCGGCCGTCAGCGTACGGATGTACGTAAATATGTAAATCCGAGCATGTAAAATATTCAATAAACTTATGCCGAGAGGCTGATCTGCCATGGGACGCCATCGTACGATGGGGCAAGCCTCGCTCATATCGGCGTTGCTGCCGAACCGAGCGAGAGTGGCGCCGAGTGGCTTCCCCAGATGGCTGTGGCTAAACAATACTTGATAGAATTCCCCTCTGTCTCATGGAAGCTTCCGTGGAAGTGACCGTCGTCATTCGTGTCCGGTGCAGGAAAGTACATCCGAGACGCCATGAACGATCAGCTCATATCGAGCCAGTCCACCGAAAAACAACTTCCAGCTCATGGCGATCATTGTCATGAACGCAAAACGTCAACATATGGTCATCTGCGCCGTCCCTCAGAGAAAGGATCGAGTCCAAGTCAGGGTCTCTGGCGTTAACTCTGAAGACATCTTTCCGTCCAGCTCCTTCAATATGACTGGAGATTTGAAGCTGCCCAGATTCAACATCTTCGCAGTCGAAGATATAGTCAACTTTGCCTATTAGCAGCGTCAACAATCGAGTTGAAGGTCCTATATCTTCTTTGATAGGAAGATCTTCGGAATAATAGACGGATGACGAGATTGCGGGGTTCTGAACCGGAACAGGCTCTAGCATTGTCGCTGAAGCATTCTCGACCATAACTAGGAGATTCGAATTGCGGATAATTACAGAGACCGCAGGGCTAGCATTCGAAGACGCTATGTCCGGAACCTGGTCTATCAAGCGCATGTGTGCTCGACTTTCCATTGCATGGTTTGGGTGGTACGATTTCTCCTTGAGTAGTAATACGATCTCGGTATCCATGGCATGAATAAGGCGCTGGAATCTTTGCCGCTGCTCTGTATTCATCCATGGAATTTCAGGAATTGTCCACATTGTGTACAGCTTCATGTGTGAATGTGAGAGCCCAAATTTGCCATGCTTTTTGATGAAAAGGTCGCACAGGAAGCAAGCCGACTTGCTGGATCCAATGGCCCGAGGGAGCGTTTGTCTTGGATTCTTCTCGTAAAAGAGGACCAACTGAACCTCGCCATGGACATGACATGGACTTGGTGAGCCCGAACGTTTGATTTCCGGGAAGGATGTACATATTTCGAGGCTAATGTTCTGGCACAAGGGTCTCGTCTCGGGCTGGCGGCTGAGTCGAATCAAGTCGTCGCAGAGCTCGAAATATTTGCCGAGCTTGTCAATCTCAAGTACTTCTCTGCTTTGAGATACGTCCTGGCTTGCTCCAAGAGCTCTGAGATGAGCTTCCAGTGACTTGAAAGTTCCATACTTCGAGATGGAATAGCTCTCTTGTATCGCCAGCTGCAACAAATGCGGCTGTTCAGATTCGGCCCCTAGATCTACTGCTTTCAACGCAACACACAATTTTGTAAGAGCTGCGTAGAGACCAGCATGCCTCATTGCTTTTCCAAATTTGCCTTTGGCCTGCTGAAGTTTGCTCTCTATCCTCAGATATAGAGGACCAGTATTACCAGTAGCCTTGACATGTTGAGGACGTTTCCACTGGGACGATCGTAGTCTGCCATATATTCGGTCTTTGCTTAAGTTTATCACAGCGTCGAATAATCTCGATTTGTATGTATGTCGATGTCTACCTGGTTGATGGTTAAGGTGTTTAAATGTGGAGTCAGTGGCGGTGATACTGACCTTCAATGGCATGTTCTCGCAGTACGTCCAATATCCTCGAAAGTCCTTCTACCACATGATCTCGGGGTGTTTCATTCGAAGCCAATCTCACTGTGAGAGAAGGCAGTTCTCGATTCTCTTCAATAGTAACAGCAGATACGCATGCCACTGACTCGGCCACATGAGCAAGGAATGCAAAGTGGTCCGCGAGGTGCAATTCCTCTTCGTATGATAGGATATAACGTTCATCTTTGCCAGAGTAACTACAGCTCTGCCGATAATTTTGAGGTTGTCGTGGACTTTGTTGCGACTTGAGTTTCTTCGATAATTGGTTGGCATGTGTATAAAATGTCTGTGACAATTGAGGAGTCCAAATACCAGAATGAGCAACGGGTTTAGGAGCCATGTTCTTACTCCAATCGAGCTTTGTGATTCTGAAGAGAGGAGACGACAAACAGAGACTCAATGATCATCTCGAGAGCTCCAGCCTCGTGCAAACGGAGCGACCTGCAGAAGCAAAAGCGGCTGCTTGCATGCATATGCGGGACACGCGACACCACACCACTACCTGAGACTTGAGACTTGATGAAGAAAGACATCGCTTTCAGGCAGACACCCGAGTATATAGTATCAAACAGAATAACGGTCAGGGACCAGTAGAGACAAGGAAGGAGCTGCTGCAATTAACAAGAGTGGAAAGAAAACTTGGCGGGCTACCAGAACCGAAAAAATCAGAGCAAAAAGCTCCCTGGAGAACAAATGATAGTTCGCTCGTTCATGATATTACATTGAATCCCCATCCAGCTCCCTCCCTGATTCCAAGCTCGAACACCGTGCCACCTCCAAAATTTCATTTCGTATCCATACATGCAACCGCATAAAGTAGCTCCATCCATTCATTCCCCTGCTCTCTGTCCGTCTCTTCCTCCATTCATCTGAGCTTCCCTTCTCATCTAGTATCCACGCCTCGGACCAGCCAGACAGACAAACGGGCCACCCAAGCCAACCTCTTCCGTCCCATCCCATCCCGACCGGTGAAAAGCAAGCGCGGCGCATCAATCGAGAACAGAAGCATAACCACCCAACCATTAAGACAAGGATATGTCGGACGAAGACAAGATCAAAGAAAGTAGAAAAAGAGGTATAGTGCCCGAGCCCGCAATGTGTCGTTCGTCATTGTACGCCAGCCCCAAGTCCAAGTAAGCAAAGTCCGCTGAATATCACCACGCATCGCATCTCAAGATAAGGAATGCCATCCTTCCAGCCAGCCGCCAGGTGATCGATACAGATCTCTCCAAGTCGATTAAACAAAGTAGGAAGAAGAAACTGGCAGTATGTCGTGGTCCACTTCGCTGCCAAAGTGAAATGTCTGCCAGAAATCACCTTACCACCCCTTTTTCCTGGCGAAACGCTTGTTGAGCAACGCTAACACTTTTGGCACATTGAATTGGACGTATTCCAAATCGAGGTCTTCCTGGTTGTCCTTCTGCATTTCGAGAAGATCGTCCAGCTTGAGATCGAGCTCCAAGAGGCCACGATTGCGACCTTCATATGATGTTAGCAATGATTCATTTCGGTTTCTACAATCCAACGTACCTTTGTAGTGAAGTGAGATGACAAATGTCCCTGGTAAAGGACTTGTGAAGTTGAAGTAGATATTAGCCCTCCGATTGTCAGGCACGTTACTTTTCTGGATGACTCCTTCTTTTTCCAGTGCCTGGTGAGTGAATTTATATGGACCCAGGACTTGATGTTTCTGTTGCTTCCGCCTCGTACCTTCACTCTGGCTGCGAACATTATGGAGATAGCTCTTGTAGGTCTCAAGCTGTCCCACAAGATACGTGTTGTGGTCACGGATCGTCTTGAAAACTTCCTCGAGCTTCTGTGTTTCGATGACCACACCATCTTTGAGTGAACCAAGGTGTTGCAGCTCTTGCTCAACCTCATCTCGGAGGAGGCTGAATTGATCGGACTTATCGATCACCTGAAGCTCCTGTAATTGGCTGAGTAGCTCCATAGCACGAATACCTTTTCGCACCATAACTGCATCGTTGCGGGATGTTGCTGCAGCATCTGCTACCCGTTCAAGTCGAAGTGGTCTCCGTGCAACAGCGCTGTTGGTTGGAATTGAACGCATGATCTGCACAAATGTCGACTTAGCTTCCATAAAATACACTTCTTCCTGTGTGATATCGAGAGCTGCGGTAAGGTCATCGATTGCAGTCTCCCATTTGCTGAACAGAGGCAGATTGATTGCCCTATTCTCCTTTCGTGGTAGTTGTGCAGGAGCTGGCCCAAGATCGTTCAAGATCACGGCAAGATGGGAATTCTCATCCTTGTTCAGCTCAGAGCTGTGCTTCTCCAGCAATGCATGAGTTGCGTAGACCTCGTTCAAAGTGATCGACAATTCCAAATCTTTCTTGGACAACGCCACATAATTGTCCATCTCCAAGCTTTCATAGAAGTCTTGCACTTCACAAAGGTCAAGCATGAACTTGTTGACTCGTTCCTTGTTTTCTTGAACGAAAGGTTGGAGCTTAGCCATATATGGCTCCTTCGCATAGGATGGCTTATTGGCAAGGTTCTGGAGCATCTTGGCGATCAAAGTTAGAGTCCGCCTTGGTTTCTCTGCGGGAGTTCCTTCGATGAGCATGTAGGATTTGGGTGTTACAATAGCGGGATTGATGAAGCGTAGGAAGAAGAACCCGCCAATGAGTGTGCAAATAACTTGATCATTCGCATCAGGGTATTTTCGTTTCGTCAAACTTCGAATTTGTTTGCAGATCCATCGAATACCATATGGTGTTTCTTCAAGGCCTTCAATGATGGTTGTCAAGAAGCCATTCGCGATTTCCATCAGCATCGTTAATCTTGGCTCAATGATGGCTTGAACCTGTGGGTTTTCTGCTGCTTGCTCAGCAGTCACACCTTTTGGCAGTGTGGCGGGTAGACTGCCAGTATCTTCTTCGATCTGCTCAATCATTCGCTCGTAGACTTTCAATGGGTTAATCTCCAGATCAAGGTCTCTCAGCTCGATCAAACCATTAATTCGATCAGCTAGCACCGTCTTCAGGTAGCTCTGTCCTGGACCTCTGCGTGTATATGTGGTCATCATTCGAGAGACTGGGGTGTTTGCTCGAAGTAAGGAAGAGTATTCTGGGGTATTATCGAATTGATATGTTAAAACAGACTATGCAAAACAATGTTAGTAAATCAAGCGCAATGAGCTATACGGAAGCGTCGGACGTACCTGAAACATGGTAAGCAGTAAATGTTCTTCACGACTCTCATATTGGTTTCCATAAATGGTGAACATAACGGTTTGAAGGAGAGAATCTATCTCAGCCATTGTGACAAGTCGGCAGAGATGGGCGATATGACGAGGTTCGGACTGGAGGAGGAAGAGAAGGTTGCCATATTTCTGCGTCTTTTCATCGTTCGGGAAGAAACCTTCTTGTAAATCTGCAGCATCTTCCAGATGGCTTGCAACTTCATTTTGCTGCCAGGCGTTAGCAACAGGCTGGGACTTTATGATTTTCTCCTCACCTCTTCCAGTGCCATACGATTCTGAATTAGCAAAGCTATCCGCGAGTCAAGGTACCTGACATCTTTCTCTAGAACGAAGTTCTTCTTCGATTGTGATGAGATCTTGGACTTGAGGTCGCGCAATATTTTCTGGGCTTTCGGAGGACGTTAGCAATGCGACTCACGCAATCCATAACGGACGTCTGTACCTTTAGCAAGATCATCCTCGATCTCTAAATCCTTCTCATTCGCAGACATCGACAGGTACAGCGTGGTCATCGAATAGCGCTTCGATTGACGGACCGACCTGCCTCCATCGTGAGACGACATGGTGTTCTGGCGTGACACTGGCTGGAAAGAGGAAGAGGACGCAGTTGACGCCCTCGACGGGGTCTGCAGCATGACGCTCATTGTTGTTATGTATCGTGCGCAGAATTCTGAGCGAAGTCCCAATTAATTCGAAAGTTTCAATGGTGTTCGGTATTTCCAGGGCGTCGCGAGTTTCACGGTCCAGCGACAAATGCGAACTTGTCTGGTCAGGAACAAAGAAAGTGAATGTCTGCCAACGGTCGTCGGCACAGCTAATGATTCGTGATTATGATCGATTGGATTTTATGCCGGTCTCCAGGGCTGCGATGTGCGAAGGAAGGGAGAATTGGACAGGATTGCGTGGTCGTGTGGGGTAGGGCAATCCGAGGCTTTTGATGAAAGGTTGTGACTCGATGTCGATGTCGACCAGCGATCTTCGATGAATATCAGGTACAAGACGGCAGGCCGCCTGTTCCCTCAGCCCGAGTTTCGATGACTCGGTGGATGTGAGGCCTGTGGCGTCGACAGTTGTGATTGTTTGGTGGTGTACCGCACAGTGCTCGCTCCTGTCTCATCAGTGGAACGCGACAAATTGTGGCCACACGGTTCGGATGATCTGCGCAAAAGGAACGACGAGTGTAGGCGCAACAGACGGAGGTGGAGGCGGAGGTATTCGTAGAGGGTTGGGAGTGCCAGATTGAAGAAGTTCTTGGGGGTGAAGGAAGAGTGAAGGTTGGCACCGCTGAAACAGCAGGGGTCGAAGAACGACCGACTTACAATGGCGAGGAGGAGCACCGACACGGCAAACCTGCCGGACAATCAGCAGTTGAGAAAGTCAATCAACGATACAAAAAGTAGATTTGTACTGCTGTAAGTAGTTGAACTGGCTTTTGAGACAAAAATTTTCATCTAATCTATCCTTGTCTACTACCTAGGTATTCTCTCAGATCTTTAGTAACTCTAAAGTTACTCGATATGCTAATATAAAGCACTAGTGATGCCGAGTAGGTCTGTCTGATTTCACCTCTCACAGTTCTCGAGCACAACTCCGCACCACCAGCACCTCCACACCTGCTTTCTGTACGTCAAAATGCAATCAGCGTTCCTCGTCTGGTGTTACCGGAAAGGGACTGCTAGGAACCCGTTATGAGCTGCCCCTCACTCTGCCGATCTGTCCTACCCATCGTGGCACACTCTCCTGATGATGTCTTCAAAAGTAATCAGCGTGGGTCCTTTTGAAGATACGGCAGGCACCGGTGATCCCAAGGCGTGCACGGCCATGTTCTGAAGCACGTGGAAAAAATAGATTTCTCAGTTTTTATCTTTTTTGTACCGGCGGCGCAGCAGGCGAGGAGGAAACAGGTCTAAATCCAGAGCGTTTCCCGTCTCAGGTGCTCACTTCTCTCGTTCTCACGGCTATCGTGCTTAGAAGGCCACTATCAGGTTGCTAGCGGCTGGTAAATGTCACTTGGGCCCAGATTGCAAGCTTGCAGCAACGCTTGTACCTGACGAAGGGTGCTAAGTAGTACACCGGCTCATATATTGACGAACATGGACCAGCGGTGAGGGCGAAGTACGACTCTGCTGCTAAAAGCTGTCAAAAACCTTGGAACTTTGCAACCCTCTCGTCCCAAGTCCCCCTCCAGCACTTGGACCAGCCTCCAGCTTTGATCCTGGACCAGCTGGGTCCAGGCCGTCCGCATTCAGCGGACGATGAAGTCGGTTCTGGCTTCCGCACGGGAGACTACGTCAACCGAATTTCCTGGTTCCTGAAAGAGGTCCGATGGTACCTGGTTTGGGAGAGACACCAGGGGAGATCAGTGCCCCTGAGCTCGTAAGCGGCCATAACGGCTGTCTGTAATGACTGCCGAGAACCACTTCTCACAATTCCTGGTTTTGCAAGTGCCCAGGTCCATGAACAAAAACGCCACATCATATGGACAAAGTTCACAATCGAGAAACATCAAGATGCAAGCAGTCGAAGCAGGCAAGGGGCGTTTCCACTTTAGCCCGATACATCCGCATGCATTGTTTGGCGCCCAATCGACTCTCGTCTATCAGCGACTATCAGCGTCAGTTGGTCCCAGCGTTCTCGGCTTCGGCCTGCGGATGAGGATGAACATGAAAAGGGGGGCATCTTATGATCCAAGCCACACCAAGACCATCCCATACCGGCCAAGTTTCTTGATGCTCTTGTTATGGATCATAAAACTCTCTCGGCTTACTCCCAGAACGGCCCGCTATCAGCAAAATCAGCATGGCCGACCAAAACTTAGATACATTGCCCTACCCTCGTATTATCATGGCTGGCTTCATGGCGGATGCTGCGGATTCATGGGATGAATGATGATCAGGTGCACATGCAGTCAAGGGATGACGAGATAGTCGTGCTGCTCAAAGCCACTTTCTCCACCCCCACCACATCTGGATCGCACAACGACAGTACGTACGATTGCACGGCCTCGACTATCGAATTCTTCATTACGGTAATATCACCTCATGCCTCGTCTTATCAGCCTGAAAAGGAGACTTTCCCACAGGGGCGCATGTCACTGCATCATTGAGATTCAGGTACAGTGCAACCTCACCCCACAGACTTCACAAACAACCTGCTCGAAACATACAACAAGTACATTTTGATTACTAGGACCGACCATTAGTCGTACCCGCTCCCGCATAGGGGGTCCTAATCGCTGATCCAGGGGACCCAGCGCCGCCGTGCTTCTGCAGTAACCCATTGCCCTATATGCGAGATAGCCGCCACCCAGCTCGAAACGCGCGACAACAGCCCTCCTCGGATCCTGCTCAATCTCCTTGGGGGAGTGTGGGGCCGCTCCCGTATCTGCCAGGGCGAGACTAAGATATGAAAGTTTGTCTCACTTCGATAAGATTGCCCATTTCTGGTCAAGACAAGATAGTCTCATCCCATCGTTTGGTTTCCAAGGATTTGGAATCTGTAAATAGCTTGTTTGCTAAAATAGGTACATATCTGAGCGTTTATGTTTTACTTGACAGGTGAAGGGGTTGGCTTCAAGTCTGTGCCCACGCGTCTTGACAGATGCAGGTTCGCACTGTCCCGTTAGTTCTTGCCGGCTCCGATTTCGATCGCCTTAGTGGGATATATTCCACGTCATGGCCACGAATTCCTTCTTTCCGTGTTTACTATCTTCTTCGCCCGCTGTTTTGATATCGAGTCTGGAGTCCGTACAAATATTTGTTCAACATTAAAAAGTCCGAGTGGATCATGTTTTGAGCAATAGCTGGCCAACCTTGTGTTCAAGTCTAATCAAAGAAATGAAAATTCGCATCCCAAATATGTGCCTAAGTTGTGTGTCGTTGAGCATTTGGGAAAGTGGCGGCAGAAAGTCCTTTGCCCAGGCAATTGTAGTAAATTGGTTGATGACGAAACTCTAGCTATTTGTAAAGTTTGAAAGAAGTGGATGAGCGCTGATCACAGGCTGTAACTTTGCGGAGTTCCATTTACTTGAAGCTCAAGATAGGTTTAGAAATCTGAGGTGAAAGAATGCCCGATAGAAGATTTGTTGGAGATTAATCCTTGTTGAGCGCTTGTTGTTGGACCCAAGTTGGTGTCTACGGGATTGAACAATGCTCTAGTACTGCTAGCACACCAGCCGTGTCATATAATTGTGCACATCACCTAATCTCCAAATCGAGGCTTCGTGTGTGGTTGGAAATCGGCCGACATCTTCCACCAAGCTGGGAAGCTTTTTCTCTCCAAGTTTTGATCGTACCAATCGAGGATCAGGAGTGACTTGGAGATACGTCCGTTCCATAAGCTTTGGATCAGTTTTTGTGCACCCCAACATCTTCCTTTCTGCGCCAGCTCCAAACGACCGTCATCGGGCATACGAGTTCTTGTAGCCAGTCCTGAAAACACCGTGGCCGAAAGAATTGGAACTCGTCGTATCTTGTAGCAAAGGTAGCAGTCTGCAGGCCGTTGGTCCATGGGACAGTGGAGGCGTAAGCAGTTCTCCATGAAGCAGGTTGAACACACCTTTACGCTGTGTTCGAAAATGCTGGCACCCATGGTGTTTACTGGTCGGCCCTCATCAAAGGCCAGGATCCGCCCAACGCCTTTCAAGTTGATGATCGTACAGTCTCCGGACGAGCCGCACATCCCGGAAGTCTTTCCGGTGATTCTGTAAAGCAGACTCGCCCAACTCAAGACCCGAGAGAGCAGCAAATTGTACCCTTCCCAACATATCCTGTCCTCACTTTCGATCAGGTTGCCCTCATATCCATGCAATTCGCTGTCCCATTCGAAATCCCAACGCGGGTGTTGCTCGACACAATACCAGCAAGAAAGTTTCTCTGCCTTATCTGTACCAATGTCATTTTCGAGCCTACGTACCAGAACCAGTTAGCATCAAAAGAATATTTCTGCAATCCAGCAGAAGATAATTAGAACTCTATCATCCGAGACATATCACTCACCTTTTCCATAGCTTCATCCGCATACAAGGTGAAAATACACCAGGACACACCTCCATCTTCCACGGCCTGTTAGCGACCGCCGACCTGATCCGAAAGGATAGACAATCACGCGGTCCCCCGAATTCCGATCTCCCTCCAACCTCGACATTATATCCGATAACCTCGTACCTCATCCTCCGATTCACAGCCCTCAAACACCACAGATCCACCTGAGACAAATATCGTCCAATTTTCTCCAAGATATCCGTCGGCAATCCATCCCCTGCCTCATCTTCTCGGACAGCTCTTTGCTTTTTCTGCGCTGCTCGAGTTCCGAGCTGCGCACTGGTTTCATGGAGTCGATCCCAGTCAAGATCCAAGTCTACGCATTTGGTGTACTCGACTTTTTCTGCTGCCTTGTTGTATAAATGCTGCAAAACTCTCAGGCTTTGTACGGGCGGGAAATCGTCTGTATAACCAAAAGCCACTTCGTGCGGAGGCAAGAGCCAGGGACGACGTTCGACTGCTTTGTAGTATGGTGTCGTGAACCAGTTCTTGGTATTGTGTTCTTTGTCTGGGCTAGGAGCCGACTTCTTTCGTCCGAGGGTGAATCGCATTTTGCGTAGTCGATTTGTCGAGACTTCGAGATATGGAAAGTACAACAGTGTTGAAGAAGAATGGAAAAGGAAAGAATTCAAATGGCGAAGACTACGGTGTTGTGCGAGCTAGAAACATCTAGTGTATCTAGAACAATCACTTGGTGACGAACGACGCTTGGGATGGCGAGCGTTATCTGTCAGGCGGCTCGTCCCGAGTTTGCTGTTATATGGACCGCTTACGAGACGGACAATAGCATTGTTCGTCCCATGATGCAATCAGCATATTGGTAATTGTTCGTCGCCGGAAGAAAGTAGTACTTTAGTGGCTTGTTAGTTATGCTTTTTGGGTCCGACATTGTGGGTCCCTATTGTTAGGATGTCCCAGATTTCATTCACCCTCCACGATCTGTTCTGGTAGACTGAACAAGATTCCATGAGGTGGAGGGATTGCTGTGACAGTTCGCTGCAACTCCCGGTTTACGGCCTTGCATTCAGACATCGCTGATATCAGACCTCGTTGGGTGCTCGGGATTGCATGGCCAACATTGGAATCGCTCTTGGTGGCTAGGTCGTCGATAAGGTCATCGATTTCCCCCAGCAACTTCAGTCTGTTGGTCAAGACGGAGTTTATGGACTGTGTTATCTTCTTGACAGGCTCTCCAACACAGATACTATGGCCTTCAGAGGAGCACTGGCACCACCACTATGTCAATATTTCGGCTAGGGACCGATTGAAGCTATTGCCCGTCTTCCCGCAAATACAGTCTTCTCGAAAAGTCCGTCCGATTCCTATTATCTAAATCCTTTTGTTTTTGTTTTTGTTAAATATTAAAGCTATAGATGGGCGAGGACCGATAGTACATTGCCTCGTGCTTTCACCCCCAAGTTAGGAAAACAAGTCAGACAATCTAACAACGTCTACGCATCGTCCTTGATAAATGTATATATTTCTAGTAAATTGAATGTCAGTAGCGACGATCAAGTTCCAGACATCTTCCAACGCAGTAGTATGGAGTCGATGGTGATCTCCGTTGATACAGGCCCCGCTCCATCTATTAGCGAAGCCCGGAGAAGACCTCCAGGTCACCTGTTAGGAGATAGGCTCGCGCCTGCCTCAGCCCACCATATTAGTCAGCGGCTGGCCCTGAAGGCCAGGCCCTTCCGTAAAATCAATGGATCATCCTTCATCACGTACTTGAATCCTACCATCACCTGAGGATATGCTATTGTACATGATAGGATTGGATAACCGTCAAGGTCCATAAAGTAACTTACTTAGCTGACATGTTCAGTATCGTGAAGAAGAGAAAGACGACTATTTTAGGAAAGAATATCTAGTGGATAATGTTGGTGACAGTATTAGTCATTGGTATCTTCACGACGCTGTATCGCGAGCTTTGTTAAGAAATCTTTCGAGATCGCTTAGATCTTCATCTTCAGTGAGTACCTTTTGTGTTTAACATTACAAATGTCTGTCTCAAGAATGTATATAACAGAGCTTATCAACTCGGGCCGGATCGGTGAAGAATCGAAGACATGGGAAACCTGGAAATAGTTATTCTTGTTTAAGACAAGTGGAAACGTGACGAATTGAAACTTATAACCAGACATAGGGCTAATCGAGAGTACAAAATACAAGATAATATACTGAAACGTCCAGAATTCACAACGCTGCCCGACAATTATCGCACTTCCCTCTCCGAAAAGCACCCGAAATAAGGGCACATTTTGAATTTCACAATGAACGTACTTTTCATAAATAATTTCTAAAGAAGAGATTCTATTCCACTATCCCACATCTAATAATCTATCCTCACCTCTCACATGGAACATCCTCTCATCAAACGGGCCCTCCACCCCCCTTCCTAACCAAACACTGAACCAAAAGCTCCTTCCCCCACATCCCCTTCATCTCCTCACTCACAAGCCGAAACCCCACCTTCTCATACAACCGTCTCGCAGCATCCAACCCCTTAAACGTCCAAAGAAGACACTCCTCAAACCCCTTCTCATCACAAAACCCAATCGCAGCCCCAATCAACCGCCTCCCTATCCCCATCCCTTGCATCCCGTCCGCCACAACAAAGAATCTCAACCGCGCAACCTTTTTTTCCGTTTCAGCAGCGGCGGCGTAGTTGCCGTCGATCCAGACGCTGCCTACGGTTTGGTTGTTATTAGAGGAGACGGCAACCCAGGCTTGCGACTTGAGGCCGTCTAGGCGGGGTGCGTGTTCGGCCATTTCGGCGGAGAGGTTGGTTTCGAATTCTAGGCCGAGGGCGTAGTATGCGTTGTAGAAGGACATGTGGAGTTGAAGGGTGCTGGCGACTAGGCCGGGGCGGTAGCCGGGGAGGATTTGGATTGTTGGTTTGGGGGCGAGGTGGAGATCAAGAGGTGGGTTGGTGATGGTGGGAGGGTTGCTGGTGCTGGGGGAGTAGTTGAGGCGGGAGGCGCGGAGAGCAGTGGCGTAGGCTGTGATGCCGGTGAGGATGGTGGTTGGTGAGGTTGTTGTGGGGAGTTTGGCGAGAGCACTGGCTACTTGGTGGTTGCCATACTCCTGATTTGTATCTTGTCAGCTTTGTTATTTGATACTTGAAGAAAAATAAAAATCCTTGTTCGATTCCAGACAAGAAACCAAGAATAAGAACGGAATCAGAGACCGACAATATAATCGCCCGAACTTCTTTTCCATTTCCTAGACAATGACAAGTGTGAAATCATAGAAAAAAATAAACCGACAATCTAATCCCACAAAACGCTCTCCCATTTCCAGACAACAACTTGAGCAAAAATACGAAACGGACATTAAGAAAACCAAAAACTCACATTAACAACCCTAACAGTCTCCCTCCCCTTCGCACTCAATACCAATCTCTTTACCCTCCCATCACCCTTCCCAGCAGCTCCACCATCAAACTCTTCTTCCAATTCTCCAGCTTCGACGAGTTTCTTCACTACACGAGACACGGAGCTCTTATCTAGGTTCAAGGGCGCGCAGAGCTCTGCGCTCATTAGGCCTTCGTTGAGAGAGATTTCGATTAGAGCGTGGACTGCTGAGCTGGGGATTGTTAGTTTGTGACGGCCAGTGGAATGAGAGGAAAGGTATGGAGATGTAGCGTGTAAAGCTAGAAAGAATGACTGAGGGTGCATGGTGGGGGACTGAAGGGTAGGTGGAAGATTGAACAAAATCTCACGCTGGGTACGAAGTCCCCGCGGCTTCCGTGCTCATGAACCCCCATTCTCGGACCAATTGGCGGGAAAAGTGACGAATTTCTGAGATGAGGCCTCCAGCGACTTCGTTGGTTGTTATGCTGCCCATTCTGAAGTGGGTGCTTTTGTATAGTATAGAACTTTGTTGAATTGGATGAAAGCGAATGGGAACGGTGAGGAAGAAAGGAGGAAGGGGGGAAGCGTGGATGGTTGTGCGGTGCAACGATATGGGTGCCTTCCCGATCATGCGCCTGGCTGCTGGCAGGCCGAGATCGGACGATAAGGAAGAGAGAAGGAATCAATCGGATATGACAGGATAGGGGACGTGCAGGAACGGGACCATCTATTGCCCGAGATTCCGAGGAAAGAGTCACTCGACGGGCAATACAATGCAGTGAAATCACAAATGTGACACGGATCCAAGGGCAGCGCCGTGAGCCCGAACCCTGTTTATTGCTTTTCCCTAACTCATGAGGCTGCTTTTCCTCTTCCAGGAGCACTCTCAAACTTCGCTTTCCACTTATCTTCCTGCTTGAACAGCACCACGGCTTCCAATGCAGATGGCTGCCCATGGTCTGGATCTGCACCTCCTTCTAATAATGTCTGTTTGTTTATCAGTATTCTTTTGGAAATCAATGATTGGAAAGAGGTTTTGTGAATGTACCTCGACAACAGCATCTTCGCCCTTGAAGACCGCACCTGCAAGCGGAGATTGACTCCGGTCGTTGACTCGATTCGGGTCTGCTCCATGATCCAACAAGAGCTTGACAAGTGGTGCGTGGCCGTGGTAAGCTGCTAGCATTATCTGTTTTCTGTTAGTGTTTGGTTCATTGGTGGGTTTTATTTTTCAAACTAAACGTCATGGAAAGGCTATATTCGCAGTAGAAAGTAAAACGAGAAGAGTTGAAGAGAAGGACCTACTAAGCTATCTCCCTTCTCATTTGTCATATTTGCTGGTAATCCTCTAGGCAATGCTTGCTCGAAAATATCAACCTGTCCCGAGCGAGCTGCATCATACATTCGTGTGGCAAATGCAATTGCTTCGGGTGGAAGACCTTGAGAAGCACCGTTTGTTGCCATTGTCCGAAATGTTTTCAACAACTTCGGTACAATGAAATCATAAATATAAACAGAGAAGGAGATGAAAATAATATCTAGGTATGTAACAAACTCTTAGCATACTTGATATCATAAAGCACAGTAAGCCATTTATGGAGGGGCACTAAAGCGTCCTGGTCCGTGCCAACCCACCAGCATGCTGTCATCAAGAGCTCGCCTCGACCTCGGCAACTTCCTTTCCCCAGACTTACTCGTACTCGAGTACACCCCACACAAAACAATTCGCCATGAAAGGACTTCGAAGGGTCATTATACAATGCTCTATTCCACGGGTGGTGACGAGGAGAGCATACTCCAGCGAAGCGCCATTGATCAAAGTGCTCGATGTACAGGCGCCAAATAGCGGAAGGATGCGGATCTTGAGCTTAGTATGCCCCCCTTTCCGAGGAAGCAAAGCAAGACCTTCAAGACTTCCTAAATTTGCGCAAACACCTATGGTTGAAATTATAAGCTAATTGGAGCATCTCAGGCTCGACCTGCAGCACGCAATGCAATCTCCCGTGCCCTCCTGCACGAACTACGGACCAACATCGACAAAATAGCCTCAGAATACGACACCGAAAATAACGAGGTCCCACCACAGAAGATCTTCGGAGGTGCTGCTGAGGTAGATGAGAGGGGACCTACAAGAGCACTCGTGCTAGCCTCAGAAGTCGATTCCTGTTTCTGTGCGGGCGCAGATTTGAAGGAGAGGGCTGGGTTCTCTCCGGAAGAGTAAACTCTATCTCTTTATTGATGTCTGTGTATATATGCTAATTGATATACGCAGAACGGCAGCTTTCCTAGCCAACCTCCGCAATACCTTCTCGAGCCTAGCTGCCCTACCAATTCCTACCATTAGCGCCATCTCCTCCCTTGCTCTAGGCGGAGGTCTCGAGTTAGCATTATGTACACATATGCGTGTCTTCGCATCCACAGCCACAGTAGGCCTCCCCGAAACTAGACTAGGTATCCTACCCGGCGCAGGAGGTACCTACCGACTCCCTGCCCTGATCGGCCTTGGACGAGCTCGAGACTTGGTCTTGACCGGCAGGAGAGTCAGTGCCGCAGAAGCGTACTTCCTCGGTATCGCGGACCGGCTTGTGGAAGTTCTACCCAAAGAGGGAGAGGAGGGGAAAGAGGAGCTGATGACGAGAGCGAGGGAGGAGGTGTTGAGGGAGGCGATTAGGTTGGCGGGGGAAATTTGTGAGGGTGGGCCGATTGCGATAAGGAGTGCGTTGCAGGCGGTTAATTATGCGAGGGAGGAGGTGGAGAATAAGATGTATGAGAGAGTCGTTGCTACGGAGGATAGGAATGAGGCGTTGGTGGCATTTAGGGAGAAGAGGAGGCCGGTGTTTAAGGGGAGGTGATGATACGAATGTCTTAAAATGGGATTAGTTGATTTGTCTAGACTGTGTGTACAATACATAACATCTAGATATCTGCAATAGTATCCCTCAGATGAGATAAATGAACGCTATCTCATGATACTTATCTCGTCCTAATGACTCTTACTCCAATGACTCGGTGAAGCTAAAACTGGCTATGCCTTATTCTCCTTGAGTGTTATACAACTCCTCGTATAGCCTGCCTAACCTCAAACTCCTCAAGCAACAGAGATTTTAAAATAATAAAATCAAGAAGAAGAGTTGCATGAAAGCATGTTCATGATTCCATGAGTTCAGTAAAAAGCTCATTCATGTGACGAGTATAAACGGGGTTTGGGATAATTTGAGCCTACTCGCGATGTGGGCTATATGCGAATTTCACAGGTGAGCAAAGAGCACGCATCTTCAAAGACAGAAGGTATAGCTGCTGTTAGGTGCGTGCTTTCAGTGTGCCTTACTTAGAACGAGTAAGCCAAGAGCAGTGGAGTGCGATCAGGTCCGGCTGACAATTTGGCCCAGATTCGAAGAGACTATAGTTCAGGTCTTGTCTGGTACCATTGTCTGAATTCAAAAACCCGACTTTGGGCGAGGCTACCTAGGTGCGGATAAACTTTACACGAGCGACAATAAGTTGCGATATGCAACAAAATCTACTCTTGAGTATGATTATCGAAGGGAGAACCGACTATTAGCGTTCCTTCCGAAAGCGGGTTGGAGGAAAGCTTTCAAAAGATAACAACAACCTCGCAGCATTCTGACAAAACATCTGTGGCAGCACCGCATATTAATGAGAGGTTTCTCATCATTGAAGGGGCTTCCGCTTGTTTAGAATTTGTGTTCAATTTCAATTATTTTCGGGCATTCATCGCAACGTGCCTTTTGCTGCTCAATGCAAGGGAGTCCTTAGCATCGGGCATTCATCGCAACTTCTCGGTGCTCAATATAAAGGTGTTCTCGGCATCCCAGACTTGAAGAATGGGGCAATCAAGCATGACAGTCCAAATGACCAAAGGATTTGAATAAGAGATAAGATCTTACATTCAGGCAATCAGAAATCTCTTGCAATCTGTCCCACAAGTTCATGATGTAGCTCAGCGAGGACAGACTTGCCAGCACGCAGAAGTCTTCGGCAAGAGCGTTGTTGCTCTGCTGTCACCTCGGCTGTGAGAGGACGGTCCTTGTTCAAGATCTTGGAAATTCGATAGACTTGTATGTATTTTGAAGTAGGTTCCCCGAAGCGGGCAAAAATATTCTTCTTGACAACGAAATGGAGAAAGAGGTCCACGAGTCTGGACTTCATGAGAAAGGGGAAGAGGGGAAGAGCAAAGGCTGCGATGTGCAACAAAAAACCTCGATATCCGGACTTGTACCAGACATTCTAGGATAAGGATGAGGAGGAGGAGGAGGAGGAGGAGGAGGAAAGAACGTTGCGATGTGCAACCAAAAAAATCTCAATGTCTGCTACAATAACAGACGTCTGATCTGCCGAGATGAGTGGGTTTGTCTTTTCTGGTGGGAAACTGAGATTTTGCACGGAAATTGGGGTCCAAGTACTCTGGGCTACACAGAAACAATTTCCTCAATGCTCATTGCTCTCTATCCAATAGCCAAAGATGGGCATTTCTTGAGAAAGAGTGACAGGCCAGGATATCCCAGAACACACTTGGACTTGTGAGATAACCTTACTCGCATGGACGATTTTTCTCTTCCTCGCATGCCGGCACTCAGGCTTTTCTATGCATTATGGACTTTGACTCTTCTCTCGCAAACAAGGAAGTCTGGAAAAGGCATAAACGAGACATCTGACAGGCAAACCAGAAACTGCCAAGCCGATCCGATCTGGTGTGGAGATATGCGGATCTGCATCAACGTCATGCAAAGACAAACGGTGGAGGTGAAAAGCTTCACGATTACCGGAAACGGTGCACTTTGCGATGATAAGAGAATCAATCTTGTGACTGAGATATCGACTTGGGTATTTAGCCGTGCCGTCTCAGCAGAGAGCACTGCCGAGCCAGGTTTCGAAAAGTGCCGTCACAAGGACAGATTCAAGCTCATGCTAAGACGTTGAGATGTGAATGGTGGCTTGGTGCCTTGATAAGGAGACAAGACAAGACAGGACAGGAGGACAGGACAAGATAAAGTCAACCGTTTGAAGTTGGTCGTTGGTGTGCTTACCGAAAGCTGACATCGGAAGCTGGCGGCGGAGAGGAGAAATACAGTAGACCATGGTTTTAATGGACTTGATGGGATTAGGGGGGCACGATCCGAGAGTCTAGCGAACACAGCAAATTAGCAGCAGCACCAAAACGTGTTTAAAGGTGGATCTCCCGCCACATTCGGTCATTCACCACCAACAGTACACCACCACTACAGGCTACAGCGCACCATCGCAACCTAGGTACTGTACTACCCACGCTGAGTCGCTGACTAGAGAAACAAGGGCCCGGTGATACCGAACGTCGATACTCACCGACCCAGGGCCAGGGACCGTCTTATTGGACGTCTCGTGGGGCTTTTCGAGAAGGTGTGGAAGGGCTCAGGCGGGTTCGTTCATGTCAGGGACGAATTGGACTGTGATGCACCTGCGCCATGCAAGACAGCCATGCACCAAGAAAGGGGGTGTGCATTCTGATGGCACTTACGGAACACGGACCATTAGAGAGAGAGGAATTCGATAGGTACGGTACAACAGCTACGATTCGCTGCCCCCTATTTTGCTTTTTCTATGCTTCTGGAAGTCAACCGTCCATCACCATCGTTTGCTGCCAAGTGATATGTCACGGGAGGATGGATTTTGCTCGGACTGGGCTTTCTCTACAGGAAGCCTTCTCTACACCGCTTCTTGATCCCTCGTTCCTCATTGCTCCAGCAAAGAGGGTGTCGGGAGCCGGCATCGCCCCCAGGCCAGGTACGATTGGGGGTTGCGGCGTCGTATCACTTCCCCTCCCCCTGAAACTCTAACGACAAAGGATGGCGCATCCTATCGGAGTGCTGTTGAAACTTCCCCTCATATTAAGTACTGCTTCACTCGCGCTGCAAGTACGCAACGCTGCATCAAGTCATCAAGGAGCCACTAAGTGGCAAGAGCATCTGTGCAACTACTGCGAGAGTGTGCGATTTCCCGTGAGCCATATTACTTAGCTTTGTGAGCGATCATAATAGAAATAAATATATCCTTCCATCATACCAAACCAAGTTCAAAGTAGAGGCCGCGTGGAACGAACTTTCTCTTCAGGCTGTTTGGTCCAGTCCAGATTAGAGAGCAATACAGTACAGTACTGCACGATCATGACTTGTAACCCTTACATACCGAGTAGCAGTCTGCAGAACATCAATTTGCAGATGCCAGATGTCGAGTGGATGCGGCGCTCCTCCACTGAAAAAGGATTCTCTCGGAGAAAAGAATCTCGAAGCGCGACACCTTGACCTTTTTTATGACACAAACCACCCCATCTTCAATAAGTCACCCTGCTACAGTACCAGCAGCCAAACAGATCCATCCATCGATCAAAGGAATGAGTCGTTAGACCCTCTTCCCCCTCCCTGCTGCTACTTTTTAATTTATCGGTGCAGTGGAGTAAAGGACGTGCGGGCAGCGCTCTTGGATGTCTCACGGTTTAGCTGGGACTTTTTGAGTTTACCGGAATTAGCATCAGCAGCACAGCACATCTTCTCTCTCTCCGTCTTCTCTCCAAACTACATGGGAGGAAACTTTCTTTCTCTTGCGACGAAACCACCACACCAAACCAAACCAAATAGTTCAGATCAAAGAGATCATCCAGATCTCCGTCACGGTGACAGTCCTAGAGAATCTAATCTCATCTTACAGTCCCTACCGTATCGCTGCGTCTGCCGTTGACCGGGATCCAAAAAATACACAGGTGCGCATATATTCGCCTCGGCCGTTTCAATAATTGAACTCAAACGCGCTCTGCATCAAGGCCCCGCGACCAGCAGCTATTCCTGGACCCAGAACATTTCGCGCTTGGTGTCATCGCAACTCGAATGCTTCGTCCTTTTTCGATAAACATTTGTCCGTCTTCGACACGGGCATTGGGATTCTGTGAGGACACCGCAGACACGACGTACATGGGGTCGCGGATGCTATCTTGAGGCCATCCTCCTATTGAGGCTTCAAGATGCAATCATTCGAGAACAAGCCGGCCGCGAAGCGCCCTGGCGTTAATCTGAACGTCGATACAACAAGGGACATTGGGAAGGGCAAGGAGATTTCACCGCCGCAGACTCCCAAGATGGAAAACTATCGACCGAGTAGAGGCAATATTGTCTCTGCCAACCGGGCGCTTAAAGTCCGCACTGGGCTGAGGGGGGATCGAGAAACATTTCTGGATGATATCACGCCCGTCGACCCTTCTTCGAACAAAGAGAATGATCCTGACAGAGGTCGCATAAATCGAGATTCCCACGATCTTTCTTTGTCTCCTCGCCAAGTGACGCGCGACTCCTTGGTGGACCACATGCTGCTCTCCCTCGACCAATTCTCTTTTGGACAGGACGACGGATTTGGCAGACAGCCTACGGTGGATGAGGAGCAATTATACAATACTTTCGAAGAGGATACGTATCAGCCTACGTCGAACTTCGCACCAAGGAATCCGCGGGGTGTTGGGCACACTTATTCGTACAGCTCCGACTACGACAACGCAGACGACTCGAGTAGATATTCTGGAGGTCAATTGTCCCGCGGACGAAGGAGCAATAGCAGCTCGAACTTTCAGACGAGTCTGTCGAGAATAAATAGCAAGCGCGGGGACATTAATTCGAGCTTCTCAACTGCGAGGAACGGCCCACAAGTCCCACCTCGAGGCATACATTCACGGAGCGGGAAGGGCAGCAAAGGAAGCAGTGCCAATAGTTTTGATCTGGGCTACGCACAAGTTACAAGCAATACACGTTGGGCACATGGACTGGCTGGCAGATCTTCGAGTTTCGACTATGGGAGTGACAGACATGCGATGAATGCTCCACCACCACTTTCTATGGCTCGACAAACAGATACCACTGCCTCTACATTCAGTCCTTATGACTACGATGCCGCGCCGACACCTACCGTTCCTGTTGGACCACGAAGACCGCCGCCTACGTCGCCAATAGTTCTCCCCCCTGAATCTCCGAGGATCGACACGGGAATGCAAAAGCTAGAGCGGAAAAGGAGTACCAGATCATCGAAGAGTGGTTATAAAGGCAAGCTCTCTTCTAATATGTCTTCAGGTGGTAGACTAGATTATGGTCTTCAAGATCCTGCGCAGCCGCTACCACCTATGCCAGCTTTTATCAAGGAATCCGCTCCCGCGCCGCTGGTTGGATATGGAAAAACGAAGGAAGCACCCGCAGGTCAACCATCCAAAGAAAAACCAGGCTTTTTCAGAAGAGTTTTTGGCTCGAGGAATACCCCTGCGAGTGTGCAAGAACCTCCTCCATCGCACGGTTCCACGACATCTGCTGAAACGACAGATCGTCCAAGCAGTCGCCCACAACACATTGGCACCCAAATCAAGTCTCATACGCACACGCAACCACAACCTCCACCGCCACCAAAAGAACATTCTCATGTGCTAACGAAAAAGCCATCGTCCTTCTTTCGGCGTAGGAAGAAGTCAGTGTCCGAGGCTGAGGCTCCGATGCCTCCCCCTATTGTTCCACCGCTAGCGTTACAGCCCGACAAGGAAGTTGCAGCGGCTAAACCTTTGCCCAGTCCAGTAAGCAGTCTTCGAAAGGTGATGAATCCGTACCTGAGGACACCTGCCAGAAGCCCTGTCGATCCATTTCCCCAGGCTTCAATCGATCAACAGATGAACCATAGCCCAGAACCGGTAGAACGATCTGTCAAAGGATTCTCGCCTGATTATGAACCGGACAAAAGTGCAACCATTAGGGCTGTGAGGCCGAATACCCGGGAGTCTGTTGATAATTTAACCTCGTCTCATGCTTCGGCGCAGAAGCCATTACTCTCGAGTCCAAATGCGCCTTCTCGAGATGAATCTCGTTCTGATCGCGATGTTACTTTCCTCCAAGATGCAAGCGACAATGATCGTGATGCGACTTCGATTTCGGGAACCGATAAGGATTTGCTGGAGCCCAATCATCTTCCAAGCCGCCAACATAATTCTCCGTCAGTAGTGAGAGATATGGCACTGGTTGCCGAGTACGAAAGAACACATTCCAGGAGATCTCCGACACCGTCAAAAACGGACCAAGCAAAATCTTCACCGATCGGCAATCCCCCTCGCAGTCCAAACGAGCCTGGATCAGGTATCAAACAAACGATTGTTACTACCAGGGACGAGGAATGGGTTATGCTTACACCTACCAAGTCTCCCAACGGAATTGATGACAAAGAGCAGCGGGTGTGGTTGGAGCCCTCTTCGTCAGAAGAAGATCTCTCTAGTCCTCCTGCACTTCTCAAAGCTGGTGATACCCCGGGGCGGTTCTCCGGTTCGACGGACACGGCCTACAAGTCTGCTACAAGCCTTCCTCTTGTGCAAGTTGATGGCGAGGAGGTCCCCGAGACCCCAGAGCACCATCTTATGTCGGCTTCTGAAGCAATCAAGAGCTTGGATGATGTTCGTCCATCTCCAGATGCAATCGTTCCAACTGAAGGAGATCGTGAAAGAGCGAAGAAGATTTATGATGGCAATGAGGACTTCATCCAGAAGGAGAAGGCTGCTGCATGGCTTGGAGAAGAGGGGCCTCTTCGATCGAGGACGCTACTTGCTTACATGGAACTTTACGATTTCGCGAACCTTAACATTCTAGCTGCGCTTCGAATCATGTGTGGAAGACTGGTCTTAAAGGCGGAAAGTCAGCAAGTTGACCGTATTCTGGTTGCATTTTCCAAGCGCTGGTGTGAATGCAATCCTGACCACGGGTTCAAGGGCAATGGTAGGTTGCAGTCGTCGACAGTCGTATTGGCGCTAATTTTCTCAGATGTTGTGCACACTATTTGCTACTCGTTGCTCCTTCTCAATACTGATTTGCATCTTGCGGATATCGAGCAGAAGATGACTCGAAGTCAATTCGTCAAGAATACTATGCCAACGATCCGCAAGAGTGTTGCTGATTCAGCTCCCGATGCATTCGAGCCTGCAAGAGCTTCTATTCTACCCGGAAAGAGCTCTACCTTTGACACTAACAAATCGGTCCCCGAGACGGGCTTGAAGCCAGAACGTGCATCAATTGAGGTCGAAAGACCTTCGTGGAGATCATCCTTCAGACCACTTCCTCGAACAGACTCCGATGGAAATGCACCAACTCCATTGGATTACGACACGCCTCAAGATGATTGTGGACCACTGGTGAAGGCGCCTTTCCATGGCACTTTGAGAACCTGGGAAGTTCAAGTCGAGATTGTACTGAAAGACTTCTACAATTCTATCCGCAGTGAACGTCTCCCGCTCTTTGGCGCACCATCCGAGAAGTTGGCACTTCAGCCACCATCGACAAATAGTTTATCGGTGTTTACAAATGGGATGTTGCGCCGTACTCCGAGTGTGTTGAGCAAAGCACCTTCCGAGTCTCAAAGCTATGTCAGAGGAAGAACGGCAGAAACGGTTCGAGTCGGAAATGGCAAGTGGGCTAATAAGAATCGTTCGAGACCTCGTCTATACCCTGGTTCTGGGCTGGGATCGAGCCGAACGAGCTTGGATGATCAATCGTCAATGTGGAGTCCATCTGTTTCTTCTAGCACTTGGAGCAAATACTCGCTTGGAAAGACGCAGACATCCATGTCTGTGGACTCGTTTGGATCTTCGTGGCCAAATGCCGATTATCAGCAGTCGATTGGTTTTGCGAATGCGTTGAGTCAAGCCATCATCCGTGAAGAGACGATAGGAAGTGCTGGAAGTGGAGGTAGTGATCGTGATGAGCCTCGTGTGACGCCTTTACTGGAAGATGAATCCTTGGAGTTGCATGGAGCACCTTGGGCGAAAGAGGGTATTGTCAAGCATAAGCACCATCTCGAATCCGTGGACAAGAAAGCTAAGGATCGAAATTGGAGTGAGGTGTTTGCTGTTATTGAGAAGGGCTATATGAGCTTGTTCTCTTTCTCTTCGAAAAGCATGCGAAACAAGTCGAAGGGAAAGGCGATTGCTCAAGGAGTTGTCGGCGGTGGCAATTGGCAAGAGAATGCTGAGAGTCTGGGATCATTTCTACTTCGACAGACAATCGCCAGTGCATTGCCATCACCAGGCTACTCGAAAGCACGTCCTCATGTGTGGGCACTTTCACTTCCGACTGGTGCGGTCCATCTATTTCAAGTTGGCACACCAGACATTGTCAAGGAATTTGTCTCCACAGCCAACTATTGGAGTGCACGACTTTCCAACCACCCTCTAGTTGGAGGAATCTCCAATATCGAATACGGGTGGTCCGATTCCATCGTCAATAACGCACTTGTAAACGCTATCAACGATTCCACCCGCCCCTCCACCTCCGGCGCCCGTCCCTCCATCCAGTCCTCCCTCCGCTCTTCTCTCGACCAAGGCTACGCTTCCTCCGGTCCTCGCGCCCGCCTACCAGGAGACAAAATCACCATCTCAGACTGGAGTCCTCCCACTCAATCCATGCGCGCAAGCAACCTGATGGAACAAGATCAACTGAAGACCCTCACCGACTACGTCTCCGGTATCGAAGAAGAGCTGCAAAAACACAACCAACTAAGAAGCCCAATGTTATTAGCCTTCACGCCCCGACATCCGAACTCGAATAAGGCGATGGCGAACTGGGAGAAGAAGAGCAGTTACCTACTGAGGGAGATCGTCAAGTTTAGGACGTACATTGATTGTTTGCATGCGGCGGAGGTTGGAAAGGGGAAGATTTATGCGGAGAGAGAGGATAGGGAACGGGAGAAGGCTGCGGCGAGGAGGGGGAAAGAGGTCGAGGTGAAAGATGAGGATGATGATGAGGGGGATACGACTTTGAGGCCTGAGTGAGGAGGCGCTGGAGCCTTTTTCGATTCGACACCTTCTTTCCAGAATACGTATTCCCCAACACGCCTTTGGATTCAGTTCTCTTTCGATTCATAGTTCCGGAGTTGAGCCTGTTGTACATAACCCAGGTACAGTACATTCGGCAGGCAGGCGTTTGTTCGATTTCTTGGCTATCATCATTTGTCTGTTTGTTTGGATTGGCTCGTTCGCGATATGGAAATGTATACCCCTCTGTTTTTGCTTTTCTCGTATTCTTTTTCTTTGCTATGTAATATTTCTTGGGGGGTTAGAAGGAGGCCGGGGTTATGAAGTATGATTGTATGACTGTATTATGGAGGTTAGAGTCGTGATGGAATGGATAAATAGAAGAAAGAGAGAGAGAGAGACAGAATAAATAAAAGATATTTTTACTTCATACCATTCCATGAACTTTGGTTTCGTTTCATTTCATTTCATTGCAAGTAACTAACGCCATGCATGCATGCCAATCATCTATCGTACAAGTCCCCATTCTCCCATTATCCCATCACTCCTCCTAAACAAGAGAAATCTTATTAGGTGTCGAGGTAATTCAAAGCTTCCCCTTCAACTCCTCCTTCTTTCCCTTCGCCTCCCCGCTCAACTCGGCTGCCTTGCCCTTCGCTTCACCTGCTACTTCGGCGGCTTTTCCCTTGGCTTCGTCGGCTGAGATGCCGGTTGCGGCTTTGGCTTTTTGGGCTGCCGTTTCTTTGGGGGTGTTAGTATCTTTCTTCTATCTTTGGACCGGTGTAGCAGAGCAGAGAAAGAAGTATTCAAGTGATGAAAGGTGAGGGCAAGGTGATATCTCCTCTTTACACCCTCCTCTCATCGCAGTAGATGTTGAAATGAAATTGCTGTTGGGGAAAAGGGGGGTGGGGGAGGAGGGGGAGAAGAGGGAAGAGGGGAAACATACGACCAATCTCAATCCCATCAACCAACTTATCGCTCACGGCCCGGTCGACGGTCTTAGCGGCATCCTTCACGGTCTCGGTAGCGCTTTTTCTTTGCGTGAGGGTCGTGGAGAAGGCTTGTGTTGGGAGTGAGGCGCGGAGAGCGAGGGGACGGGATTGGCGGGGGAGGGTGCGGAGGAGGAAGGACATTTTGATGGGAGTGTCTTTTTGGTTTGGTGGGTGAGGTTGTGGTAGAGTGGGTTGAGGGTGATTGATTGATTGAGGGTGATTGAGTTGGATTGAAGTGGGTTGGGTTGGGTTGTTGTTGTTTGGAAATGAAAAGGAAGAAGGAAGAGCATGAGAGTTTATGAAGGAGCTCAAAGCAATCTACGTCATGGGCTGGTTGTGGGGAAGCGCTAGCGAGCTGTACGATGATGAACTAGTGCTTTGTGACCCAACCAGCCGCGCATGTGAAGGGAGGCTTTCTCCTTGTTACAATTCGTGTTTGTTCTTGGCTTCAGTCACATTTATTTGTTCTGGATTAAAGTTATTGATGCAGATGTGATTACTGGAATTTGGGGCGAGAAGAAGGGAAGGGAGGTGAGGAAATGCCATGGTGATGCGGATGGGATTAGGCGGGCCGGAGGAGCGGAGAGGATGCTCCGGTGTCACGTGTAAGCCCCTTTTTTTCAGCCACCTGCAGGTGGAGCTGGTTTGTGTTTGTGTTTGTTTCTTGCAGGAATTGATTTAACTGGGTATGAACAAGATTTTATTAAGATCAAGACAGACTGAATTCAACCCAAAGCATCTCCGAACTAACGTCTTGCACCACCAACTAGAAACACTTCTCAGAAGACAATAAACACCGAGAACCTCGACTCGAAATTGATATATGGTAGTACAGAAAAGGTTTAGCAAAGAAAGACCAAAATCCGTATCGAAAGCTTTTCAAGAACGACTCCCTGAAATGACAACCAGATACAAAACACTGAGGCCTGGAACATCGAACTAAATGTCGTATCTAGGCTTTGGATACACAGTCGTCTGAGTTGACAGCGATCCAATCTTCTTCCACAGATTCTTCGTCCGAACCTTCATCTGGAGAATCTCCATCCTCCGTAACTTCTTTGACCGTACGTTGACGTCCTCCTCTTCAGACTCATCTTCCTCTTTGAACAGGCGTTCAAGTAGTTCCTTAGAAGGGTACTGCTCTGGCATTCTCGAAAAGATTGACCTGAGGGACTTTGGGTCAAAATCGGTCTCAAGTGACCTAGCCACTTGATTTGCTTCAAGCATATTCTTCTCAGTGATATCATTGTTCTTAGCTAGTAAGTCTATCTCAACAGCTTTGCCCTTCCCAGCGATGAAAAGAACCTTGGCTGTTTGAGGCTCTTGTTCCTCTACAGTCTGGCGAGGCACTGTGTGGAATGAACATACATCACTGTGACACGAACAGTCATCGAAGGTCGGGTAAGCAGGACGCTTGCCTTCGAGATTTGCGATTTCTGTGGTCAGCTTCTTTGCTTCGCACATTCTCTCGTAATTGCTTGCAAATTCTTTTCGGATAGCTGCGACAGTTGTCTCATTTGTAGCGAAGTCCGAAAACCCAAAAGAGAACGGATGCCACTCAGGCACCGAGAGAATGGTTCTCTCTTCAGATCCTTGAGTCTGTGTCTGATTACTGCGAAAAGTGGTCTTCGGCAACGCAGTAGCCTTCTGCGGAATAGGGATAGCGTTGGAAGGACGTGATCTCTTGATTTCCAGTGCCATATCAACCATTTCCTTGTTTATTGCTTGCAATTGATCGTTCACCTCGATCAGCTTCTGTCTCTCCCGACTGAGTTTGGTTCCTTCTTCCATCTGTTTCTTGGCTGCTTCGCAGCAGTGTTCGTCCTCAGAGAACTTGAGCCGTTGCGCACGAAGCTTTGCCTCGAGCCAGTTGCAGGAACGAAGATATGTAGCTCCGAGCTTCAACAAGGCGTTGTCTGTGATGATTTCGGCCTTCTCTAACGGCTTATATATCTTCGAAGTCCAGCTGTGATTACGCTCACATGCATGTTGCGCATGCAGGTCCAACTCATCTTTGGGCCCTTCCTTGTTCTGCTTGTTATCTGTCTCGACCTTTTTCTCCGATTTCTTGTCGGATTTCTTGTCGGATTTCTTGTCGGATTTCTTGTCGGATTTCTTGTCGGATTTCTTGTCGGTGTTCTTGGGCTTCTTCGTGACTCGGTCCTGTTTCTTGGAGTACAGGAGACAAGCTCTGTAGTGTACCCACGTCAACAATAAGGCCACGAGCGTAATTAGATTCAGCCTGTGGATATTCTCACAGGCCCACTGGCGAGTGAGATCGTCCTGGGAAGCATTCTCAGCGCCACGGTGGACGGGAGGTTCATCCCTTCTTGCTACTTCTCTGCGGGGACCCCGAAACCTAGGCCAAGCACCCTCATCAGCGCGCTGATTCTCCTCTCCTCGATCATACCGATGTTTCGCAGTACCCCAATCCCACCAGATGGTAGTGCCATTGGAGCCGATGATGGGGACCCCAAGCCATTTCATGTTCCAAGCGAACCTCGCGCGCGTTTTTCGGAGCAACAATTCTCTCTCATCGTCAGTACATCTCCCAACAAGCTCATTCTTCCATGGACTGAGAGTATACACCCAGTGGTCATCGGTACCGAAGTCGCTGATGCGCTTCGCAGCATCCTCGTCATAAGCTGCGTTCAACGATTCAGGCGTACTCTCCTCATCGGTAGGTGTATGCTCCTCTACTCTCTGACTAGGCTCAAGTGACATCTTGCCAGTTAACAAGTTGCGCTTAATCTCGTTGGAGCGCTTTGAATGCGCGATCCACTGCGCCTCAATTGCGCTTGCCAACTCGCTCTTCTCCCGCTGAGCAGCATCGTCGACTTGCTTCGCTTCCTCGTTTGAAGTGACATCGGAGACATGAGCAACTCTGAATTGCTTGTAAGTAAAACCGTGGTCGTAGCGCGTGTTCTCGTCAACCAATTTCACTAGCTCCCTCTTGTGCTTCTCAGCAGCAGTGTCGACTTGCTTCACTTCCTCGTCTGAAGTGACATCGGAGACTAGAGCATCTCTGAATTGCTCGACAGTTAAATCGTGGCGGTAGCGCATGCCCTCCTTAATCAACCTTAAGAACTCCCTCTTCTTGTCTTTCTCAGCAGTAGTGTCGACTTGCTTCACTTCCTCGTTTGAAGTGACATCGGAGACTTGAGTATCTTTCGACTGCTCGATAGCAGGCTTGTACTCCTGCCATCTTGGAAGGAACTCAGGTAGGATGCTGCCAGTAAAGAAATCGTAGAGAATAGCTTTGGAGAAGCGAATGGATCCCATGAAGACCTTGTGAATCCTTGCGCAGGCCTCTGCCTTCTCAGCAGTGTTGCCAACTTGCTTCATTTTATCGTCTAATGCGACATCAATGACCGGAGGAGAATCTTGGGACTTCTCGTCAACGAGCTTGCTCTCGTCTCCTCCTCGGTGAGGCTCAGATAACACGTTGGCACCAGATCTCCAGCTGTTCAAGCTGTCGAAATGCTTTCTGTACTCCGCATAGGACTTCTCAAGATCGGCGATTTGCTTCTTTTTCGCGTCATCCATGCTCGACCAGTCTTGGGAAGGTTTCCCAGATTCGGACTTTTCGATATGGCGTCCATGGATCGCCGCTCTCAGTTTCTCATTCTGCTGCAAAGCCCTGTATCTTTGAATGCAATCTTTATTAGAGCGGTAATTATTCCCGTCAGACATCGCCTCTTCACAAAACGCAACGCCCTGGGAAACACTACAGAAAAGAGTGGGATTCGATCCACCGCCCCAAAGTTGGGAGATGAAGTCATCAGCAGAGGCGGCATCATAAATGATGCGACTACATTGATCGACTCCAGTCTCGGTGTATAGGTTGATCGAGGCCGCAGTCTGGAAGCACCGTACTGGCTCGGGGGTACATTCCACGATCGTGTTTAGGAAGGGTGTGGATTGGAGTTTCTCAAAATAATTTGGGAAGTTGGGAAGTGTTGGGACATGTGGACCTCTATCGAGAGGAGGCCACATGGTTGCGGTCTATTGTACGTCTTGGTTTGAGGTAATGTGTGTGGGAGAAGGTTGGGAAGAAGGAAAGAAATGGAAAAGGTGCGAGGAGGGGTGATATAATGGGGGTGTGTGGACACGTTTTCTTGATATTGTAGTTCATTTTTCAGTGCTCGTAATGATGATGGAACGTTATATGGTATCCGTGGTTGAGGCTCAAGACTAAGTGGGTTTGGGCGGGACCGGGCTCATGGTTTGGCAGCTGTCAAAGTTTTAGTCGGGAAACTAGCAAGAAGTGTAGCTTTTTCTGGAAATAGTGAGGTTTTGGTCATATAGCACCATTGGACTAGCCTCTACAAGAGGTAGACAAGATGTGTCTCGAGATCGGGAGAACGGTAGAAGATCGAAACAGCGATATGCAACAAAGGATTGCAAAGACAAGTAAATTGTGTCTGCTAGCGTAGTTTGAGATGATGATCCACTGAGCAAGCTCATAGGCAGAACTATATTATCGTAGCTCCCATGAAACAAGAGCCTCATCTACAACAAAAATTGACTTTAGATCGGGAAAAAGATAGAAGACAGAAATGGCGATATGCAACAAATAAGTTCAAATGCAGAATATGGTATGGTGTGGCCATTGGAAAGAGTGGTGCGTGCAATGAGGTCAAGTTAAATGGGTTTAGTGATGTCAAACACCGTACCAAAATCTTTTGGCATGCCAGACGATGAATTCTTTTGGAGATTTGGCGTCATAGGAAAACATCAGGTATCACAGTGACTTGAAAGTAGATAGCTGCATTTCTATCTACCTTCACATCCACGAGTCTCCAATGATGCCCTCTCAAGAGCTCCGAGACTCAACTTTCCCTCTATACAATACAAAACTCCATTCGGGTATCCCAAATCAACAAACACTCCGGGTATCCGCAAAACGCTCATCTCAAATGCTTAACATCAACGTAAAGGCTCCCTCACCAGAAAGATTCCAATCCCTCATGCTTTCTCCAGCTACTCATGAGCTTCCAGTCCAATTCTTCTCTCCAACTCAATCCCTTTCTCGGACCCTTTGGCTTTTCCACAGTTTCCCAATCTTCGTCTTCGGAGTCTAGCTCTTCTTTCTTTGTCGTCTTCTCCTTTCCACCCTTCTCGCTGTTCTTTCCTGCTTCGCCCTTCTCAACTGTCTTCTCCTTGCCCTCCTGATCCATACCAGGAAACAACCGCGCCCTCAACCTCTTCGCAAATGGAGTGTTACCATCATACGGCTTCGCGGTATCGAAGTCAGCTTGGATATCAAAGGCTTTCTTTGCTGGGGTGTCGAGGGTGATATTGTGCAATTTGCTGATTCGGGAGAGGAAGGATTGGGTGGATTCTTCGGGTTGTGGGTCAGGGGATGAATCGTCGCTTAAGTAGAAGGAGGATACGTCGTCGTCGGATTCTCCATAGTGAGACGGCTTTGGGTATTTTGCTTCATTTGCTCGGGCGATTTTGTTTGTGGTTTGTTGATTGTCTTTTGCTTGGCGCAAAGTGCGTGAGGACTTAACCTTCGAGTTTGACTTTCGATTATGTCCCATACCACTGCTCAGAATACCGTCCTCGCTGTGAGAAGAGCGGAAGATAGAAGATCCGGCTTGATCAATAGCCTTTGATGGTTTGGGAGGATTTTGTGTGTTGCGCTCCTTGTGGTAGTTCAAATCGCCTGGCTTGCGCTCAACCATCGCCTTTGCGCTTTCGATTAACATGGTTCTGAGATCTTGCGGCTTCTCGCTGACGGTAATTGCAGTCTTGGCGCCTTTGATGAGTTTTGGACGCATGGTGAGAGGGCTTTGGGCTGAATGAGGAGCAAATTGGAAATCAGCTTCCTCGTCCGATTGCCAGTCGATGGACGACATTTGCGTGGAGCTTCGGATAGAGTGGAATCGCAAAGCAGGTGGATCGACGTTGGTGTTTGGAGATGTGACTGGTACTTCTTTATCCGAGTCGCGCTCAGAATCGTGGGTCTTGCGCTTTTTTTGCGTGGTAGTAGAAGATTCCTCGGATGAAGCAAATCCACCACCAGGCTCCAAGTTAACCTGCGCAAGCATACTTTCTATGCCCGGAATCTTCTTCTGGCGTGTCGTCATATCTTCCGAGTTCGTAGTCTCACAAACAGTGCGCTCAGTATTGATCTTGGAATTCTGCTCCAAGGTCCACTCTTTCACCACATGTCGCTCGCCTAATAGGAGTTCGAAAATCACATTCGATACAACGTAGACGATACTCTCCTTTGGACACTGATCTGCGTCGATATTACTTCGCCAGTACTGGTACAGCCAGCAGACACAGTGCGCAAATCGCAACAACGATCGCGAAGTCGACGATGAAGCGCAAGATTAACCACGACAGCGCCTGGAATAGCATGGAGAATTAACTGAAGGCCGTTCAGCGTTGGAGAAGGTTACAATTATGCGTTCCAAACCGTTACGTAGAGGAAACTAAAGTGTGCTTTCATACACCAGAAAGTCCTATAACTTTCTCGCACTTTTTTGTTCTTTGTTTTCATGACAGAAAGTGCGTGCACACTAATGGTAGACATGTAACGCTTATCATCATAGTTTTCGTCTTATGTTTGTGTTCTATATTTGAAGTGATGTTGGTGTCCAGACGGAGAAGAGACCGGTCCCAACTTTTGGGTGCGGCCCGCTTCTGACAGCAGCAAGTAGCAACCAATCGAAACTTAGGATGAAAGCTTCTTAGTAGCACAGAAATGATCGGATCGTGTTGACTGTGAGGGCAAATCTAGAGGTTGCTCTTGCCATGGTAATGTTCAGAATTTGAAAGTTCTTGTCAGATACAGCCCTTGGCTATGAGAATCAGGGATACACTCGTCCTTTTTAGTAAAAGGTAAATAGGATATGTAGCAAATTCAAGCTGTACATAAACAAAAACTCTATCTTCGAGAAAAGAAATTCACATTATCTGGCCAAGAATGAAGACTTTCGGCAACTAAATATTGAGATACCCAAAATAGCTATGCTCCAAAATCCAATTAACCAGCCAAGAATAGCAACTTTCGACGGCCATGCATCAAAATCAAGAAGCCAGACGATTAAAAGAACCCAAGTCTCCTAACTTTCCATTGCCTAACCAAGGATAAGAACTTTCGAGCGCCAACTACCAAGAATTGGAAGTCAGATACTCAAAATCTATTTTTCAGAAATATATCTCCTTGCCGCTTTCTTGTCTGATTGCCCGTCTCAGGGCATCTAACTCCTTCTTTTTACTTAGAAACTGCATGGAATTGCTGGTACTGGTGCCTAGCGGCTATACACTTTCTCGCTGAGATCGCTCATTGTGTTTTCATCGAGTGGTCCAGAATCGACCCTGCAGCCAAGGTTTGCATGGACATACTTCTAACGACAGACGCATTTCTGGCAGCTAATTGTCAAGAACTCGAAGCCACATATCTAATACAAAGTGTTCTCTAGCATTAAATTGCCCGGCCAAGAAAGCTGAAATGAGATGTTTTCATTTTGTAACTAGAGCTAGGAAGCAATACTAATATCTCCCAACCTAAGCCCTTCCACCGCGTCCCACAACCTCTTGCACGGCTTCTCATGAATAGCTCCAACCCACCACAAACCCTCCATCCTCTCCCTCACCACCTCCCAGTCCCACACCCCCAACCTCGCAGTCAACCTCTCCAACTGTCTCACAAACCACACCTCACCCTCCTCCCTCGCCGAAATCCCACCCACAAATAAAAGCCACAACACCAAATCCCCTTCCCTCTCACTCCACATCTGCATCCTCCCACCACTCCCTCAACCACTCCACCAGATTCCTCGGCCTAACCGCTAATACGGAAATTCCGTTGGCGTAGCCTGCACGTAAAGCACGCCCCAATCCGCAGCGCTTCATCCCAACCCATTATCTCCTCGGCAGATATATTCAGAAGACCACGCAACAACGCATATATACCATAACGCAAAAACCACGCTCCAACCACTCAACCTGCTCCTCTCCACTCCTTACATAACCATCTTCTAGACTCTGCTCAACCTACTTCGCAAGGCCCCGCATCTTGATCAGCGCGATCTTTAACTCCGTCTCAATTGGTAACCTATCCAAAACACACCTCACATCCTCTCCATTTTTCTCCCTCTCTCCTCACCTTCTCCACCATTCGCAATCGCAATTTACCCCCAAGATCACAATCACAATCACAATCACAATCAAACTCACAAACCCCAAAAGCCCCCCTCCAAGGGTTTTGGGGTGGTGGGTGAGGGATTTTAGTTCTGAAAAGGAGGGGGGGGAGAAGAGGAGGAGGAGGAGGAGGTAGACGCAGACCCAAAATAACGGAGCGATAAGCTGACAGGATATACAGTACAGCGTGGAATAAAGCTTCATCTCTCCCGGTGCTGGCGAACCACGCGGCCGCACTAACGGGATGAAACCTATATATACGACGAGATGAGAGGCTATATCGCCTCGCTTACTTCTCTCGGTATATATATATATATATCCTTAGCACCTTTTCCCGGGCATATTGCTGAGAGTGCTTGGGAGCGGAAGATGGAGAGGGAGAGGGAGAGGGGAATGCTGGTATCGAATATCTTTTTTTCTCTTCCTCTTTTTTTCCTGCTGCTCTATCTTCTCGACAACCAGGCGATTTGAAGCTTGTGAGGATAGGGCTTTCTTCCTCCTCCGCGCAGCTCGACTACGGACTATTTTCCCAACCTCAGTGTCCCGGTTCTTGAACAAGGCTATACTATGAGTGAAGAAGAATTCTGTTTTGTGCTTAGGGCGACTGAGTATTGCGCTGTGTGAAGGACGCCAGGTTTTTTTATTTCGAGAAGGGAAAAAATTTTTTTTTTTTTTTTTTTTTGGATGAGTCTGACTTTGAATGAGGAAATTGAAGAAATGGATGAGATAAAAAGATGAATATAGCTAGATATCAAGAGTAAAGAAGAAAGTGAGATACAGTATATTTCTAAGACCCAGATCGTGAGTGGCAGTGATTCTCAATATCCGTTCTGAGTAACGGCTTCATCTAGGTGAGCGGTAGTTGGTTGGTTGGTCCGGGATGTCGTCGGGATGGTTGTTGGGTTCTGTGTTTGATTTCTGCATAAGAGAACTAGGTAGGTATCTATGTACATCTTGTCAGAAGGCTGACAAGAATAGAAAGAAGGCCGGGTATGGGTTATACATACATACAGTGTTGATAGGTAGGAATTCTTTGCAAACCTCATCATCACTTCTAGAAAGAACAATTCCCGTCTCCATCTGCTCTGAAGTATAGATCTTTCCGCTCTCGCTTCACTTATTTCTGAACTGTTCACATCCGAGACAACGATCTGGATATCGATATCTATCCTTTACTGCAAATAAACATTTCATATTCCGGGTATTAAGCATCCATCCTATATACAAAAGAAAAGCACATCGACATCTCGAAAATTCGTGAGATGGATCGATCCATTGCTAAACTCCTTCAATGCATTGATACATGCAATGCAATGCGATGCCTCCATCCAATATTTGACTCCTTTGCGCCAAGGTGAGGTAGCCGCCTTCTGTCTTTCTCTCTATATGGTCTTGTCGTAGTTCTCTCAAAATAGTCCCCGTGTTGTTGAAGTCATCCGTCTTTTGATATCCTTCACTGAGGCAACAACCTCTTCTCCTGACTATTCTCCTGCGGGTCCTCAAAAACATACTTCACCAACCTCTCCGTGACCCTCGCACACCACGGATCCACATATTTCGTCCACAAATTCGCCACGTAGTATAGAATAACGAACCAGATCGGCAACCAGAAGTACCATCTCGCTTTCCCACAGATCTTTAGTGGTGGGCCAGGCTCGATCCTACCGTCTTCGTGGATGATGTCTCCAGGGGTCTTGAGCCCGAAATACATCCATACGAGCAGGGTGCGGAGGAGGGTGCCGTGCAGGAGGTACACAGCAAAGGAGTTCTTTCCGAACCAGAGGAGGTATTTGTTGGAGAGGATGTCCTTCATTGGGTTTGAAAAGTGGATTCCGAGAGCGAAGAAGATGAGGCCGATTCCTGAGTAGAAGCGAGGGGTCTCGTTGTCGGCTGGGAAGATGTAGACGGATGTTTGGCCCATGAATTTTGACCAGGGCATCCATTGGGCTTTGTCTTCTGGGTAAGAGGCGAGGAGAAGACCGATAAGACACAGGAACGGGGAAAGGAGTCTTGAGGGCCATTTCCGGGCTGCGCACCATGCCAGATGGGGTGGATGTTGAGAAAGATCGGACAGGAAAGCCCCGAAGAAGAATTGCATTCCAAATGCAGCTGCTCTTGTTAGCTTAAGAAAATATGTGGGCTGAAAGGAGCTTACAGTCATTACTAATATAGTAGTAAACAAACAAGGCAAGCTCGATGATCATCCTGTATCTCGGCTTGCAATACGCTGTCGCAACAAGCATCATGTAAATAAGCATACTTCCCTTCAATAACGGGAGTAGCGTCCATTGGTTGTTGTCATAGATGTTCCATGATTTCGTCCATGTCGTGATAATATGGTACAATAAGCTCTTGATCGCATCTCCAAAGTACGGTGTCATATTCGGTGATGTGTAATTCACCCACCAACTATCAACTCTGTTTCCCACCTCGAAGACTCCAAACTGGCAAATGAACCATATCAGAGTGGTAGCGATCGTCGTTGGAAGAATAAGCCTTGGTACTCGACGAAAGGCGCTCCTGGCGATGGATTTGAACGCCGCATCCTGGTTTCCTGCTCGACATTGTCGAATCGGTTTCAATGCACACACATAACCAGTGACGAGGGAAAAGATCGTGACTCCAATTCGTCCCTGGACCAAGATCCGTACAATCGGGTACTGGAGGAATCGTGGGGGAGCACCCTCTGCGGATGTGGGTTTGAAGAGATCTTCATCAAAGGCGCGAGCAATATGGGTGAAGACGACTAGCAGAGAGGCGAAGCCGCGGAGGCCCTAGATATGAGAAAAGCACGTCAGTTTTGAGGCTGCTGTCAGAATGCTTGGCTATGGAAAAGGAGGCGTTGGGAGAGACATTGCTAGATTGCAGCAGAAAAGGTACTTAATACTCACATCAACCCACTTGACATTCTCCTGTCTGCTGCTCATTCTTCTTCACAATGGTGCAATCAGACACATCCGCCACGCCGCACACCGGGGAATACAGAAAAACGTGCAAGATCGTGAGGGTCCGATGAAATTGACAGAATGGAGCGTCCACTACCCAAGTCCCGTAACGACAAATATGAGCACAACACGGGTGTGAGTGATACCAGTGCTACAGAATTCTCCAGCTAGGAAGAAAAAAGAAAAAAGAACGAAAGATGTGGAAATGGCACTGTCTTTGAATGAGAGAGATCGAGCACAAATAAACGAGTGTCGGGAAGAGTGTGGGGTAGGTAGGTAGGTACGTAGTAGATTGGAAAGTTTGAGAGAAAGACTGAGACCTGGTGGCTTGAGGCGGGTAGAGGTTATTCAAGTATTTCTCTGGGAACCCACAGGCACCGCAGTGGTCCAGGGGCAGGAGCAGGGGCAGGTGAAGTGGGGTGTCCAGGCCTGGGAGACCCAATCGAAACGA